ATTGTGTTTTAATTGATGAAAAATTACTTCTATTTGATGGATGGCACTACATGTTTAGGTTAATTTATTGTCTAATTAGTTTTAAATTCATATTTAATTAGTTTAATTAATTTAATTACAATTCAATTATTAGGTAAGTAGACCATCCATACTTATGTTTGAATTCCATACTTTTTGTCACAATTACATTATCTTCTAGATTAATGTAGGCTAGAATTGTAACTTGAATTGATGGATCATTCTTTGGATTGGTGAATTGCACTACACTTAGTTTATTTGTTATTAGGTAGGCAATTCAGGCTTGAAATTGATGCTTCATACTTTTCTTTGCAAGTATTAGCTACATTAGAATTACACTTAATTATCCCAATTAGTTGAAAGTGAATGAGTTAGGGAATGTGCTTAGTGGTGAATCCTACACCCTAAGTCTCTTTCCAATCTTTTAAACTCCATTATTTTATTGCAATCATTTAGCTTAAAATTAGTCTAATCACAAAACAAAACCTTTTTAACAATCACATAAGTACTAAGTAGAATTCAATTCCGGAAACCAATAATTGTTTAGATCTCTTGAGACGATCCCTACTCGCTTCATATTCCATAGTATAAGTGTTTAGTGGTTTTATAAATTATAAAATATGATGCCCACTTGACATTATTTCTAAACCTAAAGTGATGTGTATTATTTTGTGCACACGCTCGGTCATATCATAGTTTGGACACCGTTACTGGAGATCTAACGGTTTTAAAGAATCGAATTAGACATTAGTTCTTTATTGATTGTTTAGTTTTAAGTCATTTTTATTTTTATTAAGTTATATGTAATCATTACCACATGTTACGTATCTTTACGCGATTTGAGGTGTGTGTGTGTGTGTCCAGATAAATTTATCTGGCAAGCTGCCATCAGCCAACAGATATGACACCATGGTCACCAGCCACCCTTGCCAATATAAAAACTAGGTAATCATTGTGAGATATATATATCATTGCCCTGTTATTATATATTATATTATATATATATATATATGTATGTATGTATATTTATATTCTAAATAAGTATTCGAAATTGCAATGATAACGTTAATTTTGTGAAACTGAATTATTTTTATTAAATAATTAAGTTCATGCATGTGTTTCCTTTGATTATTCTTCATAGTTCATTTTGCTGACCAGAAATGGTTACGAAATGAAACTGTATGCAATTTCCAAAAGAACAACCAGTCATATGATTAAAAAAAAATTACAATATACAGGTCCAAACTAATTAATATTATGTCCATTAATGCACCAATTTCATACTATCAAATATAGCATGGAATTATTTTGTATTTTACTTAATTGAATTTGAAACCGTCTAAAATTAAAAATTCTTTTAAACAAGACATTAAACCATTCCATGCACTACACTATTTTTTTAATTTTTTAAAAAAATAAAATAAAATAATAATAATAATAATTCAATGCTTGAAACTCTCGTTGTTATAGAGTTTGTGAAGAGTCAGATATATACAATTTTATCTTCACATGCAAAGATGTTTTCTTAATTCGAGGACTATTAATTTCCCGACTTAAGTTTTACATAATGTTATGGTATCTATTAGCAGTTGAGTTCAGCTTTAAGAGTCGACATTGCCGTTAAGTGTTGGAAGAAAGAAGGGGAAGAAAAAAATTAAAGAAAGAAGAGAGGGAGAGAGAGAACCAAAAAGGAACCATTGCTGATTATGGTAGGACCATGCAAGCGAAGAAAAACCATCTTGGTCTGTGTGGTCGGCTTTAAATTACGTTAATATATAATCACTCTAAATTATTATCAATTGAATGGTTCTCCAGGAAAATATGTTGGTCTAGAAGAAACAATTAGAGGGTTGTGCATGGTCTAAAGTCTTTTAGGTTGTGTAGAGGATTGTGAAGTGATGGAGTGAGTTTATTTTAGAATGTTGGAGAGTGGAGTGAGTAAAAGATTTTGTGGGAATTTTGTAGAGTTTTTTATATTAACGAGTAGAGTTCTCAAGGGTAGATAGGATGCCTATATAAGGGAAAGTGGTGGTGTCATTTTCACTCAGTTGTAACCAACAATTTCACTCAATTGTAACCAACAACCTCTACGACTATAGCAGAAATAATTAGAGGGTTGTGCCATTGTCTAGAGTCTTTTAGGTTGTGTAGAGGATTGTGAAGTGGCTGAGTCGGAAAATTTTAGAATGTTGGAGAGGTGTGTGGAGTGAGTAAAAGATTCTGAATGAGTGGGAATTTTGTAGTATTGTTGATGTATTTAAGAATGTAGTGGCAAAAATCCTAATTTATTTAACAATGGACATAAACAAAGTGGTGGTGTCTTTTATACTCATCCACTAATTTTAGTAGTGAAAAGTATATAAACAATTAAAATATATATGTTCAGAAGAATAACTATTCTATTTAGTAGAGATCTGGCCATCAAGTCACCAAAATTTTTATTATTACTAGTGTTTGTTTATTTTTGTTTGGAAGATGGGGAGAAAAAGAAAAATAAAAACATCAAATAAGGACGTAAAATAATTTACTCTTGTTAAAGTTTTAAACAAAGTTTTATAACAAAAGAGGCCGAAAAAAAATAAATAAATAAATAAAATTTAAAACTTGCCTCTTAATAAGTTTTATATAAAACTAAGTTGATTATGCAGCATACTATCATTACCACATGTCACATATCTTTACGCGATTTGAGGAGTGTGTCCAGATAATTAGTATCTGGCAAGCTGCAAATATGACACCATAGGCACCCGCCACCCTTGCCAGTATAAAAATTACTTAATCATTGTGAGATATATCTATCGTTGCCCCGGTATATATTATATATAATATATATAGTTATTTATATTCTAGATGAGTATTTGAAATGGAATGATAACGTTAATTTTGTGAAACTAATTTTTTTTATTAAATAATTAAGAGCGATTCCTGTATTATTCTTCACTGTTCATATAATTAATATCATATACTATTATTATTACTTTGAAAAAAAAAAAATTCAAATTCAATCACCTTTTGTTACAAAGTAATAATACTCCCTTCATTCCAAATTTAATTTTGCCTTTTTATTTTTGACTGTCTCAAAAAAAATGTCTCGAACTTATAAAAAGTAAAACATCATGATGTGAGGACTCAGTAGGACTTATTTGATAATTCATTTACTACTCTACCAATACAATAACACATGTACTCTTTACCCTCGTCATAGCCCAATATTTTACTACTTAGGCTGCGTTATATACTCATCACCAATACACCGCAGGATTCATCATTATTAAAACATATCCTCTTAAAAAGTTAGATTCTCGAAAATGAACTTTTAATTTGAGACGAATGGAAGACATGCAATTACCTATAATATCTATAAGTCACACCCATCTTTTATGCCTTGTTCAATAAGAAAAAAGAAAAATTGGATAGAATGGAGAAAAGAATGTATGGATGAGTTGTGTTTTTTTTTTTTTTTTGTTTGTTCAGTTGGATAGAAGATAAGAGAATAAATTCATAATTTACTATAATCATTAAAGAATAATGATAGAAAACCCGAATGGTAATCCCTGAAATTTCACCGAATCTGATGTGGCCAAAGATAAATAGGATTCAGTATATGTCTTTTAAGACAGGTAGGATTCAACATCTTCTCTCACCTCACGTGACTTGGGTGGGTTTCATCTTCAACTGCACAAACTGGATCAAACTCTAAGTTTTAATCGTAGTACACAATGGCAACGATTTACAGTTTGGGAACTCATGTGAATGAAATCGAAAAATGCAAACAAAAAGAAAAATAAAAAAATAAACATAAAAACCGATGGGAAAAAAAGAAAGAAAAGGGGTGTGCCTACTGTCCAGTTCCAAAGTGTGTGTTCATCAGATGATGAGTTTTAATATATATATATATATATATATTAAAAGTAGGATAATATATCTATGTCTATATCTATGTGTATATACATATATGCTTCTGTTGTATATTCTATTTGCTAATTTTATACTTTTGTTTTCTGATTAGGGAAACAATTTTAGAAGATTATTCACCTTCATTATATTACCTTCTTCATTATATTAGGATTTTCTCCAATTTTTCTTTTAGTTTTTGCACTTCATTTTTTCTGTTCGTTTCGAAATCATTGATGGAAAGGAGTTTGGATTTAGATTGTAGGAAAAAAAAAATGAGAAACCTGTAAACAGAACCCATGTCATGAGGTTGAGGACAACTATGATTAGTTTTGGACCCACTCAAGACACGTGAGGTGAGAGACGATTTTAAATTTTCACTCTTTAGGAATATTTAATGAACTTAACGTGGTTTAACCACATGAGATCCGGTGACAATTCGGGGATAATCATTCGGTTTTCCTATCACTATTCTTCATTAAAAGATAAAGAATGATAAAGTTTAATTATTTTTACCATTATATTTAATAATATTTAAAAATTTGTAAAGGAAGTAAGATGGATCATCTTTTCTATTTTCCTTTCTTTTCTTATTATCTCAAATGAATAAAAAAGTTCGTTCTTTCCTACTTATGTTTTTTCGATTCCTCTTTATTTCTTCTTACCCAACACAAATTAGAATGCGATAGTCTAACTCGCATGAGACCCTTGGTGACTGCACCAGAGAATTCTTTTCTAACTTTTTTTTTTTTACTTGGTGGTGGTAGTTGTAAATTAATGACAATTTCTACCCTTCTTATTTTTTGTGTTGGCCTATTAGCCATTGAGTTTAGCTTTTAGAGTCAACATTACCGTTGAATGTCAGAAAAAAGAAAAGGAGGAAAAAAATTTAAAGAGAGGAGAGGGGGATGGATAGCTAGAGAACCAAAAAGAACCGTTGCTGGTAGGACCATGCTAGCTAAGAAAACACATGTTTGGTCCGTGTGGGCGGCTTAGATTTACGTTAACATATAATCACACTTTATAAGCACTCTAATTATTAGTATTAAAACACAGACACACTCTCTTCCTATAAATACCAACCTTTTCTACACATTTTTTCATCCACACAATATACACTACACATAGCCAAGTGCACACCCCTCTCTCTCTCTCTCTGCACACACATATTCACCTAGTTGCAATTTAATATAGTTATGACGAAGGACGTTGAAGTGGCCGAACAAAGTGAGTTCTCGACCAAGGACTACCACGACCCACCTCCAGCACCCTTGATTGATGCCGACGAGCTCACAAAATGGTCCTTTTACAGAGCTCTCATCGCTGAGTTCATCGCCACCCTTCTCTTCCTCTACATCACTGTCTTGACCGTCATCGGCTACAAGAGCCAGACCGACCCCGCCAAGAATGCCGACCAGTGTGGTGGCGTCGGCATCCTCGGCATCGCCTGGGCTTTCGGTGGCATGATCTTCGTCCTTGTTTACTGCACCGCCGGTATCTCTGGTTAGTACACCGAATTTTCACTCCAAAGTCATTTTACAGTTTATTGTCAACACATTGTCATTCCTGAGTTATAAAATTTTCAACACGAGGGCAACTCTAATTATATTTTTTACTAATTATATTTGTACTTGTACGTATATGTCAAATGATGAATTATGGAGGCACCATATCAGCGTTTTTTTTTTTTTTTTTTTGGGAAATTAGTGTTGCATGTTATTCGGTTAAAACGGCGCAAGTTAGTGTAAGTTGCTGATTATTTTAAATGTGCGCAGGAGGACATATTAACCCTGCGGTGACGTTCGGGCTGTTTTTGGCGCGCAAGGTGTCGCTGGTAAGAGCGGTGATGTATATGATAGCACAGTGCTTGGGTGCAATCTGTGGCGTTGGGTTGGTGAAGGCGTTCCAAAAGACATACTATGTGAATTATGGTGGTGGGGCCAACGAGCTGGCTGCTGGGTACAGCAAAGGCGTTGGATTGGGTGCTGAGATCATCGGTACCTTCGTTTTGGTCTACACAGTCTTCTCAGCCACCGATCCCAAGAGGAGTGCAAGAGATTCACATATCCCTGTAAGCACCTTATCATAACCTCAATCTAAACTGAATTAATGTATTATTATGGTTAGGCGTGTTTTGTGCAACAAAATTAATAACCAACATCTTCATTTGATTAAATCTTGCTTAAGGTTTTGGCTCCTCTCCCCATCGGATTCGCGGTGTTCATGGTTCACCTAGCCACCATCCCAATCACTGGTACTGGTATCAACCCTGCAAGAAGTTTTGGAGCTGCTGTGATGTACAACAAAGCCAAGGCCTGGGATGACCAAGTATATATACATTCATTATACACACACTCTCTCTACTATAACATTATTCTTTATATATCAATGGTTTTAATTAATTAATATTTTTCTTAATATTGACAATTATTTTTCAGTGGATCTTCTGGGTTGGACCATTCATTGGAGCAGCCATTGCTGCATTCTACCACCAATTTATTCTAAGAGCAGCAGCCATCAAGGCTCTTGGATCCTTCAGGAGCAATGCCTAATTACCGGTCGATGTTTCCAGTGATATCGATGAAGATGATGATCTTTATGCTGTCAAGAAAGCCCCTTTTGGGCAAGGGTGTGTTTTGGAACAGAAATGGAAGGCCAATATTGAATTAAGTTGTGGATAAAAATTCCATTTGGGGAAGAAAGAGTCTCGTTTAATGTATCCAATTTATCTCTGTTGTTTCTACTTTAAATCTTATGTGTATTATTAATTCATGATGTTAATTTCCATCATAAATCAAGCATGTTGGTTGTGTTCCTTGGTCTCAAATTAATATTGATTACCCTACTACCACTAAATAAAATATTCAAAATGAAACTAATAAATAAGCATTTCAACAATCCCAAATGATCATTGTCACAGTAAACTTTGCCATGACATGATGAAACAGACATCTCAACCGCTCTTTTCTTTACTGTATTGCAAAACCTTAGGTCAATAGTAATTTTTGGAATCATAACAAGATGGTGACCATTTTATATTTTCGTATTATATATTTAAACGTATTGGATGAATTATACCATTCTAAACGTACAATACACATACGTTACCTGATAACCTACTCTAAATTAAATTTTCACCAATTTCAATTCCAAAGCACCACCAATTCAAATTTTCACCAATTTCAATTCCAAAGCACCACCAATTCGATACTCGTAAACATAGCGTAACGGAACTTCACTTGACATTGATTGTAGATGCAACTATTTTTACACCATGTCCAGAAAAGCTCCAGCTAGTTAGACCAAATCTTTAGTTGCCTGCTCTCTTATTCTGTCTTTACATTCATAAAAAAGTTCAATTTTCTCACGCTTGTACAAATATTCTTCTCCACTACAGAAACTAAAAAAATGAAGTTCTGTTTTGTTTAGCTGTTTTAAATGGCTGTAGTGATCAATTGGGGTTTTAGAAAGAAAATACAATGAATAGAAGAAGGTAAGGACATCAGAATTAATCACAGTTTTCTGGAATTCTCTGTCCCAATTCATGGAATAAAGCTTTAACCAAGTGTATTCTCCCTCTGCTCCTATCTCACAGTGGGTGTCATTATCATTTCAATAATATAAAGTTAGAATTTTATGTGTGTTCTGAACCTATGGTTTCATTGAAAGCATATTCTCATCCTCAACTCAATCAATCATTATCAATGAGTAGTCATCCAAGAGCATATGATTATAAATAAATAAATAGTAGTAGCAAGCCAAAAGAGATTATGGTGAGTTGGCTTTTGTGGTGATTGTTCTTGGAGGTGAGATGATGTATTTGATTCTTTATCATTAAAGTAATTAGAGGGTGGCAAAAAATAAGGCAAAAAAAGGAATAAGATATGTGTTAGGTGTCAAAAGCTGTCATCTTCATTTTTTATGATGGCTGAGCTAACCCACCTTATCTTCTTCTTAGTTCTTACTTTATCCTACCCTTTTCTTTCTAAACTGAGTTGGCTTTTTGATGATGCTCTTTTCCCCTTAAATTATGGAAGAAGATTGGCTTTTGCTCTTGGATTTATCTACCAACAAGAGAGAGAGAGAGAAAGAGAGGGGTTTGGAATTGATGTGATCTACAAAACAACAATTTTTAGGGCACGGCATTCGAATTTTGGATGAACTAAGTATTGGATTAGTAAAGAGTTTAAAACCTAGGGCAATATTGGTGTAAGCAGTGACAATATGGTCCGCAATGTTTTCCCTATCAATCACTAGTCAAAACACTATTTAAACCAACAAATTAAATTGTTCTCTAATCCTATGGCGTACAGTTATATTTTGTTATAGTACTTCATAAACAATACTACAAACAAGTATCAACCATGCCTGTAAGCATCAGCTTAGGTAGCAAATGAATGAGTCATAATCGAGGTAGGTCTTGGGCTCGAGTCACTAAACTTCATTGAGCGAACAAGAGGAGCAGAAGAAGACTGGGATCAACTGCTGTATGAATATATGTGTGAGTGTATTTGTATGAATATATTTGTAAAGCTATTCACAATACATGGTAATCCACGCAGATACAGTAAAAGAACCAAAATAAAATAGCTGGTCACAAACTTATGTTCGTTTAAAATCTACTGCTAATTTGGTGGCGGCCTCATAACAAGTTCGCACTTGACACTGGTATCTTTGAGCATATCATGTGTTCAAACTCATATTTGCATATATTAGGTACAAGTATATGCATATAGTAGACTAATAGTTATACTGGTATGAGTTAATATGCGCAATTTTTAGACCCAGATTGATTCATCCCTTTTTCAGTTCCAATAGGAGATGGATGAACTAGAGGAAAAAGTGTTAAAAAGCAATCATACTCATAGGCATCAAAGGCAATTCAGAAGTACAGAAAGAACAAAAAACAACAACAGAGTAACTCCGGGAAGTTTCAATAAAACATTTATCAGAGTTGTTGAGGCATTAAAAGATGCTGATGGAAGTATGGAATGGTACACTAATAATAGTTTACTAATCAAAGCATAAATAAACCTTCATTATGGTTTATTTTGTAGTAGTAGCCCTAAAGTGATGGAATTATTTACTTTCCCCACAAACTATTTATTTATGTGTGTGAATTTTTTTAATTTACACCTAGGATCAAGTGATGGATTTATATTTCCAAATGGTGGAGAGAGTTGGCAGTTTGAATATTGCAATATTGTATCTGCCTCGGAACTTAATCCAATGAATTCAAGCCAAAGCCATCCCAAAGTGGAGTCTCCCCATGTCTATATTGAATGTCAAGTCACAAATAAATAATAAGCTCGAACGACAACAAATTGGGTGAGTTAGCTGCTCACTTGACCTCGAAAACTTTCTTCTGCTGAGCTGAGATAATCCTGGTCAAGATTATGACGCTGGATTTTAGGCTGAGAATCAGCAAAGCTCCAGAGCACAGTGCTCTGCCAGACTTGAACCACAAATTATAGTGGTATGTCTCTTTAGGAATATGATATACATTTACAGTGAAAACACAATACAGGCGTTGTATGGCTAAATTTCAAGAATCGTACGTGTGAAAATGCTTACGGTCCATGGACCATGGAGGAAAAGAAAAGTGCAGGTAAATAATTAATGAGATAATGGATAAGTGTAGTGTAGTCAAATTACACTCACCTAAGAAACAGATGGAACTGCAAGGATTTATAAATAAAAAAATAAAAAACTGTTCTGGTGTTTCTTATTGCAGTATAAAGACAGCAGTTATATCAATATCTTATATTATATACCAAAAAAGGCAGACAAAACAATGAGAAGCAAATTTATAACAAAGTTCTCCTACAGTGCTTTTCCCCATCATAATTGAGAAGCAGAATGATAGAAATGGGTCAAACAATTGCACATAGCCACATACAACTGTCACACAATGAAAAGGAATACATACATGCACCAGTAGCAAGATTACTTCATAATTTTACCACCCACGTGAGCTAAGAGACACAATTATTGGTCCCAGTGTCTGATCTACAGCTTTGTTCCATAGGTGCGCAAATTCCAAAGAAGATTTCTTTCTGAAAATAGGCTCTCTCATCTGGGAAATTTTCAAAATAGAAACTTTTAGGGTCTTATTTGACAACATGGAACTGACCTATCAATGGAATAAAAAGGATGTTGAATGGAAACATGGACTGCCAGAGCAAGGAAGAAAAAATTACTATGAAACTACTGTGACATATAATAGGAAAAATAAAATCCATTTAACTTTAAATTTATGTTAGAAAACTGCAAGCCTTGGTTGTCTTTGTTGATTTTGTCCCCCCTCCTCATTCGTCAGAATTTAATCGTAGGGATATTCCATGATAGTTTTGTTGAAAGTATTACTTTTCAATTTATTTCATATGAATTCAGCTAAAAGTTTCACCCTGCTCAATATGGTTGTCATTCCTCATTTAGTTGTAAGAAATAAATAATAATAATTTCATTTCTTGCAAAGCAAATTCCCTGTGCCAACTGGTTTAGACTGTCTTCTCCAAGCTTGACAAACCACCAAGGGCTTACACTCAAATCTTAAGAATCAATTCAAGAGTGGGAGGACTACAAAAAGAATCTATGATTGGTATTGCTCTCTCTCATTTTTAAAGAAATGCCAGTCAAAGCTCTTCCTAGGATCATCCTGTTCCCCGAAAAAGTAATTTTCTGCTGTCCTTTGTTCGCATTAACCTTCTCCTCTCTCTCTCTCTTCCCCTTGGAATAGAGAGACTCGCCTACTCCATTTCAAGATCAGGGAGACAATTTTTTGTTATACACACACACACACACACACATATATATATACACCGTAACAGAGGGTGTCCCCACCCACCCTGGAGGCAGGACAATTCTCTTCAGATAACTGCAATTAACCCAAGCCATGAGTATCGGATAAGTCCAGGGTATGCTTGACACCCCAGGAGTCTAACTCGAAATCTCTGGGTCATGCCCAGAGACCTTATGTCAATTCAAATACCCCGTGGGGGTTCTGGGGGAGAAGTCACTTCCTCCACTTTTTCTTCCATCACCATCTTTCGTATTCCTGAACACCCTAATCTCACAAAAAATAAAGCCTTACCAATGCCCATATCATATTATCACAGTAAAATTGGCATGATGGAGTCCAGTGTTTGAAGAAGTATTAAAGCGTGCCACCAAAAGTGAAAAACGTAATTTGAATGGAACTGAAGAATCATAGGAAGCCGGAAGGCTAGAACTAGAGTTGAAAAGCATGGAAAATAATAGATCGATATGAAGGGAAAATGTACATCTAACTTGACTGGTTAATGCTTATATGACATTTAGGAAGACGAAGCAGATGTTTACGTCTGTCATTTATAAAAATAAATAAAAGGATGTTTACATATGTCCATCAAATGTTGCTCCACGTGAGATGGTAGCATATGCCATTACAAACCACAATTCAGTCAATAACAACTAAAACATAAATTGTGATATCATACAGGGAAGGATTTTGTCAAGTCTTCGGCAATAACAGAGAGCAACTAGAAGAAGTGCAAGATTAGAAAGCAAAACCTCAAGTTCCCATGGTTCTTTCATATCAAACCCAGTCAGTAGAATTACATTTGTTGTGTATTACTATCTGATTCACCGTAATTAGTTTATTGTTATGTGATTCACCATCATTAGTTTGCCACAGTGCATCATCACTGTAAATGAAAACTATCTTCTATGGATTACCGACCTTTCCGTGCTTAATACAAATTTACATGATCAACAATCTCACAATCAGAAGTGGAGTAATTAAAAATGGAACAAACTTAATCCTCATCAATCCGTCACATAATCCTGTCGCGTTTCATACTTCTCTATGGTTTATCAACACCTCTCTTACACTTGATCAAATAGAAACAGAAATCGCATTCCACAATCCCCACTCATTCTCTATTACTCATAAGATAGCAACACTAAATATTAAGAAAGATCTGAAATACAAACAAAAATCAGCATAAGATGAAGGCTGCTGAAGCCAAATTTTCCTCATAGGTTGGCATTAACAATTGAAATATAATTTGAATGGGCAATACCTATCTATATTCCCTTTGTAAAAAAAATTAAAAAAAAAAAAATCAAAACAGGGCATTTGACATTTCTTAGCAATTTCTTCAACTGTTCATTTTTAAGAATAAATTTTCAATCAAGTCTTTAACCCCCACCTCTCCTTCTAAGATACCATGCCGACACTTAAAAACTGAATAACACTATATAGCCATTCGAATCTCTAAATAGACGATGTTCTAACACAAATTATAACGATTATTCGTTAAATATATATATATATAGAGAAGTCATCAGTAGTAGGGTTTCACAAACCAAAAATGAATTTAGAAAAAGAGAAAATTGAATTGTGCCTGAGATTGAGTAACAAATTGGGATTGGTTCTCTGAAATCGATCTGTAGATGCTTTTGCGTTGATCGAATACAACGAACCCAGTCAAAGCGCTTCCCAATGCAGCCACAAGTAGACGCTCCTGAGAAATTCCCAACATCAATGTATAAAAAATACTCTTCACACAAACACGCATATTTGTGGCTTAGCTTAGGTTAGAAATTGTGGCTCACTTGAGCAATAATGCTGATCATACTGTCTTCGCCAATTCCGTTGATCTCTCTGCGACTGTGGACTTTGCTGGAAGCCTTCGTTGGTCCAGCTTCGGTAAACCCTAAACCCTTAAAAGAAATAAAAAGTAAAATTCACCTAATTAAAAATTAAAATATAGTAAAAATATTTGTTTGATAGACGGATTTTAAAAGGACAAGATTTGCCACTCACCTCATAGGTCATTGATGATATTGATGATGTGTTTAAGAAATTAATAGATAAAGATGTACTTTTTTTTTTTTTTAATATTTATAACTTTTCAAATTTTGTAATTACAAAATCCATTTGTGTGATCAGTAGAAATGACCTATCTACCTGTGAGTATGCAAGTACTTAATTTGTAACCGGCAAGGATATACGATGGCTGATGTGGAATAATAACATATAAATATGTCTTCTTTAATTACCAAATTAAATATAGTAGGTACATATTTACTTACCCAATTAAATGATGAGTTAATTATTATTTCTGATTTGGTTATTAAAATATGACATGTTATTAAAATGTAACGTGTTTATTTGTTATTGGTTCACATCAGCGGTCACCTAAGTATTATTATTTTAAAAATAAATTTTATTTAATAAAAAATGTTTGTGATTTATTAAAAACTGTTTTCTTAAACGGTGTATTTGATTATAATAAAAATGTCACAAAAAGAAGTGTAGGAAATTATTATTTTATGTTTTTAAAAAATAAAGGTTAATAAAAAAATGCCTTTTTTTTTTTTTTTTTGCAATAATATTTTTAGGAAAAGTTATGGCTATGAATAGTGAATATTACTTTATCAACAATTTTCGTTTTCTTATTACTTAAACATATAAAACGTTGTAATTATTCAATTTTATTCACTTTCTATAATTTCATGTCTAACTAAATAAAATCTTAGAACACCTCAAATTGTTGTATATATATTTTTTCTGTAAATTTTATGTGTCATAACAGATTTAAACAAATAATTTAGATTATTTTTTTTGTAGCTTTAGTGGTTGTTTTATTTCTTTAACCAATGTCATATCTGGATATCACATAAATTTTACAAACTTAGGGTTGATTCTTAATTGAATGAGAAAGAAGGAGGAGAAATGAAATATGTTGATATAGCTGTGTAAAAAGTTGTTTAAAATATATAACAATTTTACACATTAATGATGTGGCAATCTATCTTAATAGATTGTTAGAGATAAAATAAAAAAATAAAAAAAAATTACAGTATATATTTTACACTAAAGTGTGTTAAAAAAAAAAAAAAAGGCAAAAAATGTGTATATATATAGAGTATTTATAGAAAAAAAATATTAATTAAATAAGGGTATTATATATATTATATATAGAAATGAGGGAGAAAATGGGTAAAGGGTGAAAATATATGTATATATATAGAGTATTTATAGAAATAATATTAATTATATAAGAGTATTATATATAGAAATGAGGGAGAAAATGAGTAAGGGGTGAAAATACATGTGTGTGTGTAAAGTATTTATAGAAAGAATATTAACTCAAAAAGGGTATTAAATATAAAAATGAGGGAGAAAATGAAAATTATTTTGAGAGAAATGAAAGGAGAAAATTAAAAAAGTTTATGGAAAAATATATATATATATATATATATATATATATATATATCATTAAATAAGGGTATTATATACACTATATATATATATATAGAAAATGAGATATAAATGAGTAAGGAGTACTTTAGGCAATGTAAAACGGTAGTTTGAGTATTAAAGGATATTTTTTAGTCACATACCCTACACATGTCACTTTAAGAGGTCAAAAGCCCTTATTTACATAATTTTGAAACTATATAAAAATCATGTTCGCTAATTCATTTCATGCTCTAATTTTAAAATTAAGGTAGATAATGCTGGGAATGACGGAAATGTTGTAATTTTATATTTTTTTGCATTTATAATTTTATAGTATTACTTAACAAAAAAAATGTTGTTTATATTTCTTTTTGCCACCAAATAAAATACTTATTTATTTATCATATAATTTCTCTCAGCAATTATCCAAATATATATATATATATAAGATGAAATGTATGGCTTTTAGTATAATTTTGTTAAATCAAAATAAATCTAAAATTTATTTCTTCATCCTTTTATTTCCCACTTACAACTTCTTACTGTATTTTGATCAACCATTCAATATGTAATATCAATCCTAACAAATTACTACGTATAAATTTGCGATTGTCGCAAGAGTATTGACCCCGTAATCTTCTCTCTTTTTATTTAGCCACTGGTTGAATGATGTATCGCTACCGAACCACTATTTAGATCAGCAGCACCCTCGAATTGACGTGTCCAGATCTGACTGCATTCTCTCAATCACTGCGCCGTCAATCTAGCCACGTTCTTCCTCACCAATCCCTAGGTATACTCTCTCTCACACACACACTGAAACACACACTCGCATCCGCCACTCACGCAAACATATTTCAAACCGCCTTCCTCTTATCTGTATCTCTTTCCACTGTTATTCTTTCAAAAACCGTCATCTCTACTCTATATTTTCAGCATTTTGATTCAGATCTGAATTTTAACCAATTGTTTCATTTCAGATCTCTAAAATCGAAAGCTATTGAAATGGCGAGACTTCACAAACTCGCATTCGTGGCTCTCGTAACGCTTATGCTAGTACAACTCACTGTATCTGCAGATCTACCTGAGATCTCACCGAGTCCGGCTCCTAAACTCCCCGAAGGACCGGTTTCCCCTCCTCCTGACGCCGGATCTCCGTCAAATCCCTCGCCTTCGCCGGATTTCAGTTCTCCTCCGTCGCCTCCGCCTTCCGATAGCGCTCCTGGTTCGTCCCCCACGCCATCGCCGACGAACACTACGTCTACTCCGGCTCCTGCTCCGACCAATGCAAGCGATGTCATTAAGAGTGATGTGAATGCGAATGCGAATGCCGAGGAATCGAAGGAGTCTTCCGGTGGACTGAAAGTTGGACAGAAGGCTGGAATTGCCCTGGGAGTCATCGTCGGCGCTGGCGTCGTCGTAGTCGGAATCGTAGTGTACAAGAAACGGCAGCAGAACATCCAACGGTCTCAGTTCGGGTACGCCGCAAGGAGAGAGATACTGTAGGTATATATATATCTATAGTCTATATATATATATCTAGATCTGTTTTTACAATTCGATTATAGTATAGATTTGTTATACTATGGATTTGGGATGGTGATTGGTTTGATTCTTTAGTCGTATTAATTTTGAATAATCAATTACCTTTTTTTTAAATATTTTTTTCTTGAATGATTGGAGGTTTATTTTGTAGGAAATATTAGTAAATCATTTATTAATTGAATGTAGACTCTTTTTATTATTGTTGCTTCACTGTGTTTGCTTTGTTATTAATTAGTAGTAGTTTAAATTTTCAATTATGTGGACATTTAGTAATTAATATTGAGCCATAGGAGACAGATGCTTTAAGCTTTTATTATTATTATTTTTAGCTTATGTAGTCCTCCTTTTGACAAGTTCATAAATTTCAAAAGGATCAGACCTCTTGAGAAAGATTTTCTCACTGCTGCATAAATTCAAAAGGTTCAAATCTACATTGTTTTATATTATATAGATGTATCATTATTATATCACATAAATAAAAATACAATATTTAATAAGGTGGTGATACATGCATAGCACCAACTTTTCAAGAGTTTCCTGTCTTCTACCGTTCAAAAAAAAAAAAAAAAAAAAAAAAAAAAAAAAAAACCTAATTCCCTAATTAGCTGAGAGACTTCCTCTCCACCTCCGGCGAGAAGGAATCTATGTCAACATCAATAATGCTAGGGACGACTGAGGTGGCAAGAGATGATGCACAGTGGCGGTGAAGAACAACAGTGGCCTAAAATAAACATGGAGTTTTGACAATTGTGTTGGTGAGGATGACACTCACGTTCGCTGTGATACTGGGAAGGCACCATCTTACTTGATCATCTAAAGAATGCCTGCTGTTTGATGGTGTATTTTCAGGGTCTAGTAATGGAGTCTGTGGTGTGTTATGGGGGTTTGGTGCCAGGTTGACTCGTGAGTCGTGACTGATATGGGTCTGATTTTGACTTATAGGTGTTTGATAAAATGGCGCAATGAAATTTTGTTGACGGTTTGTTTCATTGATTTTGCAATTTTCAGGTTTGGACATGAATTCGAAAAATATTTTTAGTATTGTGACCATACACCAGAAAATAAGAGGAAAAAAATTGTCTGTCTTCCTAAAATATTTACATAAAATTAGTGTTTGATTAGATAATGTGGTGTAGAGTCCTAGAACTTGACAAATGCCTTCCATGGAGCAAAAATTGCTCGTGTTTGTAGATGTTTGCAAATGCATAATTCCATTTGTACTAGCCCCATCCCATTGCAATATGTTTTACTGAGAAATTTGCTTATTCATGGTAAATTTGAAGAAAAGTAAATGGTTAATTTATTTTTGCAAAAGTTTTGTACATTTTGGTTACTCTTTTTAGTTTTCATCTATCTGTGCAGACTACTCAATCGTCCATTTAGAGGAGTATTGTGGATGTTAGAGGCATTTTGCAGTAGAATTGTAGGTTCAGAATTGGGAATGAGAGTAATATTAAGGTTATGTTAAGACCCTTGGTGTGGTGGCCAAATTTTTTAAATTTTATTTGGTCATATATATATAAATACTCTTCAAGTATTAATAGTTAGATTTCATTGGACAATTAAAATATAATTTATTCTTTTATATCCAACAATTAAAATTTAATTGAGGAGATGAAGAGTTATATATATATATATATATATGAGAGTTGATTCTCCGTGGGTTGATCTGTAGTGGAATAGTTTTAAATTTAATTCTTATTCTATGGTATTTTGAGATTTGTTTATAACAATGAGAATTCAGGGTGGACATTTTTATTAAATCCATTGGGCGAAGGGATCATTCTCTTTCGAAGTGCTTGGGAAGCACGTAGAATTATTCATGTTACATCAAACAATATAATATGTCTTATAATCTGATTATGTATAAGAAAATTATTTAACTAGTTGCAAAATAGCCCCAACACAATGCTCTGTTAAGGATAAAATAGAATTTTTTTTTTTTTTTTTCTCTTTTTTTTTTTTACTCTAAGGGTAAAATAGTTAGCAATAGAAGAGCATTTAACAAATGTTTTGCCCATTTTTTTTTAAAACATAGTTCTCAAACATTAACGTTGAAGTCAAATGAAGTGATAACTTTTATCATATCTTTTTCTTCTTAAAAAAAGTTGAAGCAAAAACTATGTTAAACGAGCCCTAATTATTTATACAGCTAAATACCAGTAATAACATAATATGTTTACCATTTAAAATATAAATGCTACTTGAAATGTGATAAAAATAAATAAATAAATAAATAAATAAGTAGGCTTTGTACACTTAAATTTAGATAATAAAAAGAAAAAGAAAAAAGAGAAGAATACTAACAAGTTTTTAATATATATTTAACACTTAAACATTGAAATTTTCAAATTTCAGTTTTCTCAAACAATGGACAAGTCCATTTAGCAAATAATTGGCTTTAACTTTAACACAACAATACATGGTCAAATATTGTTTTATTTGTTTATTTTTATTATATAAACAGTCACTCACACTTTTTGTCAACTTCGCCCTCCAACCTTTTTTGCTCATTCACTAGTCATTACATTTAACCTATCAAATTCTCGGTTTCTTTGGTAATTAAATGCATTTGTAATAAAAAAAAAAAAAAATTTAACAAAGGAAAACTTTTGGGGACACTAAAATAGAGTTTTGAAACACTAAAAATGATATACCCGATGTACTGTTTTTTGTATGGCAATATTGACTTGATTAATGTTGCAGAAAATAACCCGGAAAAAAAAAAAAAACATAAGATAGATATCATATTTATGTGGTTCATTCAAAAATTAGACTACATCCATGGAGGCATCAAGATTTTAATGTAATGAAAAGAAAATTAAATTACATAATTCAGATAATAAATAATTGTGCTCCACCATACTCTTAATAGGATTAGGATTACATAATAAATGTGAAAATTCACTCATGCAATGGAGTTTTGCAGTGGTTGAGATATATCTTTTGGCACATCTATGTGTTGCCTCTCATTTATTTTGGTATCAAAGTTGATCGACTCTTCTTCAATCGTCCGTGATTTAGATGTTATATATATATATATATATATTATGATAATCATATTAGAGAGTACAAGTTGTACAAGTTATTAATGTTTGTTTGATTTATCACATACTTGATCATATTAGAGTATAGTTAGTGTTTATTTGATTTGTCACTAAGAATACAGAAAAATATTTTTAGATAACAATAAAAGAGATTTTTCTTTAAAAAAATCTTTTATAACTTATTAATTTTCAAAAAATAAATTTCAGAAACTAAATTAAGTAAAGTTTTTTTTATAATTTTTAAATTTTTAGTTCTCAAAAAATAGGAAAAAAAAAAAAAATTTCTTCCAACAACTGAATCTTTTTGGAGTGCATAAGAAGTTTGTCCACCTCCTATGATTGTGCTTGGGTCCTGGCTAAATTATCAATGTTGGAGTTGGAACCTTTGACCAGGTAATCAAACACATAAATAGAGAATGTGTTTGTGAGGACTAAGATTTTCATTAGTCTAAAAACATTAAAGAATTTGGAATATTTAAATTTTAAGTCCCTCAACTTTTTCCTTTATTTTTTTTCAAAAAAAGTGAAACAAATACACACACCTACAATATTACTTTTGGTTGAGTTAAGTTGGATTTCGATGTTACTGCAGTACAGTTCTAGTTCTACTAATCATTTTTACATAATTCAAGCTCAAACTACTTTTGACTTTTAAAAAAATAACCCAAAAGAAAATCCAAAAATATTAAGAATACAGTATTTCTATTATAAATTATAATACTTTTCTTTATTTTTATTTTTTATTTTTTATTTTTATTTTTGTTTTTGTTTTGTTTTGTTTTAGAATTCATTCATTCATTCTTGCTCTCTAATTATCGGATATCTTTAATTTTTAGTAGTTTAATAAAAAAAAAACTTTTCTAACGTTTTGTTTTCATCTTTCTTTATATATGATTTTTTTTTTTTTTTTTCATAAAAAATAAATGGTGATTTTTTTTAATATTTCTTTCGTCTTCATTTTGACATTCAATTAGTGCCGTTCGATCCTCTTTCTTTTGTCTTCTCTTTCCTATTTGCTATTATCAGTCTATCAGCCTCCGCCTTCAAAACCCAGCAAGAAACTCCTAAACTCCACCTTCACCGCCGCAAGATGTCATTGTTGAAAGTTTTTCTTTGAATTAATTACAACATTACCACAAGAAGGCACTGATTCCATTGAGATCCATCTCACAGGTATGCGTAACTAGCTTTCTCAGTGTATCTGAATAACCCGATTCAATTTCGAAGAAAAAACACTCAATCCAATGAATCTATTGAACATTTCTCTCTTTTTCCCCTTTTTTGGTGTTCGTGGATTGTGTTATAAGGTTGCGAGTACCGAGTTAATTCAGTGAGTTTGGTTCCATGTTGATAGTGTATGAGGCTGTTATTGCCGAGACAATGAGATTTTTGCTCAATATTATGAAGGTTTTTTCATTTTCGAATACCGAATCAGAGGTCTAAGAAAGCTGTGCATTGATAAAAAAAAATGGCAACTGTTTGATGTGCACACCAATTGTTTGATAAATTGCCAATTTAATCTTTTGGGTTGGTAATCTTTTTCCTGCGTTCTAGATTAAATTGCCTCATCGAATTTGTTAATTTATACTTGTAAATGGGCCTTCAATTATTAGTGCACGAATACGAATTGTTCGATAAATTGCCAACTATAGTTCTGCTTTTTAATTTCATTGTATAATCTTTTGGGTTGGTAATGTTTTTCCCGAGTCTTGATTAAATTGCCTTCATCGAGAATTTGTTAACATATACTTGTAAGTGGCACTTCAATTATTAATGCACGCACACATTAGAATGAACCAAGTCAATGCGCGAGCGCATTTGTATGCAAGTACTTACAAGCCTTATTTGGGAGTTTTGATGCTTAGTTGTTTTGGTGTAATAAATTACTCATAGGCACACATGTACACAGCTGAAGAATGAGAAAGCAGGCATTTTATAGTACACAAGGCAGTACCAAAGAAGTGATGCTAGTAGATATGCATATTTAGTAGTGTAGTGAGGTGAAAGCAATATATGTTACTTCGTAGAAGTAAACATGTGTTATCACATGTAGATAGTTATGAAATGTTCCCTCTTATGCTTAAAGTGCTATGATTTCCTTTTCTAAAGACCTTTCAAGAGTAAAAAATTGTTCGATTTAGATCAGAAACTTTTGCTGCTGATCTAATTGTGGCCTTTTCTTGCATTATTAGCCTACAGTTATTTGATGCTCCAATTTAGAATATGTTTTGCAAAGTACATGGATGTGAAAAAGAGTACAATCATCCTCCAAAGGAGATTCCCATTTAAATCATTTCTTTTTCTTAAAAAAAAAAAAAAAGGAATTTATGGAAATGTACATTATAGATCCCGAATTTTTATTTTTATTTTTATTTTTTTTATTTTTATAAGTAATTTTTAATATATAGTGATCTAGCAATTTTATCCTGACCAATTTTTATAGTAATTACTACTCTTCCAATGTATTCTTAGTTGAGATTACCACATCTGTGTGTCTGAATCACTGTTTGACACGTGCACGCATTCGATGTGTCCTTAATTAAAAAATGAATGTGTAAAGCATGGACACTCGACTGAAAACTCCTGCACGCTCCTAACACAAGATCCAGGAAAAAACTTTTGACCAGCATGTGTATAGATTACCATATGATTATGATAAACTGAAAGAGAAATTTGTTTGTGTGAATTAGAGAAAAAAGATGGGTGTTGGCAGCCTGAAAAGCATCCTGGCCGAAGCAGCTATTCAAGGATTGACTGAAGTAAGGGCGAAGATTTTTGGGCATGTTCTTAACCCAACAGGGGCGAAGTCTAGCCATAAGATCTTACGCAAGAAGCTTATTGGTGAGAAAGTTGCACAGTGGTATCCTTACGACATCAAGAAAGATGATCCTCTTGTCATGGCCCAAGAAGAACAAGAGTATCCCCTACTCTCTCTATCTCACACACACCTCACCAGCACACATACACAAACACTTGATAGCCTAATTTTTCTCTCTTTCTAGTGCTCTGAATTCTCTAGTTTCTTTTTCCAACTAATTGTTGCTTAGCCTAATTGGACTTCTTTTTTTTTTTTTTTCCAGTTGTGTCAAATTGATAGATGATAGGATTTGAATGCTGGTGCTTGTTTCATGGTTGATATTGCTAAAATTTAAGCAAATTATATTCTGTCTATTCTACTAAAGTAGTGACACTGCTCAAATGCAGATTTGAAACAATAGATTTTAAAAAACAGAAGCACAAGATACAGATACTGCTAAACTGTGATACGCAAACTCAAAATATAGTTTCATATACAGTGCTTAGTATGATGCATGCTTCTAAAATTTGACATGCTTATGAATTGTATGCATTTTGGCAGGCGCATAGCAAAACTTGAAATGTTGAAGCGTCGTGGAAAGGGACCGCCTAAGAAGGGCCAAGGAAAGAAAGCTAAGAAACGTAACTTATAGAGATTTCTCCCTTAGTGGTCCTGGAATTGGATCATAGGTTACTCTCAATGAACAAGGCTACCCGTAGTTCAATTATAAGAAATTTGTGTTTCTGATCTGATGGTGCAACAATCTCTCTCTTTCATTTTCCGTCAAATTTCTAGCAAAAACTTATTGTAGCTATTTGTGAAATGAATGGCCTTATTTTGGTACATTAAAGCATCTGGGCAACATGCATCTTGTTTTATCCTTTTGTTCTCTTGTTCATCACCCACTGAAACCAAAGGAATGTGATGGCTTGTGCATCTTTTGATGTTATGGAGAGACTTAGCGCAGATGCTTTTTGAAATCCTCTAGAAAGATATATAGATGTTCTGCCTATTCAGTTTCCTCTCATTTTTGTTTCATTAGCTTTGTGTATACGAGGATTGGTGCAACAGTAAAGTTGCTCCTTTATGACTTGGAGGTCATGGGTTCGAGTTACGCACGGGGCTAGTCCGGTTGTGTACGTCAAAAACCTTCATTATTCCTTACCCTTTTTAACTTTCTAACTTTTTTTCAACACTCCATCCCCCGAGGTTTATTAGAAGACATGGATATATTTACAAGCTTTATTATGACTTGGAGGTCATGGGTTTGAGTTACTCACGGCACTAGTCCGTTTGTATACGTCAAATACCTTCATTATTGTTTACCCTTTTGAACTTTCTTTCTTTTTTTTAGCACTCCATCCCCCGAGGTTTATTAGAAGACATGGATATATTCACAAGCTCTATTAGTAGGAGCTCTTCAAAGTTTCACTCTAACAGCCCATACCAACTCACGAGGTTATTCATAGTTCGACCTCTTCGGAGTTCAATTATGAATACCATTTTTCTCTTTTCTTTTTTTTAAAAAAAAAAAACTAATCATGAATACCTATCTTGAATTGAAGAATTACATCCATTCTGTTTATGTGTGTACAGTTTTGTCGATTTCATATGCACAGTTCAGAAACTTTTTGAAGGCGGGAAACATTGATCCCATGAAATAGCATTCTTCATGCATGTACAGTTCCAGTGTCTTAAGTACAGGACTGCAGATTTACAGTGTAAGATGGATTACATGTTGCTGAAACCTAAGGGAATAGTCTAATGACAAAGACTCAGCACCTCCAATATATTTGGGAGATTGGGAGTTTGAATCCTCTTGGCCACTCCCAGAAAATTTTCACTGTAATTGCATAGTACACGTGAAACAAAGGGACCGCATGTACCTGGTGGTGTTCCAACACCACCATTGTTAACCAAAAAACACGAAGTAGGAATACACGTTGCTGCAAATCCAGTAAATGAATGTGTTATCCTTTCAATGGAAATGCAATTGCGCCCTCATACTGAGGGAGGCACAAGTAATCTTTTAAGAATGTCTTCACTGTAGGGGAGGGAAAAAGAAATGGAATGACCGAGTTACCAACAATGATAAATTAGTTCATAAGGATATTGAAAGGTTAAATAATCAATACATATTGTAAGAGTTCTCAAATACCATGACAAGCTCATTTGTTTTCATGGCACATCTATACACCCCAAATACTGAGAACAAAGAATCAAAGCCAGCTAAGCCTCTCTCAAAACATGATTCCAGAGCATGACTAATTTACAACAAAATAGTGAGTTTCTTACATGCTCAGGCAAAATCTGTCCATCCCTATGTATTAATCATTAAAAGTTAAATTGCGGATTCAGTTGGACCTCTTCTTAGAACTAAGCAGCGGTTTCATCTTCTAGTAGAGAATGTCTCTCAAGGATCGCAACAGTCTCTTCTTTGGCACTGACAATACCAATAAAAACCCATTAAATTTGTTACCCCAAAATAGATCTACATACACAGTCAATACCAACAATTTCACATGATTTCAGGAGAACTGGATGAGAATTCCCCTCAATATATAAATGGGTACTTTTTCAGTTATGCATTGAACAATTATTCATATACGCATGAAAAATAACTAAAATGGTTCATGCAGCAATATTTCACCATTTATAAAATTAAGGTTTCATCTATCATTAATAAAAGTGCATTCTTTTAAAGGATAAATCTAACTTAAATTGGATCCTAACAGGGTAAGCATCTCTATAAAAGCAGAAAAAAGCTTGTCTGGAGGACAACTAAGCAGCATGCAATTAGACGGCGTGCATATGTCATTATTCCATAAACTGGAATTCTCCTTCCCACACTCCCCTCCCCTGTTCCTGCTTATGCCAAAATTAATTGACATCAACTACAGGTCAAAGTTTTTTTAGAATATATTTTGGAATAAAAGTATCACCGGGGAGCATTAAAAGGACGCATCAACCACCACCACCACCACCACCACCACCAAAAAAGAACATTTCCAGTGATTGATTTACCCTTCGCATCAGCCAAAAAAACAAAGAATTCCCAAAATATGTATTCGACTCTATGTAGAAGAATATCCATACTCTTGCAAGCCATCATATAACTTTTCTCCACAAATACACCAAATGAAGTGCATAAGGAGTTGCGTTCAAAGCCTCTCTTTATCCTAATTTGTATATCTTCTACTCCCTCTCCAATTATTTACTAAATCTGCCATAGGACAAAGGGAGACCAAAGATGCCCCCATTACCCCATATGGTAAAAAAAAGGAAAAAAAGAAAAAAAGAGAACAAAGCTCCCTAGTCGTTCTACAATTGATAAGCAGATGATCAACCGACTCCAGCCACCTCTTCACACATTCAACATTAATGAAGGAGAAATTTCTCCCTATTCAACATCAATCATCCAATCCTTTAAACAGCTGCCATCCACCCAAAAAACCCACCTTAGACGGAGCCTTGGAAAACCAAAATAGACTTCCACGGAAACATCTACTCACAGTCATGATTAACAATTTTAAAAAATATTACACCTCAAACCACCTATCTAAGTATGGCGTTGTCATTTGTGTGTATGAAGCAACTTTTAATATTCTATATTTTATGACATAAAAATTAGTGCATCCACAGTATCCTCATATTCTACAGAGTCTTTTAGTTTCAATGAGAATGGTATAATTATGGAGGGGAGGGGAGGTGAGGGGAGGGGAGGGGAATGGAGAGAGTATGGTCAAATATGTTATATAAACATAATACTCCATGTTTGAAACATTCAACGCTTACCTTCCTGGTCTCAAAATCCTGTACTTTCCTAGTTTAGTAAGGTCCACAACTGTTGATCCAGCACGTCCTGACGGAAGTGCACCAGCATCATAGACATATGCACAGTGTTCCCAGAGGTTCTCAAAATCTTTGATGTCTACACTACTAGGCTGCCCACTGAGGTTTGCACTCGTAAGGGCCAGTGCACTTCCAGAACCACTGGAAATTACTCTGATAAAGTTACAATCGGGCACTCGAACTCCAATGCTCTCCAAACCAGGGTTTAAGGACTTCTCTAGTATGCTTGAGTCCCCTGCAAAACATCCCAATTTCTATTTTCAGCTGGGAAATTGGAGATTACAGTTAACAGATCAACTACTAATCTGTGTAACATAGTTTAGAAATTGCATGAACAATGGCCTGTAAACGGGTCCCATGCATAATCTTTCCCTTTACATAACTACCACTATTACCAATATAGATGATGGAAGAAACGAGAATGTCCAGGGAAATATAACTTGGCATGTTTTTTTTTTGATAGGTAAGTAGTAACCAAACACACCCAGCACCTCCACTAAAGCTTGAACTCTAGACCTCCCCTTTGGGGAGTAAGAGTCGGTACCGCTAGGCCACTTGACCCTTTGGTATAACTTGGCATGTAATTTAGTATCTTAACAATTTTTCTTTTGCCATGTGTCTTAGGTCCTCGAGCATACAAATTCTCTTATCCTCCCTTTGGGCATTTCTCCAAGAAAAACAAAGTTATGGATACAAACCTCGCCTTAGCACCACCGTTACAGGCCCTGGAAGGAGACAATCAAGCAAGCCATAAGGCAAATGGTCTGTGACGGCAAAACGCTGTATGTCCTGAACATCCCCAACACAAATTGCAAGAGGGCTTGTATGTTTACGCCCTTTGATCTCATAAATCCTATTAACTGCTTCCGTAGAGCTGCACCAAGGCCCCATGTGAATATAAGGCACCAAAAAGTGGAGTCTTGAAATTGGATTTTACTTGTATAAAAAGTTCACAAAGGACTAAGAGTTATTTCTAAATCATATATTTATGTATTTAATATGCATATATACGTCTATAATTCCTCTTAAGCAAGCATTAGTTCAACTAAATCAAATTTTACCCACTTAATTTAAGTCTTCAGCATGAAGGTTCTAGATCCAAATGGTAGTATCAAGGCTTTTTAGCCACTAAGGGAGATATATTTGTATCATACTTGCAGGACCGGATTGATACCATTGACGGGTAACACAAAAATTACAAAGTCTGTGATTGTTTTATACATTAACCAGTTACAATTTTTTTTTTTTTTTTTAAAGAAAAGAATGGATAAGAACAAGTGTGAAGAAGTCCATATCGATGTAACACAAGGTTCAACTTTTTCATTGAATCTCAACATTATAAAGTACAAACTAATGCCTGATATATTCATAAAAAGTTAATCTCTTGTGAATATATTTGAGCTTTACCCGATCCAGCACTTTGCAAGGGTCCTTTGAATTAGTTGGGCAAAGCCAAAAAAGAAAGAAAGAATTTTCATGACATTTCTATGTATATAAACGAATTTATGGTCGTGTCATTACTATATCCACATTCTTTTTACATGTGTGTTTGTGTATATCCACTGTCCATAGATATGTAGTATCCCAATGTTGCCGAGAGGTTTTAAGGGTTTATTTATCGATTAACCAATAAGACATTGATCCGCCGGAATGCTTATACAAAACAAAAAGAATAGAAATCAGTCAACTGGCATACCAAGCATCACAGGCAAATCCATATAGTGTATCTGTGGGCACAGCTACGATCTTCCCAGCTTTGACAGCTTCAATTGCCTCTGCAGCATGAGCTTCCGTTGCGGGCCGAACCAACCCTAATTTAGTTTCTATATCCCCATTGCAACTCTCCAAACTCGCCATTTTCTTTGGAAAACCCCCAAATCTCCTACTACTATGCAACAAATTCACAAATCCGAACCTAGACAGACCTGAACAGATGGATTCACATACACATATCAAATAAGTGCCAATCCGTCCAATTCACATATATATACCACTAAAATAGGTTATAGCTTACTGTCTGTTTATACACACATATATATAAAGAGAGAGAGAATTAGAGAGAGAAACTGACGAGTATGTTGAAGGAGCACCTCGGGAATAGTGCAAGCGAGTGCAGTGAGCGTTGATGAGGGGCAAATACACATTCATAACTCTTGCCTATTCAAGCCCTAGACCTTTGATGTGTAAGTGTTAGTAGCTAGCTATTCTCTGCTTCTTTCTTGTCAATTCAAGCTCTTCTACTTTCATCTCTCTCGTTCTTTCCCTAATCGGGAAGAGAGAGAAGGGTTTTCAAAGAACAGTGTAGATAGACGAGACGACGATACGCTACTTATCGGGTCAAATCGAATAACCTACCGTTTACCCGTTTAGAAACTGATTCTGTAATTAGCAAATTAATAAATGATCCATGAACCCGATGGTCCCATATAAATTAGACCTCCGGTTGCATCTTTACTGCATTCCTGCAATTTTTCTTTTATTTTTTTTTTTACTCCATTCGTCTCATAATAATAGTCTATTTTTTTCTTTTTATATATTCCAAATTAGTTATCCTCTTTGAAAAGTCAAAACATTTTTTATTTATATTTTTATCATTGTTCTTTATCTTTTTTAAAAATTTCAAACTTTATAATTATATATATTTAAATTAAAAAGGACAATTTAATAATTTTAAAAGGGTAATTGCATGTCCCCTTAAAAACTCTAATTTTTAAATATGAACATTTATTGTGAGACGGAAGTAGTAACAAATTATGCATATTTTTATATCATAGATAATTGGGTTTCTAGAGAGGTATATTGAAATTTGAACTTATATAAGAGTTAAAAAGTTATAATTTGTTTCATCATATAAAATAGAGCAAAGTTATTCAAATAAATACCTTAGTAGAGAGGATTAAAAATTCAAGTTCTTAATACTTCTATGTTCACTATTTGTGATTTAATTTTGTCATACTCTCAGTTCCATTAAAAATTATATTTCCAAAAATTAAGCAAACAGATGAAACGTTGAGACAAGGCTTGATTGAGGATAAGAAAATACATCTCAAATTCCCGTTCTTCTATGTCATGATCAAATCCACTATACCTTAAAACTTTTGAAACAACACCATGTAAGATTCTCCTATTATCTTTCCTTGATGAAGAGTAAGATTTAATTTTGAAATATTACTCAAAACATCAAATACTCACCATATATATAGATACAAGTGGAAGCCAGAACACCTTTTTCGCTATAATAGTTATCAGCCATTACATAATACTACTAATTTAACTAACACTGAAAATTTCTGCATTTTCTCTTTCAGTTTGCTGGACTTGAGGACCTACATGGGATGACATTGCAGTTTGAGGACGTCCACCACCCGAGTGCATGGCGACTTGAGAACTATGATGCTGATCTGACAAAGCACGCCGCCTTCTCCATCTCCAGAACTCAACAAGAATCGAGCTCCCACTCATTGCAACACCAAACCCCGCAAATGTTGAGAGAAGTACCGATAGGATTGCTTGCAAATGAAACTATAAACAAGAGAAAAGATTACAAAAACAGAATGAATATTTATAACTCGTAATTTGGCTCGATGCAAGCCATAAATTGGAGGGCTTTGCATCATATCCCTCAGGTTTCTGCCAATAAATTGCAGTGAACCATATTAAAACTTGTGAGGCACAAGAGTCATCTCCAACCACCAAAGAAGGAATTGGTAAGCTAGCATTTTTTTTCTTTTTTTTGTTATTTGGTACATAGGAGACAGATGCTTTAGAAATTTAATTATTGAATAGCAAGATTGTGCATGCACATGTGCCCATTTGTGGTAGTTTTATGCATAACATCACAAATTGGAAAGTCCTACTACAGTAGAAACAATATAATTTAAAAGTTTGATTACTATAGTATGGCACAAAGACGTACAAAAACATGGGATAAGCAGCATTAATTGAGAAAAGGAAAAAAAATCTACAGGAATTGAAAATTTGAACCCACATTGATGAAGATGTAAAATCAAGTTCTAAATATATATACTCGGGATGATTTATATTGGATTCGGTGGAATAAATCCATGAGTATCCAGGTTTAGATTCATATACTTCTGCTGATCTGTGTAGCAAAATTGTTTTGTGCTGGCTGAGCCACAAAAATTAAAATAAAGATTTGTATCCTTCTACCTAAATCTGTACTCATATTAGCACTATGAATCAAGCCTGTTTAATGTATAGAAAATTTTGATTATTTACATCCAAACCAATATCCATACAACACAGATATATCTAAAAGAACTAGAATAATTGCATGGTTTTTGACTACTCTTTAGCAGTTCGGAAGGTAGTTAAAAAAATAAACAATAAAATAACTGATATACAATACAGCCACCAAATTGAAAATCCACTGAGTTTATTCGTTCCTGAGGACATGACTCAAATTTCAGTTTACGAGTCCAACTTTAATCAATTCAAAGGTCCAAATAAAAAGTCCACATGGACACCTGACGAAGCAATTTTTCAAGACAGATTTTGTACTCCAAATGATTGGTACTCATGCAGGTTTTTAAGTAGATTCCTTGCAGTAATTTATAAATGTGCAACAAGTAGAGAACCACTTACCAAGGAGTAGAAAACATGCGCAAAAAGAACCACAAGTGCAAATTGAATTGATGCATAAACCCAGACAAATCTTCTATTCACTGTACACCAAAAAAAGAAAAAAAGTGAGACGCCTTATCAGGGATAACTACAGTAAGATGTTTTCATCAAAATTTGAAGTTCATGAAAGATCCTACAGTTGACGGCAAATTGCTGCCCTCCAAAACATTTGACACTTATTTTAATTATTTATTTTTGCCTCTCTTTCAACAAACAAAAGATTATATCGCAATGTGTTTAAAGATTGTTCAATTAGACCGAATCTGGACTTAGATAGCATCACATTTAGGTCCTGTTTGCAGGTGGATTCTGACCTAAAAAAGGAACTACTTGTTATATGGAGAATCAAAATCAATTATCCAATATATATTGTTTAGGACCTTAGCTTACCCATGGTTGAAGAGGTCATGGATGCAAGGAGACCCAATACACAAGAAAATGGAAGAGATATGGCAATTGCACCAGTACCCATTTTTCCAACCTGTACATAAGCAAAAATTTCCAAGAAAACAATTGCAAAACTTAAACTAGATAAGAGTTGCCAATTTTACCACAAGCTACCACCGGGCCATTGGCCCGGAAAGTATGATCTCCTCCCTAAAGGGGAGGTTGAGAGTTCGAGCCCGAGAGGGGCAACGTGTAGGTGTGTGCGTTTGCTTTAACTTCCAGAAGAAAAAAAAAAACCTTACCAGAAGCTGTTCAAGAAAACAAAAGTAGGAAAGCATGCTAACGATGAGGAGAACAGGAACTTCCTGCCAAACCCTGATAAGATTTGTAATACAGAACTTTAGAAAACACTAACCCAGATGTCATGAAATTCAAATGTTAACGTAATACAAATAATCTTCTGTTCAGAACAAAATATGACAGACAGGAATCCAACAGAGAAGAAGTGAAATACGGAGTACTAGAATATCAGTAAACTCAGTGTAATAATTTTATTCTTAAAAACAAGACGTTGAGGAAATAACGTTCCTAACAACTGGAGGGAAGTGTGGTGGTGTTATGGTTTCAAACCATGGTGAAAGCCCTCGGAAAGTAGTTGCATTGCAATTAGGTGATCAAAAGAATGAAATATTACATATCATTCACTTACCTGTATCCATTAACTTCCATCTGCCCAATTCTATTTGCTCCAGTATTTCGATTTCGAACACTCTGAATGCGCAGAAGTGTGACAGGTAAATTCCGAACCTCTTGCTTGCATACATCACAAGTCTTATTTCCTTTTATGCTAAACCATTTTACAGCGCATTCTTGATGGGCCAAAGCAAGTTCACCTTTGCAGCTGCATTCCATCTTGAGGGTCTCGCCACCTTCACACAACTCAACAAAACAAATTCTGCAAACAGCCTCTTCTTCAGGTATATCTTCACCATCAGCTTCATTGTTTTCTGAACCATAAGACTAATATTAGACATGAATGGTTATTATGATATGAACATGTGTATATACATATACATGCATACATCCCACATAAAAACATTAGAAAACCCTAGAACTTGCTCTCCATTTGATTCCCAAAAAATATAGTAGTAAAAGAACTTGGATTAGTTGGAGCTTTTTGCATGGTAGCAGAAAGATTCAACAAAAGTTTTCCTTTCCCCCAACAATCTTCTCACCAACCAGGCACTCAAACAGAACAATCAGAAGAACTTGAAACTCAGTTAAGAACACCAGAGGCTAACAAAGTATACCATACCCTAGAGATTTGTTACATGGACATGGGCATGTGTGTCGGGTATGAGTATGCATCCACACATCGGACGGGTCAAATCGCTATACATAATGGCACGTGGACACTGCTTATTATTATATTATTTAATATTTTTATTTTATTTTTTAAAGCCAAATCATGTCTTTATGTAGCATAGCGTTCATCATAGGCATTTCATTCATTTTGAAGCAATAATATAATAAAATTGAATTATTGGATATGGTTTTTAGTTGCACATTCAACCAAAAGTGTGCACACATATCCCACATCCATATCCGAGTATTGTGTGTCGGACATGGGTACTTCACCTACTTTTAAAGAGTACATATAACATAGTCTCAGATGAGTAGTTTCCGCTAAATTTTGTAGACATTAAACTGTATGTCAATGATTGGGGAAATAAACACATGAGGCCTATCAAAATTCTCTTTGACCCCAATATTCAACAACATAAAAAATAGGATATCTAGATAAAACAAATTCAACAATTAAAACATGACTGTATTAGATAATAAACTCAATATAATTACCATCATCCCCTATGTGACTTGTAATTGACATCATGCCATCCCCATCTTTCGCTCGAGGAGTTGAGGGAATTACACGGAAAAATGAATCCATTCTCTTAAGGCTTCTTTCTTTGTTGTTGATAGGGACTGAAAGTGAACGAGACATGTGCCGCTTGGCTCCTTTTTCCTACAAAGAACAGTGCATTAACACTAAATTGCTTCTTTACGTCGAGTCCAACCTTAAGACTTTTTACTATTGGCGAACAAAGATATTGAGACTTCAAAGTTAATTAAAAGGACTCGCCCAATTTAACAATATGAGACAATGCCCAAGGAAAAAAGAGCCCAAATCTCCTTAAAGAAGAATAATTGAACTTTAAGTTCTCGTCAATCATCACTTAAGTTCTAATGCTTGCCCAGCATGAATGGTACACATTAAGAATGGTTGAAGGACACAAGTAACTTAATTCTACCCAGAAAATTGATTCAACAATCCAATTCAATTCACCTCGATTAACAGGGTTCAAAATTGGGTAATGGTCTTCTTAAAAAAGTATCAAGAACTTCAATAGAATTTTAAGTAATATTCTTTTCTCTATTGTATTCCTTACAAAGGCCAAAAAAGTACAAAAAATCAAGACGAGCCCAAGGGTTGGTGCTTTCGTTGCAGGTGGCACTGCCACCCCCTATATGCACACACACCATAAATACACCTGCCAACCTGTGTCAAATTGAGCTGGTCGAGTGTCACCCCTAAGTTCAAACCACCAAATGATGGATCAGTGCAATCAAATCCATATCCAGCATGGCCTGACTCAATTGAGGTGAATACAACAAGAAGGAATTATGCCACTCAACTTGGAAAATTTTCATGCTCACTCTCTAAAACTCCCTGCAAGTTGATCAAGATTTGCAATTCCAAGAATAAGGCATTGCAGAACTTGATTTTGATGTTTTGCAATTAATGCATCTACACACAATTGGCAATATACAGCGTACATTGCTAGGATTGTATTAGGTGGGATTGATGAGATGCCCTTAGCAAATACTTGGTCAACCTCAAAACCACTTATTCATTGGTTAGACCCATGTCGGGGAAAAGCCTTGTTAGTGCATTGATACTAAGATTTGGCCTATTAGATGAGCTTTTTCCCCATGCAGGAAGTACATTTGAATGCAGGTAATGTGAGAACCTTACATCTATATTCAGTGAACTGCCAACACTTCCTCCACGCACAGATTCTGGATTTGAAAGGGAAATTGGGGTAGCAGGTAGAGATGATGTTCTCTTCATACGAGGAGTGAAAATTTTCGAAATTGACCACGACCTTGAGATTGAAGGCTTCTCTTGCGGTATTGTACCTGGAGCTAGGTTGGTGGCCTTCTCTGTATCTGAAGTAGCACTCCGGTACTTGAAGCTTAATTTTGGCATGAAATTTTTTATGGATGATTTAGCTCTGGATAATCTGGGGCCTGGAGATTCACTCACTCTTGCATCAGAAGGGCTAGGCGTGAGGTTAAAATTTACTTTCTTGGGAGTGGGAGTGGGAGTGGGAGTTGGAGTAGGGGGCATCTTTATTTGAACAAACTCCGTGGAGGCTTCCAACGTTCTTGAGGGTATCTCCAGGTAAAGGTTTTGTTTCCTCCAGTGCTTAACATGCATGGCTTCTTCGGTTATTCCCGAGGAGTCTTCCGCCTAAAAATGAGAAATAAAGAAGCACTGAGCTAATGCATATGCAAAAATAGGCATACAATAAGCATTGTGAGGTTTTTTACAAATCTCACTAGTTTACCTGGCTAACCATATCTATTCTAAGGAACTGACTAAATTCGATTAATCAAGAAACCAAAAAACAATGCAAATGTCACACAACAAAATTATTTTGCAACTCTTTGGTTCTTCAAGGTCACAAACTTGCCTAGAAATAAGAGATGTAGTTTGCCTAGTCAGTCAGAGATGGGCTACATGCACATATTTACAGCCCGAACAACAATATATTAGAGCCTCGTGTGTGTGTTTTAGAGAGAGAGGGAGATGAGAGAGACGAATTGTTTCTCCCAAGAATGTAGCAACCTACTTAAGGCATTGTAACTTTATACAATACCTTTGGTAATGAGCCAAGATGTTATTTAGTATACAGATCAATTAAAGCTCCCACATGAATTGAAGAAGAAAAAAAAAAATGTATTGAAATTTTATTGAATACTTAAAATTTTCTGAACATAAGCCTGTTTAAAAGGATCCAAGTAACCATCTCAGCATGACATTACGAAATGTGACATATTTATGGGTAAAAGATGCTTGCTGAAAACTTAAAATTAAAATATATGTATATATATAATTATATATATATCCCATTTAGGTAAATACTGATTAATGAAGTGCATGAAAGAGTAAATAAAAAGTTTTAAGATTTTTAACTCAGGAAAGAGATTATTTATTTTAAGTGGCATTTGGATGTTTTATGTCAATTTCCAACTCCATTTTGTTTCCCGTAGCAATTAGACGAATAAACCCATCCTTAACCATGAAGTTCATAACCACCCCTTCCCCAACACCAAATAATGGAACCATCTGAAATAGGAGAAAAAGGAATAATGAAGGCAGTCAACAACTCGTGAGAAGAAAGTTATGTATATTTGCTTACGTAAATACTTTAATGTCATTTTTTAGACCTGAATACAACTAACAAGATAAGAATGGGAAGCTTTGTAATGTAACATATATATCAGTAGATTCATTTATTACCTTGGTCAATTTAATTCCAATAATTTCAAACTTTGGGCCTCTAAAGCTTAGCTCAATTATCAAAAGCATGTCCAAATAGTATAATTCTTGTCATGCATGATATATCTCTACAAACCTGACTCAGCTGTGCAGATATTAATATTACCTGAATCCGTAGTAAATTAGTTCAGCAGAAATTCCTATATGAGTCCTTCCAGATAATTTTTCCCTGACTTATCAGCTAAAAGACAACAAAACACCCAAGTTCTAAAGCATATTGCCACTGGAAGTCCCATTCCCACAAAGTGTACAGTTACATCTGCAGAGTCTCAATAATTTTTGTAGTTGCATGATAGCCACAACAAATGCTTTTGTAACAATCCCAATTGGTACTTCTCCCCGATTGCTTATAAATTGGATTTGGAAAGTCCTAAGGTGAAGTTGTAATAATTAGCTGCAACTTATCATGTAGCATAATAGTATTGAATCTGTAACAAAACAAAATCAGTATTTATTATTGTGTATAAAACTTACAGTTCCTCAAGGATTACAAGTTTGTTTCGAAGTCGGAATTCTATCTAATGGGATCTTCCAATCAAACTAGATAGAGAGGTGTTGGAGATTACGAACCTTGCGATCCCCATCTTATAAGAAAATCCTAATTAATGAATAACATTTTTGCATTGGCAAGTTGTGATATGTCAGATTAACCTTTTTTGCATCTTAGAAATTTAAAAGTCTTACTAAATACTGGAAAATCAAAAGTTCAATATCCACCCACTATCCAGAGACTTTGGAATTAAAAGCTTCATCACCACACAACTGTATACCGGTATGGATGATTGAATTAACAAATCAATAGCGAGAATTCATGTCACTATATGCAGGGGCGGAGCCAATTAAGGCCCAGACGTGCCCCCCTCACTTTGCTCCAACCACCAGGTACATATTTTTGGTATATATATATATATTTATATGGTAATTTTAAATAGTGTCCCTCTCAAATTTTCAAATTCTTTTAATTTTCTTTAAAAAAAAAATAATAATAAATTACATATATCCCTTCTTCAAATATACAATATATTTTTCCTTTTCTAATTTTTGTTTCTTATTTCAAAAAATTTCTTTTTTCACTTATGTATAATTATATATTTTTTAAAACTTATTTCTTTTTATCAATGAAATTTGTGATTGTATTTAATTAAAATATTATTAATTAATATTTTAATTCTTATATTTGTAACTATATTTTTTTTACAGTATTTATTTAGCATATTATTTTATAACTATTTTTTTTTAATTTATCTTTTTGATTTAAAAAAAATTATATTATCATATTTATTAAAAAAAAAAAAATTTAACCAGTGCATTGTGCCCCTTCTGAAATAAAATCCTGGCTGGCCCCTGATTATATGAAAATGTGACGTGTGAGAGTTGAGAGCTATCATGCCACTCACCATCCAGAGACTTATGAAGTACTTTTTACTAAATTAATTCGAAACATTGAATTAAACCCATAATACAAACAAACCAACCTAAATATAAAAATTATAAGAAAAGAACAGCCAAATGACAAAAAAAAAAAAAAAAAAAAAAAAAAAAAAAAAAAAAAAAAAAAAAGCAGACAGAAATTAGATATGACCTGCTGAATCGGAATGCGAACTTCTTCTCTTGCGCAAGCAATCCCATCATCAGGTGCCTCACTCTCACTCAACGACTTTGCGTCTTCAGTTTTCATCATCTCATAACAACTAGTGTTGGCCCCAAAAAAACCCCCTAAACCCCTGAAGAACTGAAATTGAAAAGATAGAAGGAAAGAAAACCAAAGAAGAGAGAGAAAGTAGAGAGAGAGTGATTAAAGTGAAGTAATGGCGGTATTTCTTGAGATGGGTGAATGAAGAGAAGAAAAAGGGATGAGGTTAGTTGGTCGGATTTACCCCATTTATGGCAACAAAGTGGCGGGGCTCCATGGCCTACCCTCCACTGCCACTCCCAAAAGTGCTGGGCGTACAGACTCGCACTCCCTGCGACTCTCATCCATCCTTGTCAGCGTGGCCACTCTCATTACAAGGTCAATTGTAGCCTCGTAGGTACAACCCCGTGGATCAAAATCCTCCTATCACGTTTTCAACGTCCAACCAAATGTGCGGTTTTTTTTTTATATTTTAAATTGTACGGTCATTTTGGATCGATAAGGATAATATAGTCTCAAATTATGTACACTACAATTTAGACTAATATTCTTTTGAGTCGGCGAAGCACTAATAAATTATTTTGTATCTCGATTTTTTTTTTTTTTATAAATAATTATATATATGTTTAGATTTAAATGAGATATTCGTCAAATATCTCATTATTACACACGTGTTTTGGGAACGAAGCTTAGGTCTTCTGGGCTTATTATGATCTATTAGACTGCTAATTTGCACTTTTTATTAGTTACTACTGCTTACTTGTACACAAGCACTCCTCTTGCCTAATTGCATAAATACGTGGTCCAACAGCGGCATTGTGTCACGAGGCTCACGCGGCGTTTGATTTTGAGTGTTCACTGTGAGATCTTCTTACCAGTTATTGCAACCAGTTATTTCAATAATGGTTTACATAAATTACACCACAAGATTTACAGGTTGGCCTATCAAAATTTTAATATTAATTTTTTATATTCCAATAAATAAAGTTGAACTTTTCTTAGTCGGATCATAATTGACTCTTTGTGAGTATTTCTTTCAGTAGCCGTCAAACTTATCACGTCAATTGGTATAGAACCTTGATTCTTTACTTACAAATTAGAATTTATGCACCTATACATACCCAAATACTATATATAAATGACTTGGTCATCACTTATCCTTAAATCTTCTACATTTATGTATTCTTTAAAATGCAATACAATATAACATTTTTTTATTCTTTTATTTTTAACATGTTATTAGAACCTATTAATGATTACTGATATTCTCTTCGGAATATATCATCACCACCGCCCCATCCCTCACGTCAATCTTCATATTCAAGCTCATGCTGATCATTCACGCAATCAATGTGTAGATCTTCACAACTCGATCACCGCATCGTCACGCGCCATCGATGATTATCATGAGCTTCCCAAAGCACCATCAATGTGAAATTAGATGTCATAGTCTTTTCATTTATTTATTTTTTAAATTTCTTATTTATTGTTTCTACATGCTATTTTGTCTTCCACATTTTCTAATCATGCTGGTCACATGTAAATTTTTTAATCCACATGCTATTTTGTTGTCCACATTTTCTAATCATGCTCGTCACATGTAAATTTTTTAATTCTCTTTAATGGCATAAATTACCTTTACCTACCCACAACACACACACAAAATTGGCAATAGCTGTGCTGGTAGTAATGATACAGGGTGGATGTGGGTTTAATATTCTTTAATATGGTAGATTTTATATTGTGCAGGTCAAATTTTTTATTGGGACTGTTTTGTCCAATGTTAAAACTCCTGGTTTTACCTCACCTTTCAATTGTTTTCTAACATTGGAGGAATAGGTCATGTGCCATTTCACACACACACAAAAAAAAAAAAAAAAAAAAAAAGGCAGACAGAAAACTTATCTGTGATAATGGTTAATATCACCTCAAAATCACATCAAGGCAATATAATATAAATCCTACTTTTTTTTTTACTTTTTTAGATTTTATATTTAGTGACCATTCTTCACCTTTTGAAATAAAAAGGTGACTGTTCAAGTCTAACAATATTTGTGTTTTTTAAAAAAAATTAATCATGATTATAAAATATTTATTTTGATGGGCAAATAATTACTAATGGTGACAACATTGGTGTTTAGTAAGAACCTCTGCTTTTGCTTTTCAAGAAGATGCTAAGCACTTAGCTTTGTTTAAAGGAATGTCAAGAGTGCTGTGAAAAAAACAAAAAAGGGAATAACAAGCTAAATATGGAATCATGAATTCAATCTTGTTATCCCAATCAAAAGTTGAATGTACTCTTCTGCTTTACTATACAGTCTATATATATATAATATGAACACAGGTTATAATCAGGTATGGAGTTATGAAGGGCTTTGTGGTCACGCGTACTCATTGAAATTTTTTATTTTTACATTTTATACTTCTAAAATTATACTTTTCTATATTTGTGTCTATAAAAATTTAAAATTGTCCTTACTGAAATTATGAAAAAATTTCATTATATAAATTTGCCCCTCTCATATGAATTTCTAGATCCGTTCCTGATTATAATATTATCTTTCTATTGTTTAAAGAAATTACTATTCCTTTTATTAATATTTAAAACTTCTTTTCTTTGAAAAACAATATTTTTTTCCCTAGCTTATTCAGCACTAACAATTAATAATTCAGATATTTGTCTTTATTATAATTTTGCCTGCCAAAACAGAGATAATGATGAGTGTGGTGATTGTGAATGTTGTAACCCAACCAGTGAATTTTAAATTAAAGGAAAAGCATAAAACTTTTATGTTGCCAGTCAAATCTTTGAGAGGAAGCCTGTCTTTTTTCTTCTTTTTTCCCAAGGCAATGGGATTATAACAAATGAAGGCTTACATGCATGGTCCCATGAGAGAGAGAGAGAGAGAGAGAGAGTGTGTGTGTGTGTGAGAGAGAGAGAAAGAGAAGGGGTAGTTCAATTAATACCTGTCAATAATAGATAAAGAAGAGAAAGCAAAAAGGAGGGAAAAGGAAAAAGGATGGAAATGAAAGTGGGGTTGGTTGGGATTGGGAGTACTAAGATCTTCAAAAGTTGTTCTTGACATGAAGGAAGCTTCAAGGAGTCGACTAAAAGGTGAATTATAATATTTGGTTTTGAAGATTAGTAGATTAATTATTTGGGTTTAAAAAAATATGTGACACTAATGGTAGGCAAAGTGATAAATACAGACACATAAACCTAAAAGTTGATTTGCTGCAATTAGTTCCTGTTTCTATGGCAGCTCTTTAAGACCCGCGATAACAAACCAAACCAAAACTCCAATATCTATGACTCGGATGTTCACTAGAGAAGGTAGTGGACTTGGGTAGAGTTTGATTCCTCGGTGCTTTGAATAATTATGGATGGAACTTTGATAATTACATGTTCAATCGACAAGGTTGGTTGTTATCCAAATCTCTCATTTTGAATAGATATAGGGTGAGCTGGGCATATTAAGTCATTAACTAATGAAAATCAATACAAATACGAGATTAGTTTTAAAAAATAGGTAGGACCAATTTTATAGAATGGTATTTTTATGGACCGAACATATTAATAGCATGGCATGCCTAAATTACAAAAGTATCACTCCTTTGGTCATTAAAGCTATTCTCAAGAATAAAAATAACGGATAATTGCGCACTATTAAAAATCTTTTAATTTGGAAAATGTCAATAATTATGCCAAAAACACCATTTATTAGAAAGTAATAAACCGAGAGAACAGCAATAAAATAACATGAAATGAGTTTATTAAAAATAATTTTAAAAAGTTAAACATATTAAAAAAAAAAACTAACGTATAATAAAAAAATATTAGAGACAGCGAATTCATGCAGTCACCTAATTTATATGGAATTAAAGTAATAATAATAATAATAATATAATTTTAATCATATGAGTAACATCATTTTAAATTTCTTTCTATTAATATAATCGTTCGGTGGATATTTTTGACACCATAATAGTCATCCATAATAATTAGAAAAAGGGCAAAAAAAAATCTACAAATAATATAAGGGCATGTGTCCTGAATCCCTCCAATTAAAGCAGTTTGGAGTGGGGGTATCTGTTTAATTATAATGTGTGAGTCCACTACACTAAATGGTTTTTTGCATTATAATTTCAGAATGGACTCAAATGCAAGCAACAGACAAGTGGAGCCCTTTTGTAATGTCCACTCACCAGCCACAAATGATCCATGTTTTTTTAAAAAATTTTAATTTAACTCGCATGTTATGCATGCATATTTGTTTATTTGGAAATTAAACTCTCACAGCTTATTTTGAAAGATAAATGAGATATTAAGTTTTATGTGTGTTTTCATAAAAAGTTAGAGAATTTAAGTCTTCACGTGTGTTCATGAGTAACTTATCTGTCAAAAATATATATATCTACCAATAGTGAGCAAGAGGTTTAAATTAAAGATATTTCCAACAAAAATTAAATACTCTATGCAGAAAAAAAACGAAAAAAAAAAAGAAAAAAGGAAGGCCAACCATATTGGGTAACTGAAGATAAGTGAAGCCCAAAGCTGTGTGACAAGATTTTAAATCCATGGGCGATAACCCTTTTTGTGGGGGACGGCCCTGTCCCAAGGCGGTCACCTTGGGCCTCAAATTTTGAGGCCCATAGAGGATGGAAAAAAAAAATTAAGTTAGGGCATGGCTTGGTCGGCTTGGGCCTCAAATTTTACAGGCCCACAAGGGATGGGAAAAAAAAAAAAAAAATTAATTTAAGTTAGGGCAAGTTTTCAGACGACACAATCTGCTTCGACACTCCGCAGGACGCAGCCTCCGCTCTCGGCTCAGGCTCAGGTGACACCGTGACAAGGTATGTTCATCCTCTCTCTCTCTCTCTCTCCCTAAGTCCACTCCAGTCTCACAACAGCAGCAACCATACCCCTTTTCCTCATAATTTTTTGCATTTTCACATTCAATCCTACGAAAATTAAGAATCCCTTCCAGTGGGTTGAGGACCTGAGGTAATAATTAACTTTTCGATCTCTAAATTATGCTCATACTTAAAAGTGCCAAATTGGGTTTTTTTATCTTATTTTTTTTTTAATTTTTATATGAAGATACATACCACCATTATTGATGTTATTTGAAGTTGGCTCAGCTAGAATTTCGGTTAATAATACTGTCAAAGGCTCAAAGCACTTGCCATCAGAATGTACAAACACATGGAAATCAAGAGCAGGCTTTTACAAAACAAAAGTTAATGGTTTTTCTATTAATTTGCACAGGTCTTCTGTTGCAATGATCAATCAATCACTGCTACTAAAGTTGATTCCTCATCCTGAAATCAAGAAAGGGGTAATTGACTCCCAAAAAACACACACAAAAACACACACAAAGCTCCAGTGAAAACTCCAGCCAGGAGATCATTCGACCAAACTGCTTGATTTTAGATTTTTTTATATTATATTTATTGTATGAATGGCAATGCTTAGTTATTATTGTTTCCGTTTGACTCTCCATCAATTTTCTGTTAATTGTGATCTTCTTTCACATGCTAGCAGGACACTCTTCTTAGGATCTCGTGAGGTTATTTGCCTTGAACATGAATCAAATCACTGCATATTGAGGACACTCTTCTTAGGATTTCGCGAGGTTATTTGCCTTAGAACATCTACTTTGATATGGAGATGAATTTTGATTTTTGTGACTAAGTTGTGTTGAATATTTCCTTTTAATTTTTTTTGATGTAAACTGGATCGTGCTCTTTTTAAAGCACCAAGGCCGGATATTCTTTTGTTTGTTTTCAACATTAATATATTTTATGTTCTTATCATCTCATATTACTGAAAATTCCGCATTCTTATAAATTTTTTGTGCCATAAATTTACTGTTATTAGTTACCTGTCTTATGCATACTGCACAGGCACACAATTATTTATTGGTGGTGATAAATTTATAGTAATTAGTTAGTTGTTTTATGCAATCTGCACAGGTGCACAATTATTTATTGGTGGTGATAAAAATTTATAGTTATTAGTTAGTTTTCTAAAACACACTGCACATGCGCACAATTATTTATTGGTGGTGATAGATTTATAGTTATTAGTTAGTTGTCTTATGCACATTGTACAGGCGCACAATTATTTGTTGGTGGTGATAAATTTATAGTTATTAGTTAGTTGTCTTATGCACAATGCACAGGCGCACAATTATATTAGCTATAGAATTTGAAAACATCATGTGAAAAATCCGCACTCTTATAATTATTTTTGCGCGTGTGAAACTTAAGGGCCTCACATTTGAAAGTTCATTATTATTAATTTGACACAGAACTCAGAAGAATGATATACTTGTCATCCAGTACATGCTTACAGACCACATTGAGATAGCTTATGCATCTTCGACTTTGCTTGTATACTGAAAATATTGAAAGAGCTTTAGAATGAAGCTGCTATTTTACATGAGCCGGGCATATATGTTTTTTCTTTTAACTTACTACTTGTTCTTTTCCAATTATTTTTAGGTTCCTTGTAGCCACTAATTCAAGTATGCAAAGAATAAAGAATCTTCTATCTCGAATGGTCAACTTAACCACTAATTCCAGTGACTTAAACACTGATATTAAAAGGGAGAAATTGAAGGTGGTTAATAACTCCGATGACTTCATAAGTGCACTTCCTCCAGAAGTCATGGAAGTTATACTTCAGAAGCTCAACATTGTGGGTTTTCATTGCTTTAGTGCAGTTTGCAAGAGTTGGAGGTCCATTGCGGTTACTGCAAAGCACCATCAACACTTCTCTTTTCGACAGCTTCCATGGCTAATGCTATCCACCAACAATAGTTTGCGGGATGATCAACAAAGGTTTTTCAGTCTAATGCTATCCACGAACAACAGTTTGCAGGATGATGAACAGAGGTTTTTCAGTCTGGATCATGGAAAAATTTTCAAGCTGAATCTGCCTGAGGTTTGTCATTGTAGGTGTTGTGGTTCTTCCTGGGGGTGGTTGATATTGGCAAATAGGAGTGGAGACAACATCCTTTTCAATCCATTTTCGAGGCGTAAGATCCAACTTCCATCCCAGACTACACTTCCTGTTGCTCAATATATTCACACTCTTGGTGGTGTTATGGAGCAATGGTGGAAGGGTCCATCATTCATCCGGAAGGCCATGTTATTATCGCCTCCTGCAAGTGATAATGATGGAAATATTGTGGGTGACGATTGTATTGTTGTCGCTATTTATGAATTGGCGAAGTTGTGCTTTTGTAGACCAGGGGATCAGGCTTGGACTGGTTTTGGGAACGAGCATCTCGGCGTTAGTTTTGAAGATATGATACTGTACAATGATCAGTTGTACGGTGTTACTGATGAGTATGATCTCGTGCTTATTGAGTTGGATCCCCAACCAAGGGGCACAAAAGTGACCATGCCCTCCCCTGATGGCCATGATCGCCATTCTCATCCTGATTCGGAGTTCATTTATTTGGTTGAATCTTGTGGGGAGCTTTTGATGGTTGTGAGACACTGCAGGTATCCTACAGGGAATGGAAGCTTTCCCCCTTGCTTCACTACTGCATTTAAGGTGTTCAAGTTCGATTCAAGTGGTCCTCGTTGGGTTGAAGTAGACAACTTAGGTGATCAGATGCTATTTGTTGGCACCAGCAGTGGCATCTCCTTCTCTGCAAGCCTCTTCTCAGGATTTAGGGGAAACTGCATTTATTTTACAGATGACAATTTTTGGAATATAGTTATTATATTTGAAGGTCCAAAAGCTTGTAGGGATTTGGGTGTATTCAGCTTAGATGACGGGAGTATTAAATCCTTCTTTCCAACTGGCAGCCATTCATCTCTATGTCCTCCTGTATGGTACATGCCGAGTCATTTGTAGGGTTGATACAAGGAAATAGAAGATTCGTACTTGTTCGTGTGAATCAAAAACACTAAGGGGTAGTTTGGTAATGTTTATGTTTATGTGTGTGTTTGCTATTTTTTTTTTTTTTTTTGAGTTTAATTATTAGCTTTTAAAAAATATTAATATGTTTGGTAATTTTCAATTGTTTTGAGAATTTTGAATACCAGAAAAGTGTTTGGTAATGATGGGCTGATACATGTGTTTGTATCAATATGATGAAGACCAAGATTTTTATTTAACAATAACCATTTTTCAATGAAGAATCCAACACTTACAGGTTATCAGCTCCTGAGACGGCGACACACAGGTCCTTTAGTAGCTCAGAAGTCAACCCATTGTACCTATAGTGAAAAAAAACCCAAGATTCTTCGTCTCCCTAAACCTCTCTGCCCTAGTAACCATAGTTCCAATCGCTTAAATCATTCATTTATTGCCTACTAAATCACTTGACAAAGATTTAAGAAATCCATTCTGAATATACTTTTATATGTTCATTTTATAAATAATGGGGTTTGAACCTGGCATACCCACTTAAGTTAATATCATACCAATAACGCGTAGGTAGAGTGGTTTGCCCACTGCACATGCAGGCCACAGCAATGAGAGAGGGATCAGAGGGTGAGGAATTCTTCTCTTCTTTGGGACAAAAAGAATCTGAACAATTTTAACTAATATGAGAGTGTACAACCTGATGAAGTACTAGAACTAATTAATATGACCATTCATTCCTAACGGGCCGGTCTCTTAAACTAGTCCAAGTAATGCTTTGTCTATTTAGGATTTACCCATGTTTCACCAAATTTTTTTTTTTTTTTTTTTGGCCCTGTTAAAATTGTCTATAATAAATAAATTAATTAATGTAAAAAAAAATAAAAAAAATTTGAGCCCCATCCCTTCAGGACAAGAATTACCCCCTTTGTCCCAATTTAGATGTTAGTTGTGGGAAGTAAAATTTTTTAAGGGAACACGTGCGACATACCTTGTTTCCGTGGAAAGTTACTAATTTGCCTTTTTAAGTTTTGAATATTCAAATTTGAAATTTTAAACTCTAAGGATATATACGAAAAGAGATAAAATATAGTGTTTGAAAAAGGAAAGTGACAACTATTTTGAGACAGACCAAAAAGAAAAGCATGATCATTTTTTTTTTTTGGGACGGAGAGTAATTTTTTAGAGGTTAAGACTTACCAAACATGATCCACATGATCCCAAATGCTAAAACTCTTAAATCTGGTCTGATGTCGTGGCTTTATCGAGTAAATAGCTATTGCTCACTAAAATTCAATGTGATTTGCTTCATTACTCCTCCACTTGGGTATTAGAAAAAGGTCTTATCAAACAGGCAAAGTCAGGTCAAGGTCCGGTGGCAACGCATGCTAAGAAAGGGTAATCCATCTACCTTCCATTCTAATTAATCATTAGACAAAGGATCGCTTGATGTCGCATTGTAGTGGAAATTTAGTGCATCAAAGGCCCAAATATGAAGAATACTACAGGATTTAGCTATTGTGTCCTTAGTCACTACACAAATAAATGGTATACAAGCAAAAATGATCAATGAATTGAATATGAGTGAATAATTGAAACACAAGAAGTCTACTTCAGAATCTTCCAAAAACATTACCTAAATACAACTTGTAATAATCGTTTATTTTTTAAAATTACTAAATTTACTTTTAAATTCTCTCCATGCTTTTATAATTTTATTGATGCTGCTTCATAAGTTCCAGAAATAAGTTATCATTTCAACCAAAAATACAATGCTGGAAAAAACTAGTTATTTGCTCATAAATCCATCTTGAATTTAAATCTTTTTTTTCAGCCAAACGATTCCGTATAAAGAGAGCGCCAAAACGCATGACGTACCCACGTTCACGGTGGCTTTGGGTCTTCATTTCCAGATCACGTACGTGTCAAGGTTTCAAACTTTCAATATCCATTTACTGATTGGTCATGAAGCAAAAATTTGGGACCAACCACCATTTGTCAACATGTGTTAAATAATTGTAACTCCCAGATTCTTAATCCAATCATATATTAACAGAAAACCTGACAAACATTAGAAATGAGACCCAGCATATAGATTTAACTAACCAGATGCTCATTTGTGACTATTTTACACACCTTGATGCTCATTTTGTGATCATCAAACCAGATGAACACAAGTTACTACAACTCCACATTTGATAACTGTGATGGCAAATATACATTTTCTGCTTCTTAATGACCGTGGTTGTGATATCTGGATCAGTCAATCACTTTCAGACCTTGGTTAACAACTTCATAAGAATTAGGGACAATTAAGTAGTCTTCCGAATTCAACAATGAGTAATAATTATAAATTTCAAAATATTATCTGTGCACTGAAGCTGAAAACATCTTATAACATATACAAGAGACTAGCAGCGTTCATTAGCCAAATATAATCTGCTAAAATTCAATGTAATGTGTTGGTCATCACTCCTCCACTTGAGTATTAGTATCGACTATCAACCATCAACGCAGAAGCATGTTCCTTAATGAGACATGCTAACTTAATGGGCAAGGGAAGCATGGGCACTGTGCACATGCATATCATTCTCTTTTACAGTACTAATTAGGACAGACGCGGAATAGAGAGCTTCCAAAAGTGCAAAATTAAAAGACATAAACCTTTTCATTCTTTGAGGGAGAAGATACAATGTAGCATTAGGTGCCTTTTCTTTTCTGGGCAAGAATTTACTTTTACTTCCATGACCAGACCAGACCAAACACAAAGTTTATTCAATTCTACACTTACTTGGGGACACTGCTTTGCTTGCACCCCAAATGGTTGATTCTCCACCGCAGCATCTATATCATGTACAGGAAGCTTCTACTGCTAAACTCTTTGTCACTCCAACACACGGCTCACCAAATGTATTTATTGAGACTCCAATGCTGCAACTCTTTGATCCAATGCAAGCCTGTAAAAATTTTCACGCTTGTAAGTGCAAACCAATATAAATGACTAGATCAAACAGTAACTGGTTAGGTGAAAACAACTTTATCGGAAGAGAGCAAGATTGCACCTTCCGTACAACAGAAAGAGCCCTGGTGCTGCTGCACCGGCCATGACTGAAACTTCCACAAGTCCCACGAGGAGTTCCAAAGCTTGCAAACTTGATTGAAGAAATGACTTGATTAGGCAAAGGGCACTCGAGTAATAGTGTAGGCCCTGTTTTCCTTCCAGTCTTTTGATCTGAACTCCACATGTCTACAGGTACTGGATGAGACTCTGACACGTGTGAGCACAAACCTTCCATTTTTCTTGTAGCAAAAGATATCTGTGTTGGATCCCCACCCATTTCCTCAAACAACACCAGAGTGTTTCCGCTAGGTTGTAACCACGATCGAGGTACATGGTAACTGCAAGATCAATATGATCAAAACCAATATTTTTACTCAATAATAATTTTCAACAGAGAATCCAACACTCACTGTGCCTGAGATGGCTTCCCACAGTTCTCGAGGCATTTGTTTGAATTATAAGGTCCTCGAAAATTGCAAGAGTTGGTGCAACCACCATTTGGAGCGGTATAAGTTGGCCAATAACGACCAATGCTTTGTCCATTCACCCATGCTTCACCCTTCCCCATCCCTGTGAAGTCTAGTGCAATTGGGTCATGACCGGCAGGAGTATCAAAATTCGTCTGAAACAACAGAGTGATGCTTTTCTGTGTTACTCATGAAGATATGACTCAATTTTTCATGGTGTTCTTCACAAAATCATTTAACTAACAAGAATAACTCAACTCCAGTGAAGGAACAAACCGGCAAAGCATATAAAATCGATACTTTTTAAAAGTACAAATACCGTTTCACTACATAAGTGCATATAAATTACAAGTATGAAGTGCCTCATTTCCCTATATCCAAGACCAAATTAAGACTGATTTTAAAATGTTTCTACAACCAATTTTAAATTATACATAAAATCAAAAGGCATTGTTACTTCAACCAATCAAATACTTTGGTAGTTTTGCATTCCGCTCTACAAGAGCCTTATCCTTAAGTACTTAGTAATGCAGTAAAAGTAGTTGAGGCAATGGCTGTAAAAGAAGCTATCTCTGTTGCATTTCTATGGGGATGGCAGAAGACTCAAATTGAAGCTCAGGAGATAATGCTCTGCAATAGAAGACTGATGCTACCACTAATATTGATGTTATTCAATCAGAATTGATGATGTCTTGTTGGATGTTCCTTTTTCTATGTTAGTAGAGAATGAAATGTGTGGCTCATAGTGTAGCCAGGATAGCCCTGAAGATGGTTTCTACTTTCCCAATCATTACCGTTCCTTGATTTGGGGTGGATTGGGGCTTGGCTGGTTGGCCCTAAATTTTGTTTGGAGCAGAAATAAGTAGCTTCATACATTTGTCAGTAACTTATTGACTCATTATTACCTGTCCTTTAGTAGCTCATAAGTCTGAACTAATCGAATTTCATCCTTTATACCTTAAGTGAGAAATTCTCGAACTTCATTATTTCCCCACATCTCTCTGCCCCAATAACCACCATACTTCTAATTGCTTAAATCATTTATTCATTGCCTGCTAAATCACTTGACAAATATTTAAGAAATAGATTATAAATATAATTTTTATGTTCATTCTATATAGATAATAGGATTTGAACCTGGCATACCTACTGAATGTTATACCAATAACCCATAGGGTGAGTGGTTTGGGTGCTTCACATGCAGGTTGAGGGTTCAAGCAATGAGAGTGATCAAAGGGTCAAGGATTCTTCTATCATTTGGCACAAAAAGAATCTGAACAATTTTAACTAATATGATAGTGTACAACCTGATGAAGTACTACAACTAATTACTGTGGCCACTGAATTACTAATGGATCTCTTAAACTAGTCCAAGTAGTAAGAATCTGATATTACCTTGTACCAAATCAAGGATTGCTTCTTGGGCAATGTAGACTGTGATACCCAAACTGAAGAACTTCCAGTCGAGAGACCTAATTCTTCACCTTTAAGTCCAATCTGTGCTCAGAGACAAATGAGGGAGATAAGAGTGAATATTACTGTATTTAGTTCTTCAATCACACACCAAACATGTAGCCTTACAGAGCAGGAAAATACCGTTTCATGGCTAATGCAAACTTTATGGTATCACAGAAAGAAAAGAAAAAAAAAGAAGAAGTCTGTCAACGATAAAATTATCATTTTACATTCAAGGATCAACATTCAATGCCTAATTGATAAGTATCATTTAATGATTACAAAGAGCAGGAATCTGTGAATATCAACTCAAGTTAACCTGATACGTCCACTGTGCTGAAGAGAGATCAATGCTAGACCCGTTCTTTAAGCCTTTCAGCTTCACCGGTCCAGTAATCCCAGCTCCTGTCAAGTCAAAGAATGCTCCATAGTTCTAGAAAAATAAGCATAGGATTTCATTAGACAAATCTTTCTTCCTAGTTATATCTTCTGACTGTCAGAATGGGTTCATCAGTAGATAACAAATTCAATTGAATCACTTGATGTGAAAACACTGCACAAGAATATAATCGAGACAGCAAACTCCTATCTTTGTTGAATGCTTTGAAAATCTTAAACATGAAGGTCGAACCTGAAGTCCAACGGTCAAACTCAAGAGATCGATTGTGTTCTTCCCAGGTACTAGAGTTGCAGGGACCTCCATGGAAACCTTAGCATTGCCACTATTTCCTTTTCCACTCCCTACAAAAGAACCAACTCGAAATTTTGCATTCACATTATGCAAAAACTAAAAACCTAAAAGGATCATATTGAAGTCATTCATGCATTTGGCACCTTTGCATATTTTATATTAAAAAAAAGTAATCGATCTCTGTAGCCATTATGCCACTTAATAGTGAACATTTCCCCATCTGTCGGTATCTTTTCCTACTACTCAAATTATTATCAGGTGGTAGTTTTATGTATTTAATAGTGTAGAAGACAACATGTGGAGCACAAATAACAGAACAATGATTTTTGAAAAAAAGAGGTAAAGCAGCAAGGAAGCAGAAATTCTAGAAAGAGAAAAATACATCCAAGGAAATCATGTCCTTGCAAGTGGTGAAATGCTTTATTTCCCATCACCTGCAAACTTCCCATTAATGAAAGCATGAAGAGCATGGCCAAGTGATTCCACATGAAGAACTGTTTGAGATCCATCTTGAAGGAAAGGCTCATCACCTTGAATTTCAGTTCTGCGGAAAGAAACCAGAAAAATGAAATATGGAACAATCAAAGACACTTTCGGCAGGAAGTAAAAACTATGTCTTTAGATTGCAGCAGAGAAGATAATAGATTTCTTATACCTTAGTGAGTACCACAAATAATCACTTTCATCAGCTGTGGTATTTATCTGCTCCACTAATCCTAGTTTCATGAACGCATTTTTATTTGAGATACCCACTGGTTCAATAAACCAACTCCATCCTGACTGTAAGACCTTAGAAGGAGAAACACCATCTTCCAAAGATTGACGCATGAATCTTGTAATGGTAGTCAGAGAATTAATCTGTTGCAAGAAGTTACAAGATTAGTTTCTGTTCCTTTACGAACAATAACAACCAAAGTTGAGGTGAGCTTAGATGAAAATAGAGAAAAAATAAAATATAAATTATCAACTGGAATGCTTTAGAAATCAATATTATATTAGAAATATTGGAGTCAGTTTGTTGAAGTCTATACTCCAGAGGAGGCATATAATGTGCACGTGGTCCTCCAATATTAGATGAAACTTTCTACAGTCTTGAGAAGAAAAATTCAAAACCATTGCTTTAATAATCAATGAATCTAATTCTGATGTGATTCCAAATAAATAGGAAATAGACTGCTTTTCAAGTGGGTGCATCTGAGTGGAATGAGACCCATAGCAAAAACAATGAGTCTGCCTAGTTAAATTGTTCAGATGATGCATCGCCGGTCAGATCAGCAGGTCAAACCTAAATTACCTCGTAAAATATTCCTAACTATGGAGCATGGATAATTCTATAATGGAGTCATATTTGTATCAAACAGCAATAAGCATATCTGTTATTTGGGAAGAGCTTTTCTGAACACTTAATCGATACACATGCCCATTGCCTGACATGTCTTGGACATTAAAATGAAGCTTTGATTAGTAATATCTCATAGAATAATTATTAGGAAACATAACAAGAGTTTCAAATACTTAAGTCTTTCTTAGAGAAAAGAATTGATAAATAATGAGAATCTACCAAGTCCAATTTAGTCCAAAGTCCAGGCAGCATAATTTTCATCTTATTCACGTGATTTTTAATATTATGAGCTTAAAGGTTTAGAATATTTTATAAATACATATTTTCCATAATTTCTTTACAAGGTATGTTAGCCATATATGTATATAACATGAAAAACAATTATTGCAAGTGCCGTGTTGCCTGAGTGGGTGGGTTGCTCCCCGTGTTTGGGAGCCCGTGTTTGAGCCTTGCATCCTCCCCCTCCCCTCTAACCACTAACCCCTAACATTCTTGCCATGACCAAAAAAAAAATTGAAAATTAATTATTATTTTCAATTTATATATAGATGCAATATATCAGGTTTGCCCTGTCGACATTTCGTATCGGGTTCTACCCTATCCATCTCCATACTTCATGGCTTCACATTTTCCTTAATTACTCTTATAAAACTAATTTCTGTTCGGCATAAATATAAAAATAAAAAAACTTTGAATTTAAAGATTGGAATTAACTTATAGTCCAAACTAGAAAATTCCTTCCACTTAGTGATGGACTCCACAACTAAAAAATTGAATTTAGCAAGCCTGCAAGTGAAGGTTAATCTATTGCCAGTTAGATTGAGGTAGGGAACATGGGTTTGCCATTATAACAGAGTATCTATTGATGTTGGTCACATAAACACAAGTTCTATAAATTTATCCAGAAACAATTTAGTTATATTTAAAAGCAAGTGTAGTCTCAATCGGAGAAATAAACAATCTAACTTTAAGGATTATAATGGTGTTCGTATAGACAAATGATTAAGAATATAAAGCCAATAACAATATGCACCTAAATCAAACATAATCATTCATCTATATTAATGGATTTCTTCTTGTTGGGATTTCATCATGAATTCCTATTTTTAGGTTCCTTTTTCACACGATTTGGAAATCAGACACCATATAAAAGAAACTACAGGGAGTTTTTTTTTTGGTTATATTAGAAAACTTTGAGGAAAATAAACTCTGAGGAAAGAAGAGATATTGTTTGTAACTTTGAAGAAACCCGAATTTTTGTTATGGAAAGAAACATGGAAAAACAAGTGAGGAAAAAAAAAATCGTCATAAAGAAATCTCTCTGTTTCCTTTCTCATTTCTATTATTGTTTCAAAGAACCAACTTAAGACTGTAAAAAAGGTATTTCCTATTCCTTGTTCAACTTGTATTTGAAGTAGAACTCCAAAAAAAAATATTGTTGTTGGATTTTACACTATCTAATATAAGGAAGGGCAACAATCTAAAGACCTCATGTTTAGGGCCTTAAACGAAATCTTTTTGGGGGTTTAGTTAAATACTTTTTTGTGGATTCTAGGAAAATTCAAGCACTGTTGACCCTCTAGTAATTAATGCTAATAATTTCTTAGTTATTAACATTAGTGTTTGGAAAACCCTTGTTTTAACATTTTCTTGTTATGTGAAAACAAAGCATAATAGCTAACTCTTAACTGGATACAAGGCAATGATGGTTTTATGATGGGAGAAAAATGGATGCAAAATATAAAACACACGTTTTGTTTTGGAGAGGAAGTGAGTGAACCTACTGCATTGAGTTAGATAATTTTCAAAATAAAACATAATAACATCTAAAACCACTAACAAAGATATAGGTCCTGAGATCCAATTTCCAACTAAAATAATTAGATGTGGGTGCTTTGTGCAACCACACAGAGGGCCACCAGATACACAACTTTTCTCCACTAACTTAAGAAAGTTCTAAACTTCAAAAGTTCAAATGTAAGATAAGAGACGGTGCTGAAAATAACTTTTAAAATGTTCCAGTATCTTTTAAAATGGAGAGGAACACAAGTCAGCAGTTACTATATAAAATGAAATATAACTAAATTTTTATTACTACAAACTCAATCATATTAAACTTCAAGCTATTGATGTAAGGTGCAGTAAACGAAGCTCGGAAACTCATCCTGGATTGCAAGTCAGTCAGCTGAAACTCAGAGAGAGAGAGAGAGAGAGAGAGAGAGAGAGAGAGAGAGAGAGTCCTGATGCAAGTAATTTATCAACAAATAATTAAAGGAAAAGATAGCATCACAGAATTCTAGTGCAGTAGCATCGTAATTGGAAAACATGTTTTAAGTACAACATCCACAGCAGGAGATGATGATAAGAAAGAGAGAGTCGTGACATGAGTAACTATCAACAAGTAATTTAAAGAAAAAGATAGAATTCAATAGAGTTCTAGCACAGTAGAATTGTAAATGGAAAATATGGTTTAAGTACAATATGCACATCAGGAGCTGATGAGACAAACCTTTGCAGTGTTAAGTACTACATTCTTGCAGTCAGGTAAAATGCTCACAGACCACGCAGGCAAGTTATATGAATTGCCATTAAAATTCACGGTTGCATCAGATTGGGTACCCACATTTGCGAGATAAGCAGCACATAACCCCGATCCTGTTTTATAAACACTCGCCTGAGATGGGAACAAGTCCATGTCAACAAAAACAATATTCTACACTGTAAAGCACACAGCAGGATTTATATGAAAAATAAATTCCAGTGCTTAGGATATGAGTAGCACTTCAAGCATACACATAATTCATAAAAGTTTTGAAAGCAACTGGGAACAGGACTCCAAGTGTCAAAATTATTACACGAACCACAAAATCCGAGACATCTTCTCAATTTTTGTTGCATTTAAGTATCAAGCAGAGAAAGTTCTTTCATATTAAAGGTCCAAACTTAAGTTTTGTGGTTAAGGCCATTTATGAAACTCCACCAATCATAATTAAAATATGAACACTTGTACACTTGTGAAGTAAAAAATCATATTTAACTAATCTTTTAGAGAAGCCAAGCAGAGATATGACAAACACTTTCAAGCAAAATTTTTTAGAACTAAATTTCATGCACTTTCAAAGGGTTCAAATTGTTATGCACGAGATAATGAGATATAAAGCATGATCATGAAATGTGGCCAAATCCATGGTATAAATACAATGAAAATAGACAGTAAACATGTACAAGAATAAGCAGCTCCTCTCTAATTCAGTGGTAACAAAAGTAACTGGTGAAGTTCTTTAAATGGTGTAAGAAAGGAAGGAGACTGTTCGGATTACGATATTAGGCAAGAAATGACCACCAATCTCTTCCTCAGGGAAGTACTGGGGTTACGAAGAACCTCTATGATCCAGGTAATATCTGTGGGACACTGACATGGCTTGAAGCCTCATCAAAATAGGCTTTCATACAGGGTTTTAACATCATTTAGGAATTTATACACTTAGAGCGGGTACAACCTTCATTTATGATTTTAATATAAATCTCAAACCGGCAACCACTGGACATGAACACAAGCATTAGACTGTCAAAAAAATATGGGAATTGGGAAGAGTGGGAAGTTTTTAAGACATGATTAAGGAATAGAGGATTGCAGGTATACCTCCAAATTTGAACCAAGAGAGGTAATTGTTGGATCCGTGGCCATCATTGGCTCTTCGCAAAGCTTTATGGCACTATGCAGATCTTTTAGGTGGCCCCACTTGGGTTGTCTAACAAGTCCTGCAACATATGGGTTTAAAAACTCTAAAGAAGTGGAAGACAAGAGTCCAATATAACAAAACTAGTATTCCTGGACTAATGCATTTTAAAAATAACATAAGAACACCGTTGCCGCGTCCATGACTTCATTGGTTAGCAGAATCATACATGCTGCCTGCTGGAAACATTATTTAGGTAGCACCATTGCACATGAGATGCAACTGATGACTGGGAGTTACATTTAGACACATAACTACAAAGCTTACAGTGCCAAGCAATGAAATTTTAACATTAATGATAAAGGGAGAAAACCCTACCATACTCGTCGAGTGGAGCGTCGTAATCATAACTTGTAGCAATGAAGGGTCCACCAGTAGTGCGGCCAAAGTTAGTCCCACCATGGTACTGTTTGAGCAACAAAAACATATCTGATGTTTAAATTCACATTCTTTGTTGATTCATACTTGATTCATTTAGAGTAAGACTTGTACGTATCAGGCAAATTATCTTCCTCCTACCGGCCTTCCCCCAAAAATATAGCAAAGAAATAGAAAAAGGATACCATATAATAATTTTGAAAGGTTCCTCCTCGCTGAAAAAAACGTGCCACAGCAAAAGCAATGTCTTCGACGGGTCTGTAGGGGACAGCACCGCCAAATGAAAGAAACCTAATGTTCCAATTAATTGGAATGGTTGAAAAATGTAGAAGCATTCAAAGATAAGGAAAGATAAATACTGACATCAGTAACAAACCCTTGTACAATTACGCAACTAGAATATCATGAGAGGCCAAGAAGCCAGATAACTTACCATCCAGTCCAATTCTCAGTCCACATTTTTGGTGTCTTTTTAGAATTTTGGGTGAATTGATCACAATAAAATCCATTGCAAGTGTTAATCTGCAAGTAATTGATAGAGAAAATGCAAGTTAAATCAGGTATTATTGAATAGACATGTTCTACTATAACTAGGCTAATTTATTATAACTAAATAACTATCAAAGTAAAAGTGCAGTATTAATAAACTATTAAATAAATTGAAGGAATGAACTCACAATAGGATCAGGAGCATCTTCTTGCTGGCACATCACCCAGGGCACCCCTGTATCCAAAGATGTAGCCATGGTTGCTGCCCAATTAATATAAGTTTTGGCAGCAGGTCCATAAGCTGAATCAATGTTTCCATACTCATTTTCTATCTGCAAAATTGTTAAATATTATCCTTCAACATTTTAGTAACCAGAAAGTTAATTTGTGATCATCTATGAATTATTAACATCACAATGAAGAGCACCCAAAATAGAATGATGCATAGCTACACAGAACACCACCTGAGACAAGATAATTGGTCCACCTTGAGATGCATAAAGATTTTCTTGCTTCATCATGTCCACAATTTTGGCTGTGAATCGTTTCATTTCTGCCTAAAAACAGAAGGCTTTTAAAAGATAATATCTATAGGGCAAGAAATTGGTATTTTAACAGCGTAAAAGTAGTAAGGGGCATGGGAAAACCTTAAATGGCTCATTGTCAGTTCGGAACTTAATGCCCGGCAAGAAATGCAACCAAAGAGGAAATCCTCTGTCCAAAAGCAGAAAATAAAATTCATGTTACATCTATGAAGAAAGAGTATGCAAACATTAATCAATTTTAATTTGATTCAATGCAAGACATTATTTTGAACAAATAGCATGTGAACTTTTTACCCATAATTCCACTCCGCACAGACATATGGACCAATGCGTAGATGAACATATAAACCAGCTTCCGCTACCAACTTTACGAACTTAACCAAATCTTTTCTTCCTTCAAAATCATACTGCAAAGTGTCTTGACTTGTCAGTAATTTTATAACGTAATTAGATTAAGTCCTGATTCATTCACACTTTGAGTTGAATTAACAGCATTGAATTCATCAAGAACAATTAAATTGACTGCCCGTTTGGTTGCTGAAAAGGTTCAAACAAAAATATTTAACTTTTAAACCTTAAATTATAAATTGCAAGAACAGAAGCACAAGATTTGCAAGGAAATCTAAATTTTGTAACATTTTTCTTCCTCTTTCGCAGTAACCAAACGGAGGCCAGGCCATTATAAATAAAATCATACTGTGCTTGACTTGTCAGTAATTATAAAAGGTAATAAGATTAAGCCCTAATTCATTCGTCCTTTGAGTTGAATTAAGACTATTGAATTCATCAAGATTACTAAAAATAGACCTCAAGCGAAAAATTAAATTGACTCCCCTTGCTGAAAAAGTTCAAACAACCATATTTATATTTTAAACCTCAAATTAGAAAGTTCAAGAACAGAAGAGGAGATTTGGAAGGGAATCTAAATGTAGTAATAATATTTTTCTACCATTTTCTCAGCAACCAAACGGAGGTCCATTATATATAAAATGCAAAACGATACCTGGCTTCGAACTGGTTCATGCAAGTTCCAGAAAACGTAAGTCTCGATTACATCTAAACCTCCGTCTTTAGATTTCTTGATAAGGTCTGGCCACATCTGCATCAATAATAACGCACATTAATAATTAGAGAGTTCTAGAGAGAGAAAGTTTTAGAGAGAAAGTGTGTGTTCATCGCACGTCGGGAGTGCTGCGAGGGTAATGAATGGAACCGGAGATCAAGAGCCGGCGCTTGCCGTCGATGACCAACGCTCTGTGATCGTAACTGACATTGGCGGCAAATGTCGTCGTCGCAGCAACGCCGAGCAGCCAAAACAAAAGCATGAACAGGTACTCTGTCCCTCTCATTTTCTTCTTCAGAATTAACCAAGAATCGGAATGAATTCTTGATTTTATTCTTGTGTTCTCTGATTCTTATACTAAAAACTTTTTACAAAAACACTTTCTTGAAACATTTGCTTTGCTTTGCTTTGCTTAGGATGATTCTACTTCTGTTGCTTAACCGCCTTGTAAAACAGAAAGCCTGTGTGAGAAGGGAAGGGAATCAAAATGTAGAAAACAGGGTAAAGCTATCCTACGCCGGAGACGACACGCGACCTTATCCCCTTGTCACGTGCCGTCGTCGTCGTCTTCTTCTTCTTTCTCTGTCTTTTTCTCCTCCTTGTTTCTTCAGTCAGCTCAGAGTCACTTACTTTGCCGGGCGTCGCTTTCAATCAAAAATCGAGATAGAAATTAGGAAGTAGTAACAATTTTTTTTTTTGATCGACTCGAAGCACAGGAACAAAACCCATTTGTGTAACAGTGGGTGTTATTGAGTATATTTGGTGCACGGATAGGTGAGTGGTCCATCCACTTATATCGTGGCACGTGCAATGCGGTGGAGTAACATTTTACCACGTGTCTCTAAAAGGTTCGGTATTTTCGCTGCGCGTGACTCTAATAGAGGGGATGTCGGTTGGACTTCGTTGGCCTGTAATTGCCGTGATTGCCCTTCTCAAAGACGCTATATATATTTGAAACATTTCTTTTTCTTTTCGGTTATTATATCTTTCCAAATCAAATATAAGAGGTTTCAGTTTTTTTTTTTTTTTTTACCTGGCAATGGTTAGTAAGTTAGGTCTTGCTGCCTTAGTAACGGTAGGAAAAGGGAATTCGAACCTAAAAATATAAAGTAAGGATATTTAAGATATGACCTTTTATCACTAAGGCAATACCGTCACACCTAATCAAATTTAAGAATAGAAAGTATAATTTTGATAAAAGTTCAAAGAATGTTGGAAATCATTGAAAGAAAACGTAATTTTATTTTTTTATATATATAAATAAATTTTAAAATGAATAGTTAGTTTTAATAGTCTAAATAGGACGGGGCGAAGTGAGAAAAAAGAAAAAAAAAAATCCCCCATAGTTTGGAAAGTCAAATTTCACCTGTATAAAGTGTACAAATAAGGACTTTCTGTCCATTAAATAATATAAAGGCAAAATACCAAAATGCCCTCCACTCTACCTATAACAAAAATAATAAACGAAAACCTATAAGACAAATTTGCCTAAAAGGACAAACTCAAAACCACACCATTTTTATTTCTTTTACAAACCCAGATTGCCAACCAGGACAAGCAAGTGCCCATCGAAATTCCATGAAGCAGAGGAGAGAGTCGAGAGACCTCTATTTTTTATACTGTCGTTATCAAGAGTGATACTGTTGTTATTTTTGATATTGTTGTGGTTCTCTTTTTGTTATCTTGATTTGCATATCATACAAATTTGATGAAGAGGATAATGAACATAGTGTTTCGGTACAGGAGGTAGGTTGGTTGTGGTAGACCCATCACACCTTATTTAACTACCCTTCCAGTGATTTTCAATCCCAAACACTCAAATGGGCTGAAACACCACCACCCCCACGGTGTCCATACACCACCAAACAATTACCAACTAATCAATGAATTCAAGATTTTCTTTCCCAACAGTTGGTATCAAAATTATCACAATAATCACATAGCCAATTATGTGCGCATATGACTCAAGTGTTTTAAATACTAAGTTTACTAAACCATTTTATAAAATATATAAAAATAAATAATTTTATAAAATGACTGGAAATGGCACTATTAGAGGATGCCCCTCTTGTGCAAAAAACACCCCTATGACAAATTTAAATCCTAAGTTAACTAAATTACCCTTAATGAACCATTTTATAAAATATATAAAAATAAATAAATTTATAAAATGACAAAAAATAACACTATTGGATGATGCCAACAATAGACAAATAAAGAAAAAAAATAAAAAATAAAAAGAAAAGTATAAAAGAAAAATAAAGATAAAAATAAAAAATAAAAAACAAAAATAAAGTGCAAATTAAAGAAAACAAAATTTTTCCAAACCCTGAAAACCAATGCACACTAATATTGGAATTTTTTTTTTTTTCATTTGTTGTTTAATAGTGTTGGTACAAAAAAAATAAAAAAAAAATTGTAGAAAAAAGTAAACTGGAATTTCAAAAAAATCAAATCCTTATTCCAAAAATCTCAAAGTTTAAAAAAAAAAAATGTTTGGAGATATATATATATATATAGAGAAATACAAAATATAAAAAATAAGGTAATGTACACATAACACTCATATACTATGAGATTAGTAGCATATATACTCTTTTAGGCGTTTTTAGAAGAGTAAAATGGCAAAACGGGTATTACAACACAAATTTATGTGAGATGGAGTATTTTTGCACAATATAAAAAGATTAGAGGTATTTTTTGCATACTTTTTCAAATAGGGGTAGAAGCGCTATGCAGAGTATACTTTAGGGGTGTTTTTTTTTTTTTTTTTCACTTGTCCCATGCATATATGTGTGTGTAAAGTATCACAAACCTAATTCCAGCAGCCCATGATTCCTTCAATAATAAAAAAAAAGGCAGAAAATTTGTGTCATATTCCTTCAAGAAAAGAAAAAAAATTTGTGTCGGCGCACGCACGCGAGGGGGGGGGGGGGGGGGGGGGGTTGTCTAGGTGGTGTCTAATGAGGTGAGATTGTAAGAGTTGAATGAAGTCTACCGAAAGCCCGCGTTGTCTGATCAATCACACTTTTGGTTGGCAATTTCCTCCAACCCCGCGGGTTTCTGCCCCGCCCCCACCCCTAATGAGGTGAATTTAGTGGCCCTTAAATGGATTTAGGACGGGTATGATAAAATAATTGAAAACTTGAAGCGGGTTTGGGGTGGGAGCGGATTTAGTAATAACTCTGGCCCGACCCTGCCCCGATTATAAATGTATCTTTTAATTTTTTTTATATATAAAATATACATATTATATTTGTAAGACTCTTGTTACTTTACTGTTAATATATTAATATTCAATAGTTAGTAATTTGAAAGTTGGTTCAACTTAATTATTAGCCCAATTTGAACACATTGGGCTAGTTGGTTTTTTTTTTTTTTTTTTTTTTTTTTTTTTTTTTTTTTTGTAATAAAAGTGTTCTCCCCAACTATGTCTAAATTTGCAAATAACCCCCTGAACTATGTTTTATGCATAAAACCCCATAAACTATCACATTTAGTTGTAAAATGCCCCATTGTCTTACCTATTTTTCATTAAATGACTATAATACCATTTTTTATTGAATTACACTTGATATATTTTACTTGTTAAAATAAATTATGAAAAAAATTCATATTAATTTGATAAAATATTCTCCATTAAATTTACACAAGTTTGCCTTTCATTTTTTAAATTAATTATTTAAATAAAAATCTTAAATAGAAAATTTTGAAACAATTTAAGTAATTTCTTATATTTCATGAATATATTGCATTAAAAAGAAGATATTTTTTATTTATGTAATTTATTAATTTTTCGTGAATATTGTTTGAAAAAGAAGATATTTCTTTATATTAGTTAGTTTTTTTTTTTTTTTTTTTTTTTTTTTTTTTTAAGCTGAGTATAATAAGTTTTATTATAATAAGTTAATCATTTTATAAAATGATAGCTACAATTTTTTTTTTTTTCATTTTTATATTCAATTGATACTAATTATAAAATTAAGGTAAATGGTATAATTAATATTTAAATAAGAGAAATATATAAAAATTAATTTAATAAGAAATAACAAATTTAATAACAAAAGGTAAAATAGTCTTTTGTAATGAATTTGTCCTTAATTGTAACAAATTAATAGTTTAAGAAAGTAATCTTTAATTTAGGGGCCTGGACACGCACATATAGGACATAAGTGGTAATTTTCTCCCATATCACTCTGATCTATTTCATATGGTTGCACTTATTGAACATGTAAGGGACTGACTTTTATAATAGCAGGTTTGACACGCGCTTTAATTTGTTTTGGTGTGGCATGCGCGTGAAGCATTTACTAGTGCTAATCTCAATCATTCCTAGGGTATCTACTCTCTAAACCATGCAAGACATATATACATATACATACAAAAAGTCTGTATATAATATACTGTATTTTTAAGGTCAAACAGAGGTCTCACTAGTCTTTTTAATGTGAGGATAGGATTACTAATTTGCTAACAACTTAGTCATAGACTCATAATAAATTATAGCATAATTGACTAATAATGTTAATCAACTAAATAACTATTATTTTATGTATGGTTATGGTGTCATCAATTCCACAACGAATGTCACTTTCAATGTGTCGTGGGGGCATTCAATTTCTTGATTAATTACTACAGTGTCCTTGTCATTTCCCATTCTTAATTTTCTTGCAAGCTGTTATCCCATGTCACGAATCACAAGGTAATCAACTCCATTCATCATTCTGGTTGTTGGAAAATATAATTCAATTTACAATAAAATAAGCAACCGAAATTTTAGAGGCAGTTTTATCATTCACATGAAGAGAGATTTGATGCAATAATAAAGTTAATTTATTGTTATCACGAGTTTAAAACAAAAAATAACATTTTCAAACTCTACAATGACGAAAATTTTGTGCACTCTCGTAGTCCAATTTTCATCATTTAAATGATGAGCTGTCTCAATTTGAAAGGAGCTTGTGCAGGATATTCTCTCGTCACTATCTCACTACTATCCCCTGTCACAAATCACAATAATATCAATTACGCGTAGTTGTTGTTGGAGGGTGTGAGTTCCACTTCATTCATCGTTGTTGTTGCAAAATATAATTCAATTTTTTTTAAAAAAAAAAACGTTGCAAGTTAAAGCAATTGAAATTTTAAAGATAGTTTCATCATTTACATGAGAACAGATCTTGATGCAACAATAAAGTTAATTCATTGTGATCACGAGTTTAAAATAAAAAATAACATTTTTAATCTCTACAGTGACCGAAAGTTTCGTGCACTATCATGGTCCAATTTTCATCATTTGAGCTGCCTCAATTTAAAAGGACCTTGTGCATGAGACTCTCTGATTACTATCCCACATTTAATGACTTGGGAGAGTGAATTGGTGGCATAAACTTTTGAAGGTGGTTAACTTGACAGCACTAGATTTGGAGTTTGAATGCATTACAGGCGACACCACGAGCTAGTACTTGAATTGCAGACATAATTGACTATGGTGGTGCTTTAGGTTTGGTATTGCTGGAAAGGGCTAGGGGCGGTAGGACGAAAGGACAAAAGTGGTCCTTATCATGTAATGCTCTTCACAAATTACCTACACACACTAAATGAAATACACACGAAAGGCATCCAATTCCAACCAGAAGATTTTAAGATCCAACTACTTTTAATTTGATGATAACCAAAATGTGACTATTTTTCTACATAGTTGACTTGAAATAGTGGATGACACACCTATCCCAACAATTGAAATTCTTTGTAATTTAGCTTCTTTGTGGAATTGCTGATGTCTTGGGATTGTACTACTTGGGCTAATCATGGATTTAGCACTTAATAATAAACAAATAAATAAGTTAGAAAAGACAAAAAAAGACAAAAATAAAATAATAATAATAATAATAGTAATGGGTACCATGCAAATGTAGGATTCTAAAAAAAAAAAAGAAAAAAAAAAGAAAGAAAAGAAAACGTAAACAAAAAAAGAAATGGTTGGCCCTCTAAAGCGGAGGACCGAACTTGTATCCAAATGGATCAACACTACTCGATGTTTTTAATTAGAACCCACATGAATCTCACCTGCGTAATGCTTCTGGGCTTATGGTCGGCCCTCCAAGTAGACCCTATCATAAGTCTAAGAAAAATCATAAACATAAAAGTAGTAGCGTGCTTCAATATTTGTATGTATATATATATATTGAGCATGCAAATAATATATTTTAATTAAGAAGATAAATAAAACTAGAAAGTTTGTGTCAGAGAAATGCTCCTAGTGAGTGTATTTTGTATTAGGGTGACAAATTTTGAGCAATTTTCGTTTTTTTGTTTTTTTTTTTAATTTGTTGCGTTTGAGATCACTGATGTATTTAAGATTGAAGAAAATTTATTTCAAAGTTTTAACGAAATTCAATTTCAAATTCAAGTCAAGAATTCGGTGCTCCCAAACGTAGCAACCTAATATGTTGGGATTAAGGTGATATATTTTAAGATGCTTCTACACGCTTCACCCAAAAATACGGCCCAATTTGAAATGATCAGCCCTGGCCCGCAGCCCAATCACATCAAGAAAATGTGCCCCTGATCCTACCGACTAAGTACAACAGTCGCAACGTACTGTGATTAAAAAATAGAAAGGCCTTAGAATATGTAAATATATAGGCCAGGCATATATGCTTCTAAACAACAAGCCTGACCCAAAATTAGGGCCCTATTTCAAATGATCAGCCCAGCCCAAATAATATAGTTTAAATGTATAGGCCTGCCATATGTTCTTCTAAACAACAACCTTGACCCAAAATTAGGGCCCAATTTTAAATGATCAGCCCAGCCTAAACACATCGAGAACTGTGGCCTGGTCCGTAGGGGTGTAAACCAGAGACGCAGAGAGAGACCACAAGCCTGACCCAAAAATATGGCCCAATTTGTAATGATAGGCCCAGTCCAAACATTTCAAGAAATTGTGCCCTGGTACTTGGTGTGTAAAACACAAACGTAGAGAGAGGGAGAGAGAGAGAGAGAGTGAGGAGAGAGAGAGAGATGACGACAAGCAACAAAATAGCTGAGAGAAAAAGAGAAAGAAAGGGTTCCAAAGCGAAAGAGAAGAATCAGAATCCGAGCCAGAACCAGAGCAAGAAGAAGAAGAAGAGTAATAGTAGTATAAAGAATGGAAATAGTAAAAAAGAGGAAGAACCAGAGGTTCTGATTGTACCGTCTTCGAGCGCAGACTCACACAACAAAGACGAAGATGGAGACGATGAAGAAGAAGAGGCAAAGAACAGTTTCACCGCGAATCGACGCAGCGATAAAGCAAAAGAAGAAGAAGAAGAAGATGATGATGATGATGAGGATGAAGCAGAGGAAGAGGACACGAAGAAGAAGAAGGAGGAGGATAAGAACAGTGAGAGTAAGAAGAATGAGAATGCGAATGCATTGTATCGCTTTCCTATGCATCGCATCAGTCGGATCATAAAGGGCGATAATTCTGATATTCGCATCACCCAAGAGGCCATTTTTCTCATAAATCAAGCTTCGGTATGCCATATATGCACTTAAATTCCCCAATTTGAATGCTTTTCGTTCTTGATTTACATACTTATGTTCTATGTATGTGTAATTGCGTGATATATATATATATATATATATATATATATATATATATAAACACACACACATTTATATATAGCCTGTTTGTTTGATGATTGTGTGGAAAAGGTGTTTGTATCAATTCCTCAATCATTTCAATGCGCGTTATTCTTCTAGTTTCTGTTCGTTTGAGATTGAGCAGCTTTGGCATTGGATGGTATTGAATGTGAACATCTTCAAGTCTTGCAAAATAAAGCAGAAGTAGTGATGGAATAAATATCCAAACCCTAAGAATACAAAGTAGGTTTTGTGAAGACAGGGAAGCTGCACTTGAAATAGGAACCCTAAAATCAGTGGAAAGGCAACTCTTTGCTTACAGTATTTAATCTTTCACTCTTAGATGCATTATTGACAAGGGTTTATACGTAAAGCAAATTATTGTACTAGCATACCGCCTATGGCATAGTCTGAAGCATTTGTGTGAACTTCAAATAGCTTAGTGTGATCTGTTTGCTATAAGATAGCTAGTTTTTGGGGCCTTCCAACATAAAAAAGCCTATATGTACGGATGGCAATGGGGCGGTTTGGGGCGGGTTTTGCATTCCCCATCCCCGCCCCCGTTTAATTTTGGTATCCCCAAAACCGCCCCATAACCGGTTCATTTTTTCCCTCTAATCCCCATAACTGCCCCCGCCCCATCCCCACTTGCCCCGCCCCCGCCCCCGCCCCCGCCCCCGCCCCCGCCCCATAACCGATTAGGGCAAATCATTCAGATCTGAACTTGCCCTCTCTCTCGCTCTCTCTCTCTCTCTATCTGCAACTGAAACTACAAAATCTACAAGAATCATAAGGTCAAAACCCATATATTTCAGCCTCCCCAATCGCCTCCATCTCTATTCTCGTTCTCAGCTCTGAACTTGCCCTCTTTCTCTCTCTCTCTGCAACTGCAAACTACAAAATCTACAAGAATCAGAAGGTCAAAACCCATCGCGTCGGAGAAGAGATCGCGGAGCTGCTCAAAGCAATTACAGAGTCAAAGATCTCAATCCCAATTTTCTCCAAAACGTATGCTTCGAGCAAATGGTGCCTCCAAGAGCTTGCCCAGATGGTGGAGTGCAGGAGAACTAAAGGGCAAGTTCAGAGAATGCAACCAATCTGTTTGCATTCAACAATCCAATTCCAAATATATATGAATAGAAAGAAATGAAGGCAATGAAATAAACAAGCTTTTTTCCCCTTTTCTGGGTAAGCAGAGAAGATAAGAAAATGCATTTTCACATATATTCAATGATGGGTTTGAGAGAGAGCTTAGAGTTACATGGCTGCCTCAATAGCAAAATGGAAGTGAAGTGTAGGGTTTCCATTATATATATATAGAGTAAAGGTTAATTTGGTAAATATATTAACATGGGTAGATAAATTAGTAATTTAACATGTTAAACGGGGCGGTTGCAGTGGCGGGTTTGGGGCGGGGATCTTAGTCCCCCGCCCCCGCCCCGCAACCGACCGGTTTTTTTTTTTTAACCTTCATCCCCACCCCATTTAAGTAAACGGTTCTCCAAACCCGATTTAAATGGGGCGGGGGCGGGGCGGTTCCCCACTGGGTTGGGGATTTTTGCCACCCCTAGGCTATATGGGTTGGCTTCGCTACGATGCTATCGTATATGACTTGTATTGTTAGCGGCCCAAAATGCCTCTTTAGTCTTTCTAATGCTAACGCGTTCTTCCTTCATTCATTTCTTTTAGTTGCAATAGCTTCCATGCTTGCAAGATAGGCCGAAGCTAAAGCAATACTAAGCAAACAAGAATTAGAAGATCGGGTCTATTATGGCCTGGGAAATGCCGAACAGGCAGAGTGGTGAAGCCGGTTGCTCAAGATATTTTAGATGCAACAAGACAACTCGGGAGGAGTTGAAAGTTGTCACAACCTTGGAAAAAAGTAAAGAGCATTCACTCTTGCTATGCCACATTCTCATATTTTTGAGTAACTAATTCCTTGCAAGGCAGTTAACAGGCTACAAAATTCTAACACAATAAAAAATGTTGGTGAAGAATTTCCAATTAAATTAGGAAAGGTAAAGGACATTATCCGCCTGTCTAGTACTGGTTGTGCCTGTGGGAGTGCTGGAAGGGGAAGACTAGAGACACTCCTAAGGCATTTTTTTCACACAAAATGACTGCTATTAGAATTGAATCTGAATCATTATGTTTGCCAGTCCTGTGTTTTTAGCATCGAATCAAGTAGTAGCCCCTAATGGAAATAGAGAAAAAAACAAAAATACAGAAAAGCTAAATAATCAACCAATCAATCTTAGGAGAAACTATCTTTCTTGTTTGGTGAGGTCATGCTCTCAATCCTTGTGGTCTCCTGGATGGAAACTGGATACAAAAAACGATGAGAAACAAAAGGAGGACACAAGTGCAAAAAAATTACTTTATGTGAAAATCTGTAGTTCATTAAAAATCTGGGAGGAAACTAGTTCATTTGCATGAAGTAGTTGCCTTCAACTAGAACCTATGTTTTCATGCTTGACAGGTGAAACTTTTATCATTGTGCAAAGTACGGACCTCTTAATTTCAATATTGTGTCTCACAGAACTTCTAGTATTTGTGACAAATATTTGGGAAACAATAACAAGTTGCCTGGTTTTACTTGGAAAATTTCTTGAGTTTTTATGGAATTTATGTTCAAGTGCTTGGAACCCTGAAATCAGTGGAAACAGCAACACTTTGCTTACAGTATTAAATCATTTCGCTCTTAGGATGTATTACTGTCTAGGGCTTATACATAAAGCAAATTATTGTACTAGCACACTGCACATGACATAGTCTGAAGCATCTGTGTGTCTTTCAAATAGCTTATGTGATGTGTTTGCCTTAAGATAGCTAGTTTTGGAGTTTTCAACATAAAAATGCCTATTAGGGTTGGCTTCGCTATCGCTTATGACTTGTATTGTAGTTGGCTTGGAATGCGTCTTTAGTCTTTCTAATGCTAATGCCTTCTTCCATCCTTCATTTTCTTTTAGTTTCGGTAGCTTCCGCACTTGAAAGATAGGCCGAAACCAAAGCAATACTAAACAAGCAAGAAATAGAGGTCAGGTCTATTATGGCTTAGGAGTGCCGAAGAAGGAGAGAATAGGAAGGGTGGTGAAGCCAGATGCTTGAAGACATTTTAGATACAATCAGACAGCTCGGAGGAGTAGAAAGTTGCCACAACCTTGGAAGAAAGTAAAGAGCATTCACTCTGGCTATGCCACATTCTCATAATTTTGAGTAAGGAATTCCTTGCAAGGCAGTTAACCGGCTACAAAATTCTAAAACAAATGTTGGTGAAGAATTTCGAATTGAATTAGGAAAGGTAAAGGACAGCTAATCTGCCTCTCCAGTACAGGTTGTGCCTGGAAGACAGGAGACACACCTAAGGCATTTTCTCACACAAAGTGATCGCTATTAGAATTGAAAATTGTATAATTATGCCTGCCAATCTGAGTTTTTAGCATTGAACTAAGTAGTATCAGCTATTGGAAATAGAAAACTAAAAAAAAAAAAAAAAAAAAGCAGAAAAGCCAAAATAATCAACCTATCAAGGTTTTTTTTTTTCTTACTAAAATTTGCTAGGATGCCCATTTTTTATGCTTGATTAATCATAGGAGAAATTGTGTTTCTTATTTGATGAGGGCATGGTCTCAATCCTTGTAGTCTCCTGGATGGAAACTGGATACAAGAAATGATATGAGAAACACAAATAGGACACAATGCGAAATTTTACTTAATGCCAAAATTTGGAACTTCATTAAATATTTGGGAGGAAAATAGTTTATTTGCATGAAGTAGTTGCCTTGAAATTGAACTGACTCCTTAATTTCAATATTGTGCCTCGCAGGATTTGTGGTTTATGTGATAAAATATTTGGGAAATGATAACATGTTGCCTGGTTTTACATGGAAAAACTCATGAGTATTCATGGAAGTTATTTTTTTGTGTTTGGTACTGGATGGGTACAGTTTTGTTTTGTTTTCCCCCTCCTTTGTATAGTTTGCCCCTCCATTACATTCTTGTTATCCCCCTCATTCTTTTTTGTTTTCTCTTATGGTTGCAGGAGAAGTTTCTTGAACTATTTTCTAAGGAGGCATATGCCTGTTCTTTTCTGGATCGTAAGAAGCATGTTGGTTACCAGCACCTATGTAAGTTCTCTATCAATGCTGTATAAGATTACAAGGGAGTAATGATTCTGTTATTCTGGAAGTATTTTTGACATCTGGATGAGCTTTAGCCAACTATATCTTTTCATATGCTCCAGCAGCACCACTGTAATTCGATTGACTGAGATGGTGTAGTTTAATAGTCAATTTAGAGGAAAGTTTTGGACACGGAAATTGATGGTGAATCTTTCGAAATATACGGGACAATGCTGATCATAGTACCATGTTCTGATTTTATTTTAGAAAATGGATTTGAAGCAAGTTCACCGAATAATTATTAACTTTTCACTTGAAGTCCTCATGATTGGATGTTTTAGGATCACTATAGAGTTTTTTCAAATGCCATTATTACATTAATCACAGCTGTATTACGATGTTTCCTTTTTGTTGTTTCAGCATCAGTAGTTCGTAAGCGGAAGAGATTTGATTTCCTTTCAGGTATTGGTTGTGGTCTTATTTCAAAAGGCGACTGACTTTGTACTCCTATTTGATATCTGATATAGCACCGCTATTACTTAAACTTTTGCTTGTGCTACTTTCTATGCTTATAGATTTTGTTCCTGAGAAAGTGAAAGCTGAGGATGCCTTGGCAGAAATGCCTTCAACCGAGATGTGACTAGGCTGGGACCTGGAGAAGATGATTCTCCCCTTGTATTGCTTGAACTACTTAAATGTGGGTCTCGTTGGCTAATTTGACATTGTGCCTGCACTGAGGAGTATGATGCAGCTCTTCATGGTTAAAGCACGGAAGCTCTTCTTTCCCGGTTGGAGAATGGTTCCGTTTATCATGTATTATTACGTCTCCCTATTTGAACACATTCACTATTCCTTTATGCTGCCGTTCATGCTTACAATACCATATGCTTGTCACCGTTGACCGATTGCCAGATTAAGAACAGATTTTGGTGGATTTCTGCGTTGAGATGGCTGGTGAGACGGTGCAGTTGGTAGATTGAATGAACTCCATGTATTGTTGTCTATGATGCAAATGCTTACTTTTCATCCTCCTTTTTTCTGCTCTAGAGTTCATTTTATTTGCTTTGTTAAGTTTGGGAAGCCAAAAATTTGATCAACCAATTCAATATAACGGTTTTCATGGTTGCCAAATTATTGTTTGGCCGTCACTTAGAAGCGTAGTTTTGTTAATTTGAGATCGCAAATTTTATTTTATTTTTTTGGTTGAAATTCTTTGGGTCTGGCTTCTCTTCATTGCAAGGAACTCGTGGTTTCTCTGAAAGGGTGGAAATTATATACCTGTATAGTTTAAACGCGCTCACGCGAATGCATGGTTAAATTTCAAGTAAATATATATATATTTAACTTGTGGTCATCAAAAAATATGAGTTTAATATTTTTTTATTGTATTAATAGTGAAAGAATTATTAAATATGTTCATAATGAGTTCATAGGATGTTTATAAGGATGTTTATAAGTTTAATATAAGAATGTTAAAAATAAAAAAATAAAAATAAAAAAGTGGTCATTTAATTTAAGATGATGGAGTATAGTTTCTTATTCGAAAAGAATAGCAAAACAAAAATCATTTCACCAATCCAACAAAATTGGATTAAGAATTGGTTGAGTTGTATATATTATCACTCTGAATGGAATCGTCTTAAGGGCCCAAAACCAAAATGTTGAAAGGGTTGCACTTGGGTATAGGTAATACGATAATGTTTGGTATACAAATTTCTTAACTTGAACTCCGATGATGATGATTGGGCATTATTCAGTGGGCTAGTTGGTTGACTGTCTATTTCATCAAGTAGATTTGCCGGTGTTTGAGTGCACTCATAAGGTAATTTGAGCCCATGTTTGAGTCCTCTCCGATGGTAATTTCTCCAATGATAATTTGGCTAGTAAATCCTCTGCGGGGGTAAATTTGAGTCCATGTTTGAGTCCTTTCCGATGGTAATTTTTCAGATGATAATTTGGCTAGCAAACCCTCTCCGGTGATAATTTGAGCTCATGTTTGAGTCCTCTACGATGATAATTTGACTAGTAAACTCGAATAGCAAAGTTGGATTGTAAACTCGCATAGCAAAGTTAGATCCGAAAAAGGAAAAGAAACGGGATTAGATTCAAAATAAAATCGCATTTGTGTTCGTGTAAGTTAGAATCTAGTTATAAATGAAACATTTCTTTTACCATTTTATCCTTATTAATTAAAATTACAATATCATATTTCACTAAAAGAAAATACAAATTGGATAAGTTACAAAGCATAAACTACTTCACAAATCTCTTCAATTTCCATCAATTTTCATGAAATTTCAGGGGACAGATTTTATATCTCATGAAATCCAATTCCATTTTTAATTTCATTGATTCCAAACACTCCGAATTCCACATCCCTGCATTACAAACACAGTTCCAAGAGAAAAATGCCGCCCGAAAAACATCAAGTGGTTATCTTTTTTCACCAGATTACTTCCAAGTAAAACCAATTTGATAAATCCACAAAGAACATAAGCTGAAAGTCATGATTTCCACTGTAACAAAATTACCCTGGACTAATCCCAGTGAAAAATTTAAATAGACGATAAAGTCCAGACCAGATCAAGTTATTCCCACAGCAAAAGCAACTTTGCATAATTTGCGTATGCTCACTTGTATACTTCTTTCTCAAGTTCAAATAGATAAATAGAATGTTACTCTTATAAAACAGAACCAGTTGACTTATATCACTGCACATAAATTATGAACTGGACCCAATGGACATGATTGAGTTAAAGCAACATAAACTCAAAAGTGAAAAAGGGTTATATAGACTCAACTCTATGAATGTGCTTTTCGGCAACCCCACTTTTAACTACTACTTGTAACTAGAGCTGCTAACTTTGTTCGGCAATAATGTTTTCTCCTTTAAACTAGAACTTAGAAGGGCTTCTGAGTTGCTTGACTGACTTTCTGAGTGCTCAGGTCTCATCCAAAACTTTACATGCCCTTCCCGACATGCAGTGAGGACAGCCTCCTGGGTAAAAATTAAGCCAGAAAGGGGTTCAGAATGAACTCGGTGCGCAACTAGTGGCGACAGCTTTGGAACGTCTCTCATGCTTGGAGCAGGTTGGAGAGTGCCCACTGGGATTATACTGTCCCAATGAGAAGACTGGCTTCTGGGGCTAAATGTAGGGGACCCACCAGGTGGACATCGCCGTAGTGGCACAACAATCTCATCCATCGCCAGGTCCCAAAGAAGCAGCTGAGTATCCTGATCAATAATGCATCCGTATTAAGATAGAATTTCAGAATAGCTAGAAGGGACCAAATCAGCATTAAAAGATGCAAGAAAGGAGGACATAAATTATATGGATCAACTGTCTTCTTTGTGATTACACTGATGAACCAATAAAAAGGAACCACTCGCGCACGTATGATTTACTTGTATTAGACTTTTGAGAAAACATCACTAGAGAATATAAACAAAACTAAACCACAACAAAAACAAATGCCTTCTCTGTACAAGACAATCACTCTAATTGAACCTGACTTTGAAAAGTTACCATAGTGAAATATGAGGCCTCAAAACACCAATTATGCATTGATTCAGGAGCAGCTTCTAATGGAAGTAGGGATGGCAATAGGGTGGGTTCAGGACGGGTTTGACTAAACCCTATACCACGCCTCGTCTAAAATTATTTTATCCCATCTCTGTCCCAAACCCAGGATGGGTTGGGAGTAAAATAACATCCCTGTTCCGGGAAAAAAATCAATGAGCCCTCCCTGCTCCATCCCACCTCGTTTAAGGAGCACCGGATTATATATGTCTGTCTATATAGATTTTGGGAAGGAATGGGTGCAGAGGAAGAGCACCACAATGAAAAAACCACAAAACAGTGAGGAGGAGATCATCCAGAGAAGTGAAAAAAGAAACATGCAAAGATGACATAAATATAGAGAGATAACATAGGCAGAAAGAAGTTTCAGTTGTAGGTGAAAATAGAGAAACCCATGAGAGTTGTGAGCGATAGATAGAGATCACAAAGTTCTCCATTGATATGTACACATATACATGTTATATATATAATTTTTTTTTTGAGAGAGGAGAGTACACACGATCTGGTCAGAACCATAGCTGCCATGGCTGGAGTGGTTGATCAGAAGGAGTGGGCAGCGAGTATCGAGCAGTACAAGAGAGAGCTGAGACTGGGAGTTGCCGAGTGGAGAGGGGGGCGACTGGCAACAGCGAGTTGTATGGATGATTGGACATTGCTGTTTAATTGATAGGATTATGTTTCTGTATATTTTTTTTTTTCCCAGTAAATACATTTGTGTGATTAATGGTTCAAAATAATTGTTTGTGTTTGGTTAATAATGTAAAATAGCGTAGATACTATTTATAATGAATGATTAATAGATGAAAAAAAGAGAGAGAAGGCTGGAAGGTGAGATGAGAGGAAAGAGACAGTGTGTACCCCTGCCGTCTCTTGATCATATTTTTCAAGGTTAGTATTAGTTATGGTTTTTGGTTTTTATTATTTTATTATTATTATTATTATTTTTGATAAGTTCTTATTATTTTATTATTAGAATATGGTTATGAGCACCGTACTATTGCATCTAATAAATGCTACAAGATTAGAGTCTTTTAAGTATGCTATTTGGTTAGGATACATTGTTATATGCTGCCTGCTTTATTTATTTGCATTTCCGGGAGCACTAATATTAGATTGTGGTTTATTTTCTAACTCATAAATGCATCAACATCATTTGATATTTGGAACCTTGATAATAACGGTGGTGAAAGGAATGTGGTGGGGCGATAGTTATATACCTCTTATTTAGGTAGCATGGTCCTTGTGGGGATAGAGGCAAAAAGAGGCATCATCGACGGAGGTGCTTGGAAACTGATGCTTTTATAGCGTGAAATAAACCCTAATCTAATATCATTGCCCAATATTTGAATATATACAGACGTGGTGGCAGCTTAAAATATGAAACCTTAAATTAAGAGGAAAAGGACAAACTCAAATCTAATAGCATTTATGAGATGAAACAATAATAACACAAAAACAAAATACGATTAACTTCCTACCTACAGCAATAGGTAATAAACAAGGATCCTAATCTATAAGAGCATAAAGTATTGGTAACCTTCAAAAGATGGTGAAAGTCTAAGTCACACAATCCTTCTCAACGGGTGCCGCTCTCACGCTCCGAGCGCGCTCCAGCTCTCACGCTCCGAGCGCGCTCTCGCTAGCATTCTCGCTATTTGTGACTTAATTTTGCCGCTTTCGTGCTCCTGCTCTTGAATTCGCTCTCACTCCCACTCCCGCTTTATGTGACTTAGGGTGAGAGATGATGTATAGCTAAACTTAAGAGGCAATTTTACTTTTTTATTTTAAGGCCTAATTTATTATGACAAAAAGGGAAGGCCTAGGAAGAGAGATGTTATGTAAAATTTTTAGAACTCTAAAGTTCAGGAAATATGAATGGAGATATTGGCATACTTGTTCTACTAGCTAGGACCAAATTCTCACATGAACTCTTGCCCATATCTTATCATTTCTTTGGAATTGTCCGATTATAGCCAGACGTATTGCTTCAATAGCACTGGTAGGTGGGTCCTATGAACTTTGACCCAGAAGAGGTTAGACACCTACTCTAATAGAATTTATGTGATGAAATGATAACACAAACATACCCTGATCTAATAAAATAAGAAAATATTAATAGCCCAAATCATATAGCATAAAATAATACTAGCCTTCAAGAGATGGTTAGAGAGAGATGGAGGCTAGAGAAGGGTAACGCTGAAAAGAAAGATGTCAAACAGTGGGTGCGAGAGATTAGAAGGTTTTTTCAATTATTTTTCTGTCAAAAAATAGAGGTTCTCAGGGAGGATGAAAAAGGAAGGAAGACGGCATTGATTTCTTCAAATTTACAAATTCAAAATGAAAAAGTTGGGAACATGCTAATGTAATAATATATATAGGATTGGACCAATGGGACCACCAAGTGTCAGTAACACCACAACATATAAAAGTAATATTTACATAATCAGTTGCTTGAGAGTTTTAGAGAGAGGCACTCAACCTAGGGCATTTTATAGATCCCACATTGACCTCAGTTCCACTCACTGCAGTCTCCTTCCTCAGAGACCTCTCATTCTAATGGATGAAGGTGATTAAAATAATTAGAGAACAAAGTTAAAGCATCTTTATTTTTTTTTCTTACGGAAACGAGAAACCAAAGAAGTTAATGCTGAATAATGTACAATTGCTCAAAGGCTCAAACTATACTATGAAGATGCACTTACACTTCTACTTATTTTTTTAAACTTATGCTTCTAGTTAATATCTTAAAGAATACACAAACAGACACAGAATGATGGTCCAGTCTAGGATTTCTCCAATCTGTCCCTTCATTTTTTATTTTTTAAAAAATTTATCGTTATTATTACTTTCTGGATGAGAGGCATGGTAACAGTGGATGATGATGATTTTACCATTTGTTAACTTAACAAGATTATAAGGGGTGGCATGTGTAGGTGGTTATCATGGTGATGATGTCATCTTAGGCAGTGATCTACTGAGTTTTACTTTCCTATCAGCTAGGCTTATAAGAGGGTGACTGCTGAAATATAGAAGGAAACATGACATACCTGGCCAACAGAACCAAATCGATACATGACATTTTCCCCCGACTCTTCTGAGGATGTTTGTGACCGATATGGATCAAAAGCCACTCCACTGACCTGCAATCCAACCAGTCAAAATTATGTAAGATGGCCACACAAACAAATCTCTAATCAAGAATCGACAAACCAAAACCTTACCCATGAATTGTGCCCCTCACCCCATGCTACTACCTTTCTGTCTTCCATACTCCAAACTTGAACGAGATCGTCTTCACCACCAGTTAAAATGTATTTTCCATCCGGGCTGAGGCAAGCATCCAAAAAGTCAAAATATGATCTTCTTTAAAGATTTTAATGGTGCTCTAAAAATAAAAATAAGAGGGCTGCTAGCATGATATGAGGACAATGTAATGGAGATCAGAAACAAGAGAAACTTTGAGTAATAATCAATCTTTAAAGTGAGGAAATGTTCAATTATTTATTTTTTAATTACCTCCAGGCACAGCATAGAAGAGCTCCATAATAACTTTTCCCACCACAAATCAATTGCTCGTTTGAGTAGTCAAAAACTCGTAAGTAACCTACAATAAGTCATCAGCTCCCATGAACTGTTGGTATATATCTGTGAATTTATAAGGGTAGCAGATCAATGCAATACCATCTCTCCCAACAGTTGCCAGATATTTCCCGTCAGTTGAGAAAGCAATGCTGTTAATCGAACCTTGGCAAATATGCCATCTACCAATTGGATTACTCTGCAAATAAATCATGAACGAATGACGATGGTGAGGTAGGTAAACTATTCACGTTTCCTTTTTTTTTTTCTCAACTAATTTAAGAATATAATAATATAAAATTTTGATACACATAAATCTCAGTACTATATGAACATGAATCTTAGGAATGCACAATTTAAAAGGGCGGCCTTATATGAAAATTAATGTAAACTAAATTACCGCATAGATGTCTGGGCAGTCACCAAACCAATTTAAAGTAACATGGTTAGAGTAGATACTTAGAAATTCAATAACCTCATTCCAGCAACTCATCAGGGTCTCAAGAGTTAAGACATAAGCGAAGAACTATTACCCAGTTATTTGAAGCATTTGTTAAGCAGTTGGTTATCATTATCAATAACATGACAATAAGACTCAATTTTTTTTTTTTTTTTTTTTTTGGATAAGTAACATGACTATAAGAGTCATTAGCCAGTGTAGTCCCCATTAATCGAGGGAAAAAGAAAATTAAACGAATAAAAAATACTAACTACGCAAAAAACATTATTGGCTCTAGTAACTAATCATTCTTAGCCATATAAATAATATCACATACTTAATTTCAATTACTATGGGTTGTAACGTATGACTTCAATGTTTTCAATGATGTACCAACATAGTTTTTATTATTGAATTACCGTTACATGCCTGTCGATACCAAACCTGCTTTGAGCATTGCAAATAATTGTTTACATTCTAATGGTAATATTTCAAAAGAAAACATCTTCATGTATTGTGAGTGAGTTGTATTGACAGATAGTTTTCACAATCCTCACAAATTCTTCTCTCTCTCTCTCTTCTTCTTCTTCCTTTTTTTTTTTTTTTTTTTTTCATGCAATAAACAAGTTATTTGCAAGATTTCAGATTTAAAAAGTGACACTATCAATATTAAATTTTAAGGAAATAGGTGTCTCATAGTTATTCCAAGTTTTTCAAGCAACAATTTACGCCAAAATTTATGCAGAAGTTTTCTTTTTCCATTAATTTACCCGTCCATGTTGCGTATAATAACCAGGTGAAAATTAACTTTGCATAATCAACCTAAGCTTCTCAAGACTACCCATATACTTCTATTAAATTTCCAAGATCAACTAAAAAAAAGTACACATAAAATGAGTCGAACAATCATAAATTCCCATTTGCTAAATGATCATTAAGTTTAATCTTTTGTTCAGTTCACAAGTACTGCTCAGATCAATTTCCAAAACAAGAGAAGTGAGCAACATTATGTTGGAAGTTATCACATAAAGAATTCTATCACTTAAAAGCTCATAATAATAGAATACTATTTATACTTTTTTAGTCAAAAGAAAATGGAAATAACACTCAAACTGACTATCAATGAGTTGATATAGTCATAAAATAAAGTTATAACAATTTATGATAGGTCAAAAAATAGCAACTAGCGTTAGGCCAAAAAACTTAGAAGTTCCCCTTCAATGCCATTGAGAGATCCCACATATCGAGTATAAATGAAGCCCTTAATTGATCTTCAAAGATATTGGAACGAGAAGGACAAACAAAATCCTGACATCACAACCGAATCAGTATTCAAACCTCTCCTCATATAGATGAGGCATTATCCATCAGGAAAATATGGAGGCATATATATGGGCAATAAAAAGGATCTCATTCTCAGGTCACATCTTGGGAGGAAATTCAGTAAAACATATTACCAAAAAATAAAATAAAAAGAGAATAATGCTCATTACTACCACCAATAATAATAACTGAATTTTTGTCATATGAAAATAATACTAATTACTTTAAAAGTTTTACTAAGGTCCTTTAATATTTTTATTGTTTGAGCCCTAGTGCAACAATTCAACTTCTTTTCAACAAATTCTAAACACCAAAATTGAAGAAAAGATATTCAGGGGAAAAAAACAAAATTGAAGAAAAGAAGGAAATTAGATAGCAATAAACTACATGATTAGGTATTTATCCATAACAGTAACTAAAAAACACTGCCAGAACATTAAAACTAATTACCTTACTCGATCGTGCATGTGCAACAGAAAATTGAGTTTGATCCTTGATGACTGGGAAGGAAGAATCACCATTGCCGTCCTTATTCTAAAATAATTAAGAATAAAATTACATTTATATTCATGAAGTAGTGTGGAACATGAAACTAAGGAAGACAAGGTACAGATATCCATATATGTACAGAAATTCAAGGCTTGCCTTTTCATATATGAACAAGTTTCCATCAGCATGAGCAACAACAAAGAAACCTTCGCGTTCGGGTATCCATGCGATACTAGTACAACGGCTGTTGAAAATAGCTAGTTGATTGCACATTCAAACTAGCAACTAGATATAAAAAAAACATGTGTACTTGCAATATAAAATCAACATATCCAGTTCAAAACATAAAATGACCTAATTATACCATAATTTGAAATAGCAGATCCTGTGAAGTAATACGCCACTGATAAAAGCTTATGGTTTACACAAATTTATAAAGAAAATACTTATTCTTTTGATATACTCCATTTCTAGAGGTGTAGCCACCAAATAATTTCTCTAATCAATCTTCACCACGAATTGCCAAAAAACATGATGCATCAGTGCCATGTCACTCAAAGCATACTCAAGATAAATACTCTTTTTGAAGCACCAACAATACATGAGAAGAAAATTTTTGCTAGAGATGGGTTTTTTATAAAAGAAGATGGGAAAAAAAGAGCTATGATATTCTTAATGTCATTTCTGTGAAGTTGAGGATTTTATCTTAAGAAAAGCATCAGCAATGGCAAAATAAAAAAGACAAACTATAAAGTAAGAAAATACATATACAACCTGCACAATCAGTTGCACAAAAGTTAGGATTTTCTCAAAAAAATAAAGTTTTGAATAAATTAAACTGCTTTTAAGAGCTTAGAGTCATTCAACAACCACTCACCCAAAATGTTTAAACTGTCACAGGGGGATCTAACTTAAGTATAACATACTTTCATATGGCCAGACTTGAAGTCATGAGTGATCAACACATGGATGTATTATATAATTAGAATGGAATTTAACAACCGATTGCTCCAAAAGTTAAAATTGTTAAGAAAGGGAAAATTTTATATCAAGCTCATAATAGTTTTAAGCTTTCAGGATAAGTGTTTGTCTAACAAGAGTTTAGGGTCTTCTATTTTTATTTTAGCCGAGGAAAAAAAATAGCACGATGGTAGAAACTGATTTTCAAGAAGTGGGTAGCTGTCTCTTTTGCCTCCATTTTTATTCTTTTAACTTGAAACAAAAGTAATACGAGGTTCGATCACTTCAAAGAACTAAATCACCGTCTTGGAATAATTTCTAAACTTAAATAATTATTGGTGAAACACCTAATCAAATTCAACTGGCCACTTATGCTAAATCGAGGGCCTAAACGTCCATCACTCAGCTTCAATCCACTTATCCTATAGTTATTTGAGATGAAAATTAGTTTTTCCTTAATTGTTTCATAATGTATTTAACAGCTATATTGCAGGTGATGACCATTTTTTTAATTAGGAAAAAAGAATAAAATCCAGTGAAATAGAAAGTATACTGCAATAGAACTAATAAATAAGGAAGGTCCTTTAGAATTTCTACAGAAACAGTGTGGCATCAAAAAAATTCTTTACCACATCTACAGGCAAATTTAATTGAACAGTAATGACAAGAACCCCTCCCCAACAATACTTGAGCCAGTAACAGTCCTAGCAACTAAAAGTAAGAAGGAATTTCAATTTGTTCAATTTACGATATTGGAGAAGGTTCAACAGAACATATCCATCAACTTTCTTTTTACCATTTTACACAGAAATAGTTGAGCAGGGTAGCCATTTTGTAGCAACTGTATCTCATAAGGAAAACGCTTTACAAGCCCAACACTTCAACCGAAGTTTTGGGCATCCCTCCATGGGATACCTTCATGTGGGACCAAGCGTTCGGCCCAACACTTTGGTTGAAGTGCTGGGTTTGTCTATCATTACTCTTCTCATAATCAAAACAAAGGAATCACAGAAGCAAAATACACACATAATAATTAATGCCTTGCCTGTTGTTTATAGAACCATCTTTATTGTAATGTTGGGCACCAACGAGCTTCTTTCCAACCTCTTGCAGTTGCTGTCTCAAAGATACTGAGTAGACTACAAGAAGGAAAATCAATGCAAATAAAGTCATACAGCTAATTCATCCTTCAATTTACATTATAATGAACCCAAAATGATAAAAAAAAATTACCATCCCCAGAGTTCAATCCAATTAGCAAGTCATGCCCATCCTTAGCTTCAGAATCAAAAGCATGACAAATGGGGTTCGAATTACTAAAATGTATGGATTTTATCGGATCCTACACATGAAAAATTAATCAGCTCACCAAAAAATTCAAACCAAAACAAGCAACCAATTGTCATAACTAGAGTCAACAACATCAAATTACCTTATCCTGCGAATTGAAGTCACTGATATATAAGGTATCCCCTAGATTGAATATCAGATAAGTCCCTTTTCCATCAAAATTCGAATTAACCAAAGAATTACCACCATTCAACCCTCCCAGTGTACCACTCCTACTAACTCCACCATTAGCCTTGCTGGTACCATTTCCTCCAACAAAACTAAGCGCTCGTCCGCCATTGCTGCCACCTAAAAACTTTGCCGCCACAAACCTCACTCCGCTGCTCGCACCATAGCTTGAGCTTGGCGGAGGCGCCGCCTGTGCCGGCTTGTCCTTGAGCTGCGCTAGGGTTATCTAAATCACAAAGAAATTCCAATCATTCCAAATCAATTTCAACAATATACCCATTATATATATAATCCATCTGTAGTGAGTAAGTGTGTATATAAAATATGTGTATGTATGTGTAATTGCCCTAGGAGAAGAGAGGTGACCTGAGTGACGGATTTGCCATGAGCGAAGGGAAGGAGGCCAGCGGGGTGGGTTTTCTCGCAATACAGTTTGTAACGGCCTTCGGGGGTTTTGAAGTGGGTTTTAAGGCCTTGAGATTGAGCGTTGTTAGTCGACGAAGGTGACATCGAGCCTTGGATGTTGCTGTTGTTGGTGTTGTTGATCATTGCGACGGCGATGATGATGATGATCGATCGCGAGGCATGCGTTCATGGCAATTCGATTCTCTCTCTATGCTTTCTCTCTCTAGAATAGTGAGTGCTGGTTGTGTTTGAAGGAATGAAGGAACGATCGGGGTTATGGAGTTGAGACTTTGGACTTGCAGGTGATCGTGAGAGTCGAGAGTTGGGGGGACACACATACACAGTCACGCGTGTGTGTCCATTGCGTTCAATTTTCACCCTCTCTTGGGAACCAACGATTCCGTGCAACTGAGGTGCATCGTCTGCAATGTGTACGACAGCTCGTTGATGATAATCAGAACCATCTGTTTGGAGTTGGGCCTGGATTTTGCAAGTGGTGAAATGAAATTCAAAAGCCCTAATAACTAATACTCGTTTTGTAAATTTTATTCACATAAATAACCAGAACTCTAAGGCCCATTTCTAGTCTCTTTTATCCCCTAGGCCTCTAATACTTAATATTTTATGAAATAATAATAAAATAACTATTTAGTATCAATTGTCGATGGATGAAATTTTGTTAAAACTTTAACGTTAGTTTAAAGAAAATGAAGAGTAGACAGTCCATTTTTAATGGATACTCTCAACTGGCTTTACCCATTCCTAATTGATTGAATTCAAAGTTCGATTCTCTATTTCCTTCAAATTCTTTTATTTTAAATTTATTATCATTGCAGATACTTGAATTAACAGTAGTAAATTAGGTGACACTCCTCAAAGTCTTCATGTTCCACCTCTTTTTATATTTAATTTATATAAATAGTGCATTCGCAATGCATGTGACTCTAGCATGTGGAGAGATGCATAAAAAAATAGTAATTAAAAAAAAAGAAAAAAAGAAAAAAAAAGAAGCATGTGGGGGAGTGGAAATAGGAAGTAATAGAAAATGAAGCGATAATATAACATCAATTAAATTAATCGAATTAAAATATAGTATTTCATTATTTTAGAGTGCAAATAAGTTGCAAGGAATTTGAAAAATAGTTGATAAATATATTTTATAACCTCTCTCTAGAAGTATGAGACTGGTTTAACGTACATTCTAGTGTCTTATTCTTTTTAAATGCAAATTGTTAGTTCTATTGTTTCCAATTCGGGCCTTAGATCATGGGCTGAATGACACCATCTTCTCGCTCAGCTTGTAACACTATCTATCAAGAAGAAGTAAAAAGATGGGGTTCGGCCCACGAAGTAGGCCCAAAAGAGACGGGGCAACACGTTGCTGGTCAAAACTTTTAAAAGGGTCCACCATGTGTAATACCAAACGGGACCAGACCCTACTGAGCTTCGGCTTTCACTGACCCATGCAAAATATCAGAATATCCTACCAAACAGGCCCATTGAAGGGGCTCATCTTCGGCTTTTCATGGGCCCAAAGGGCAAGTATTTTCCTTTTTTTTTTATTTTTTATTTTTTTACAAAGCAAGAAGTGTTAGAAGTTAGATTAGTAGATGCAGAGAGTCGAAGTCTGGTACTTCAAAATCCACCGGAGGTACAAACCGACTGGGCTATTGAGACATCTGCAGTATTTCCTTCCTTGAAACCATGCATGGTTGCGAGATTTGTTTCTTTATTTTTTATTTTTTTGACATTTTTGTTCATGCTTAGGCTCAACACTCTCTAGGCTTCATGCTCAGGCTGGAACACACTCTAGGCTTCCCTCATTTTTAAAAATAAGAAGGTTATACCGTTGGATTATAGAGCCAACCTTTTGATTGATAAACCAGTGAACTGTAATTTTCATGTTTTTTTTTGCTTCTTATAAAAATCTTTAAGCTATATAACAAAAGTTTACTTTTTTTATTTGCCTCACTATTCTTTTAGATGTGGTAGGTTGATCTTATCGAGTCTCTTTGTTTCTTAGTTTCCATTCTTGGCTTTTGATTGAGATAGAGTCAAATTGCAGTATTATTTGACCAGGAAAGAACTTTGGTACCTTATAAACTTCAAAACCTTGGAGTTGAATTTTGATTAATTGATTACGTTTACTTGTATTTATTTCCCATTTTCTCTAATGATATTTTAAAATAGTGTTTATTCCCTTGCTTGCATTTTCGGTAACATTCATTGCTTCAACTTCACTTCTTTCTGGCAACTATGATTAAAAAATTTACCCAAAAATAAAACAAAAAAGCCTATGATTAGAAACATGAAAATTGATACTCATCATGCATGAGATTATTATCATTTTTTTAGATACTCATCACACGGTTTTTTTAATGGCTTCTTTAAATCCATATGGATCACATGAATTTAAAGAAAGTTTATGGAATATCGAATTAAGAGCATTTCCAGCAATATGTTAAAAAATTCTTTTGTGTAAAATACATACTGTCACATCTAATTTGTAATTTTTTTTCATCTCCAACAGCCTGTTAAGATACATCACAACCAAGTAAACATATTTTCTCTCTCCTCCCTTTTTTCTACTAGCGGTTTTATTTCTTCTCTCTCATTCCTTTACGCCTCTTTGTTTCCCACTTTTCTAGAGGGCTATAGAAAAGAATCTGCAACAGGCAACAAGGTAAGAATGGCTCGACCATTTTTTATTTATTTATTAATAAATATAGTCTGATTTATTACTTTCGTTTAATCTTATCTTCTGCAATCAGATTATAGGATTTTTTAAGATTTTTTTAAACTTTTACATACTATTCTAACAAGATAAATAAGATTAGATATATATTTTAATCACGTTTTTATATAATTGTTGATGTAAAACCTTTGATTATGTAGTTTTTACTTACTTGAATCTTATTTTATTATTTGTTATTAAGTTAGAAATCTGGTGGCGGCCGGAAAGGTTTGTTATTGGGGAAAAGTGAAATATAAGGGGAAATTATTATTATTTTTCCTAATTGAGGTTGGACGTGAGATTTAACCGACCGCTAAAAAATAAAGTGAATTAAGTCGATTTGTAAAAGTTATGTAGATTCTTGGGTATGGCACGTGGTTGATTATTATTGGAAATTTTTTTTTTTTACACAAAATGTATAAAATAACCCCTTGACCTAAAAATAAGTAGTACAAATTTTTTGTGTAAATATACTATGACATATTATATTTACACAAAAATATTTACACAACGGTCGGAGATGTTCTAAGATGTCACTAATTTTTACATGATTTTTAAGTGTTCAACCACATATTTGAAATAAATTCCATTAATGAGAGCTTCACACTTTATAAAATCAAATGAAACTTAACAGAATTCTAATTTATCAAATATTGTTTCAATTTTAAAATTCATAGTTTTTTAAATATAACACTTTTTATATAACAGTGGGAAGGACGATTTATCATATATATATATATATATCAAACGTTAAGTGCAGAATAAGGAAGAGGCATGTCAACGTCAAAGCTAATTATGCATGTCATCCCATTCACTAATGAGGGACCCACCAAAAGGAGTCCCATATAATGCATGCGTGGACCCACTCGGGAAATTAGCTTCAATATTCTGTAGAAACTTCTTTCTTATGTTTGTGGCAATCAAATACGGTACTTATTGTCGTGTAGCTGGGTTGTTTTGGTACTTGAAAATCCATGTTGGAGTTTTGCACTATTCTTTCATCTCTAATAACTAACCTCTAAAAATCTTACCATGAAAACAATATATACGTATATATATATATAGTAATTATTTTCTCAAAAATATATGGATAGATCTATAACACAAACTGTATAATATGTCAGAATATGTATATATTATTTTTCCCCATAATTTAGATCCATAATATGTTTGTATAGTAGTAACAGTAAAGCAATCATTGAAATTAACCATTATTTACCCACTCTCTTCTGTTTTTTCTGCCTTTCCAAGCAAACTGTCAGCTGGAACAGTTTTCTTTTTTGTGAAAGGTCAGCTGGAACAGTTTTGCCACTCTCTCTCTCTCTCTCTCTCACACACGCACACACAATCACACATCCATTTGATTCAAAAGAAGGAAAAAAAAAAAAATAGTAATCAGTTTTAACCAAAATTATTGCAACCTCTCACCAACCTTCATTGATAGGATGATGCTAACTGGTTTTCTACTAAAATGGATGCCTTTCACCTAACATTAGTCTCCCATTCTCTCCATAAAGCCTCTCAATCTCTCTCTCTTTCCCATCTCCAACACAATACACTATTCAACCCCATTCCTCCTTTTAGTTAATCAATCTCTATATATCTACTATTTTCTTAGCAACCTAGCTTCAAAGCCACACCACACCATAGTCAAGAAAAGAAAAGAAAAAAAACCAAGAAAATGATGAAACAACTTCTCTTCTTTCTCTCTCTCACATTAGTCCACTTCCATTTCACCAAAACCCTAGCTCAGACCACCCCGGCAGCGCCTCCTGTACCGGCCGGTCCCCCTAACATCACCAAAATTCTCGAAAAGGGTGGCCAGTTTACGCTGTTTCTCCGGCTTCTGAAAAGTACTAGTGTTGGCGCACAGATCAATGGCCAGCTCAACGACTCAAACAATGGCATGACTGTATTTGCACCGTCCGATAATGCGTTTTCAAGCCTCAAATCGGGCACTCTCAACTCCCTCACTGGTCAACAGCAGATCCAGTTAGTGCAGTTTCATATCTTGCCTACCTATCTCTCCACAACGCAGTTCCAAACTGCGACCAATCCTTTGCGGACACAAGCCGGGGACACCGGTGCCGGTCAGTTCCCGCTTAACGTGACCACCACCGGCAACCAAGTGAACGTGTCGACCGGCGTTATGAACACTTCAGTATCTGGCACAATCTATACGGATAACCAGCTTGCTGTGTATCAGGTGGACAGTGTGCTTCTTCCTTGGAGTATTTTCGGTACTCCGGTACCGACGGCGGCACCGGCACCGGCACCGCTGACGCCGACGAAGAAGAAGATACCGGTCGCGGATAGTCCAACCGTCAGTGTTGATGCCTCTGGTGCAGTTAGTCTAACCATGCATGGGATGGTGGTGACTATTGGAGTTGCTGTGGTTGCATCATTTCTTTTGTGACAATGAATGGTGGTGATTGTGCCAGCTGGACATATTGGGTCTGGGGTCCATTTGTTTGGTGCCGATATGATTTTGATGAGTCAGATTGAACGGTGGTAATCCACGCTGTGAGTGCCTCCGAATAATTGTAATATGTCAGTCATGATGTGAAGATTGAACTATGAGGTCCATTTTTGTTTTTGTTTTTTTTAATTTCCTTTTGCTCTGTATTTTTCTTTCCTTTGTTTTTGCTGTTAATTGTATTTCTTCTGTTCTATTTGTAATTCGTTCGACTTTTTTTATTTTTCCAACTTTCATGTAATTTGAGATTGTGCATTATTTTGCCAAGAATGCTTTCAATCAGTGAACTTAGGACAAATGATTTTTATATATAATCGGAGGTTTTGAATGAGACTGTGACGTCCTGTTCACGCACAGACCTGTATTACACACTTTCTATTTTTTATATTTTTTTAAACAGTATTACATGCTTTTTGATTTTTCCTTTATGTAGACTCCTATAAAATTTTACCATTGCCTCTTCTCGTGTAATTTTTTGGTCCATTCCTTTTTCTTTTTCTTTTTTTTTGTTGAAAGGTACACTATCCCTAATTATATTTGAAAGTATTAGCACCTTGAATTTAGACGAAAAAGAATTAATTTATTCAACTTGTCATCGAGTAATCCCTCCCATAAAATTAATATCATTTACTGGTGTCATTTAGAATATAGTGTTACAATTAATTATTGTTTGTTACACAAATGGAGATTGCATGTTTCTAATGAAATTTTTTTTAGATACTCGAAGTGAATGACATCATCATACCAGATGAAAAAATACAAATAAAAAATAGAGCAATCTATCTTTAAAATTCCAATCCATATGTGATAGAATCCATGGCACATATGGAGGCATATTCCTTCAATATAATTAACACAAATATTCTAATAAAGTAAAATGGATTAAATGTATAGATATTGTGCATATTACACATCTTTTTTTACCAATTTGCTATATAACTCCAATACATTTGGTTAATTATTGCATCTTATTACCGTATGTTAGAGAATCGTGAGAGGAAAATAGTTAAAAGTAGTCGCATGACTAACACGTGAAGTAAGTTTTATGTATAAAGACAAAAATGCTCATGTATCCCCCACTTTGGTAAATCTCTCTTGCTCTGTCTATCTCTATTCTACACTCGCGATTTCAAATCCTACCCTCTTCTATATTTCTCGTGATTTTCCTCTAAAAATTCCTTTCTCTTTACATCTATCCCTCTCTCGTACTGGGACATCTCCCCTTCTCTCTCGTTTCCTTATACATCACCCACTATCATATATATATATATATATATATATATATATATATATATATAGTCACTGAAAGCTGAAAACTTAATGTGTAAATAACAAGATCAAGCCACCGATTGCCACCACTCAACAAGTTGAATCTCCAACACCATGAACACCCAAAAAAGCCTTTGCATTGTGAGTACTCTGCAATTCCATTGATGGGTTTTGGTTTCAAACTCAAATTTGGGTTCTTTTCAAATTCACCCAACTTCACCATCCAATAATTTGGATTCAAACCTTCCATCAAATTCCTAATTGCCCATTGATACATTGATGGGTCTTGCATTGTTTACAAATGAAATAAAAAACTGTTGGGGTGCAGCGGAAGAAGTAACAAGAACAGTAAAAAACTGGCGAATAGTGTAACATTTCTGTCCAAGTGCAACAAGTTCCACTTAAAGTGCATATGGTTCCACTTGGTAATGTAGTTAGACCACATGAATATCCAATGTACCAAAACAATAAAGCACCCACAAAACATTGTTACACAAGGTTTACACGGTTTGTCCAAAACACATGCTACGTAGGTGGATAAGGAGATTCCACCGTAACGATGAGGAGATATTACAAATTGTAGAGAATTATCTAGTTAGAATTTTGAATGAAAAATTATTTCATTAGCCATCAATAGATATATTTGACTGAACATGTGTAATCACTGATTGGTAATGGGATAAAAAAATGCAACTTAAAACCACAGACATAACCTATTCAATGTGAACCATTACAGCCTATTGCAATGGTTGTCTCCAGTGATGAACATATATATAAATGATCGAGTCTTGTGATGAATAGACACATATAAATAGTTGTATCCAATGATGAAGTGACGCATATAAATAGTTGTGTCCAATGATTAAGAGACACACCAAATCTGAAAAGGCACTTCTATTTCTATAAATACCCCATTGGGCTGTCATTTGCAATTCGTTCAATTCATTTTCTTCTTTCTCCCTCTCTAGACTTGAACTCAACTCAAGTGGGTTCAAACTATAGGTCAAGTGGTCCGAGCCACTTAGATCCTAATCCAATTTCATTGAGCTATATTAAGATTGGTCTGAATCATTTGATTCGGATTACACCCAATTCAGCATTTATATAGTATATATAGATGTATTTTTGAGTTAGAGAGAGTATTACACAAAGGAGGTTCGCCGTATCTACAAGTTTGTAGTGTTGTTATTGGTAGATGTACACCGTTATATCCTGCAAGACAAGCACGCCAGAGTCTTTTAGTACCATGCAGGGAGTAAATTGTCATAAGGACATAATATCCAATAATAGCATCGGTTTAGATTCTTTATTTATTTATAATTATTTTATTGCTTTAATTTGAATGTTTAATTAAATATCGAGTTGCATATTTAATTAATTATTTTTAACATATTATTAATTATCTCATGACATATTAGTATAAGGTTAATTATATCTTAAATGTCATATAGAGCATATACTTTCTAACATTATCAATGCGGAATAACATGTACACTCACTCTAATATAAAGTTTTTCCTGGTTGCCTAGGCAGAGGAGGAATACCCGAACCTTACATCACGTATTGCGAGACGCCCTCTCACTACAAGATACATTCTCGGCTTCTCGTCTTCAATGTTCACTTTGCCAAACATAATACTCCCTACCCATCAACTCACAGTGGAGTCTCTTGCGAGGCTGCCCTCACGGGCAACATGTCTCTCTACTCCTATCTCTCAATAATACCCTAGACGCCTATTTATAGAGTCTCATACTCAATTCTTTGATAGACAAGGATTACAATTTCTTCGAACTTAAGACATGTATCTACAAAAAAATTACCATAATAAAATAACTCTAAAATATAAATAATAGGAATAGGAGTCACTATTCCTAACAATCTCTCACAAAACATTCTCATGTGAACATGTTGGTTGCAAATGTAATTTTTTTTTTTTTAGCTTTCAGAGTTAGTCTTCAACATTTTCAAATGATTTAAACTAGTAGATGATGTGCTGCCCAGTACTTTATTAAACAGAGCAGTCTGATATATAATATATGAGAGGTAGAGAATCAAAGATCAATTTTGAATTGTCAGACGCATATATCCAACAAAAGCTAAACAGCACTCTCTAGACTCTCCCTAGCCATTACATGCATTCATTCTCAAACTGGGGTTGCCACTTATCAACAAAAGATCAGTTCTAGTGAAGTCTTTATACAAATATCATATGCTGCCTTCATCGAAATAGAATGAGCAATCTATAAAAGGAACAAATTAATTGAACTCACGATAAAACAGAAAATATATATATTTCCTGTGAATTTGAGAATTTGGTAAGAATTCCAATTATATTCTCTACAATTAGATCGGCAATGGTAACACCAGAAGGGCTGGTATGATTGAAACAGAGCCCAAAACAACACGTTGAACATTTTAGAATGCATCTCTACACCATTTTATTTAAATGCATCCAGAACAATAAATGAATACCATTATACCAATACTACAATAATCAAAGTAAAAGTTGTTTCAGCAAAATTGTACACCATTTCTTTCCATCTTACGGTCAACAAAAGAAAGTATTAACAAGTTCATGCATATTCCACATGCAGTTAGTTTACGAATCAATGAACCTTGAAATCTGGATAAATCTTAAGACTAAATCAGCAATAAAATGTTTCAAAGACGAAGATTTGGCAGAGGGACATAGACAGGTTCTACTCATTAACCATAATAAATTATAAGAAGAATAATTTAAAACTAATACTTCAACAGAAAAACAACTAAAGTGATACGCTAGAATCGGGTTAAAGTTCGAACATCCTTGCATCCATTTACCCAAAGTGAGTTGGCTAGTTTGGGTTAAATTGTGCAACTTCTAAGGTTGACAAATATAACAAAGTGTTCATCTTTGATCATAAAATTTTATGTGCCATCATCGCACATATCACTTGGCAGCAGGTTACACTCTTAGGAAGAAAAATGATCAGAAAACTAACAACGGAAGTCAAATACAAAGAGTTCATCTTTGATAAAAAAATTCATACGCTATAAAAAAGTCAAAAATACAAAGTGCTCATCTTTGATCATAGAATTTTATATGCTATCGTAGTTTTGGAAGATGGCATAAATATAAGACATGGCCAAAACTGAGATTAATTACTACTATAACATATCATAGTTTTGCAAGATATAAAACATGGCCAAAATTGAGAATAATTACTACTATAACATATCATGTTCAAGAAAGACTGAGTGCAAGAAATGCCTCATAACGGAAGGGCATTAGCAAGCAAGTTGGTAATTAATGAATTCTCTTACATTCCTAATGTACAACTTCAATTTGGATCATAGTTAGTATTTTCTACATGCGATTTTCAGTATTCGATCGATTTTCTGGTTGCAGAGTAGGTTGGTGAAAATTATGGATTTTTTTTTTTCAGAAGCTATAGCCGGTGGTAGAAATTTAAGAGTTGGAATCAGTATGTCTAATAGCCACCATGACCATTGGTTACCATAATACAAAACATGTACCATTTGTAATGCCGAGATCTAACATAGCAGAAATTAATCCATGTTCTTATTTTCATATCTAAAGGTTCAATAACACTATTACCTTCATGGAAAGGATTCAAAGTATCAAATATCAATGATGGAACATGTGGTTGTGGTCATGTTAGTGTCTCAGTAGTGATAAGGAAGGTGAAAGACAGAAACTAACATTAACACCGCCAAGACCTCCAGTGGCGAGTGTATATAAGTCCAAAGCTATCATAAATAAGGGTCTTATAGTTCATGAGATTGACTTTCCAGTTTTCCCGTAAACATATATCGACAAAATTAATTTTGTTGAAGAAAAGAAACCCTTTTATAGTTTCATATTACAAAGCATGAAATTAACTAAAACAACAGATCTATATGTGTGCGTGCGTGTGCTCTTATGCAAAAAAATACATACAAAGACATCTATAGATGTGGGTAGACAGAGTGAGAGAGAGAGAGAGTTGCATAAACTTGAGGAAATCACCAGGGGGAGGCAACAGAATAGCCAATAGGATGTCTATGCAGGTGGTTGTTCCCTCATCTGCCATTTTGTTTCAAACAATATATTAATCTCTTTTGCTATTTCAAACACAAGCAAAACACTAAACGATTATAAAAGAGACACAAAGAGCACACTAAAGAGAGTGGTGACCTCCACTGTTTATGCATGTGAAAATTTGTAATATCAATTCAACATGCATGAGCACACTAAATCATTTCAATTCAACTTCTATTTAATTTATCGGGTTTGAATTATTATTTTAAGTCTCAATTAAGGCTCCCTTCGACTCCTTTTATGAGCCAAGTCCCTTGATGGCTTTTAGCCAAGGGACTGGCCTGCAAGGCCATATAGTCCTTGACATTCCGGGGAGGTGGCAAAGGTATGTAATGGAGATGTAGGGGCGAAGGACTGCAGAAGTAGGAATGGCCGGACGTGAAGCGGTCTTGCCGGAGTACTAGATCGGATCAGATAGCCCTTCAGGTGAGAGATGAAGTCCAAAATATTGTTTTTTTCTTATTATCCGTTATTTTAAACCTCGATACTGATTTGTGTTCAGCTTTAATCCAACTAATTTTATGTATGCTCTTTAGTTATTAAGGAAGAGTAAGAAAGAATCACTTCAAAATATATTTTAAATTTAAAAGGTTGCCATTATATGATTCCAGTTTGAAAAACTCATGAAACAATTCATTCAAATTGATCAATTATTTTCTTAATTTTATATACGATCGGAATTTGTTTTTCTTAGAGTTATGGTGTAGGCAAGCTTTCACGTTAAGAATTTACATTAACATGATTACTGACGGAGTCACCTGGGGTCTACTAGGGGGGCAGCTATTCTGGCCAGTAACTTACAAATGAACAGTGTCCACATGCTTGCATTACTTAATTTTTACATAACCACCGTTTTACTAAAATATTCTAAAATTTAACAATGCACTCTTCAAGAAAAATAAAAAGAGTAGGAAAAAAGAAACCGACCTTTGCTTGGCGTAAGTGAGAGAGAACACAAAGATCGACGGGACAGGATTAGGGACTAGGGCAATGATATATGTTAATAATTCAACTCTCCCTCCCCTACCTAACATTACAATGTTTCAAGTATTACATATGAACGAATCTATACAAAAATAATAATAAATAAATCACACTGATTAATGACATGCCTTTTGATTTCCCTGTGATTCTATTCTAGTTTGAGAAGAGCCACTGATTAGTCACTCGAAAAGGGATTTAGCTGAAGTTCTGCTAGTAAAACATTTCACTTGAACTCTATAGATAGAAGGTAAAATTCAACATACTCAAATTGCTAAAACAGCATTGGGTTTTCAATTTATTATTGATTGATGTAATAGTGGAGATTACTAAAAGTGAGAAACAAAATATGGACCGACATATATGTATATTACTGTAGATGCAAAGGATGAGAATTGCTAAAACAGAGACCCTAGGAGCTCAGAAATATGGATTGTGGAAAAGGAAAGAAACAAAAACAAACCTCCATGTGAGCAATGGAGAAGAGAGCATGAGGAGTGCTCTTGTAGATTGGGAGAGTGGAGACTCGACCATTAACTGAAAATTACTCAGTCATATCAAACAAATAGAAAACTTCAATAGAAATTGAAGATGTGCATGCATATATATACAGAATAACTACATATATAGTACTATAACTCAACAACGAATTTGCAAATCTGAAAGAAACACAATATAACTACTCAAACAATTTAAGTAATCAAGATTGAACAATATATACAAAAATGGTGCAATTTTAACTGAAATTAATTTTCTTCATAAACCTAACCAATTCAAATTGAACAATACATAATAAAATGAATTCAAAATATAGGAATTAAACCGCCCCACTTGTGCTTCGAACATGATGATCAACTGAACCTATCCAATCCTTATGTACTGTGATTAGGAACTCCTAGACGTCCAATCATTGTGTAACCAAAGGATCGCCGTTCAAGATCGAAGAGCACCAAGAGAGAGAAAATTGATGCCGATTGGGTTGTTTTGATGGGCTTTCTTGGAGAGAGAATAAATCAGTAAATGGGCATAAGAGGCAGAGTGGGTTTTGTCAACCATTAGGGCAATTTGACTAGGGCTTTTGGTGGAGTAAATAGGCACGAGAGAGAGAGAGAGAGAGAGAGAGAGAGAGAGAGTAGGTTCCTGGCTTTTGTGGAGTGTAGCATGGGACTGGGAAATTTGGGAGCAGGAAATTTTATTTTTTATTCACAGGGGGCATGGGAACCCCTTAAATTGTAATTTTTAGCACTTATTAACGGGAATACTTTCTCCCCATTAAAGTTTGAAAAATATGCCTTTAACATATGCAACCATTAACAGAGTCTTTAACACGCCAGAGGCACAATCATAACCGTCTATTGTAACAAAAGAACTGATGCAACCACAGCAACTCCAATAGTCACCACCTTTTCGTGCATGGTGAGACCAACTGCACCAGAGGCATCACAGTCACTCGAGCTTCGACTGTTCGCGGCCAGTGTCTTGTTCTTCGCCGGAGAACCAAAAAATGTTCCAAGGAAGAAGTGAATGTCCACCTGATGATACACAGCAACCTGTTGTCCATGTAAGTGTTCATAATACCTGTAGACAAGTTCTCCTGGCTGTTGATGGTCGTGATGTTAAGCGGGAACTGACCGGGACCGGTTTCTCTGGCTTGTGTCCGCGTTGGATTGCTAACAATTTGCAACTATGTTGTGGAGAAAAAGGTAAGAAACATGAAACTGTGTTGTGGGAATTGATCGTGTCACCCGCATTGGTACATTTCAGAAGCGAGAGAAAGAACCTAAAGGGGCCACCCTTTTGGAGGATTTTGATGATGTTGGGGGACCAGTCGATACCGGGACACTGCAGTGAGGGGAGTACTCGATACCGGGACGCTGCCGGGGACTGAGCTAGGTTGTGCTGAAATGGAAGTGGAATAGTAGTGCAATGAGAGAAAGAAGAGAAGTTGATTCATCATGGGTTTTTGGTGCGGCCTTGAAGGGTTGCTAAGAAATAGATATATAGAGATTAACTAAATGGAGGAGTGGCCTTGAATAGTTTATTGTGTTAAAGATGGGAAAGAGAACGAGAGATTGAGAGGCTTTATGGAAAGAGTGCGAGAAAAACATTAGGTGAAATGCATCCATTTGTTAACAATTCTCATTACATTTCAACTTTTTTCAAAGCTGAACATCCATTTGTTTTTATTAGTCGGCTTTCGACAAAGTTGTTTTAATATCATTACATTTCCTGTCTTTTTCTTTTTCTTTTCCTTCTCTCTTATTATTATTATTTTTTTTCAAATGTGCTTAATAGAATAGTCACCAAGACGGCAAGACCTCTTAGGCACATTAGAGATCTCAAATAGGGAGCCAATACATCAGTTCGTGTGATGAACTTGTTTTCAAGATATCACCAATTTCAAATGAATTGATTTCAAGATATCACCAGTTTCTCTTCAGGAAAAAGAGCAAAGGTCAGAAGAAAGAAGTATAAAGAGATGTATTTGTATCATCACATATCACCAATTTGTGTCAAACATAAACATAAAAACAAATATGTTCAAACATGCAAAAATAAATCCGTATTTTGTTTGAATCCAACTTATCTTAAACTTCTAAATACTTCCAATCAGCAACACACCTGTACATCCTAGCCTTACACTCGGCGGCCAGCCATATCCCATATTACAAATCAACAGGTGGTGGTTAAGTATCTAAACATTACAAAAGCTTTTATTATATCGCAAGTTGAATTTAGTATGTAAATGCCCTAAATCAAATTTGAGTATATAATGCAGCACCATTGGCCAATGATAAAGAATTATTTTTTTGTTATTACATGGTCTCCTAGAGTACCATGTACCAATCATTTTCCCTCAATACAAAAAAACAATTTATTGCTAGAGATAGGGTTTGGTTGGGTTATCAATTATTCAATGCTTGTGATAATGCACTGTGTGTAAAGGTAGTATTGATCTTAACCAAACTTACAACTCAATCAATTATCAGAAAAGCTTAGGCCCTTGAAATCGTATATGGAACCCTCGTTCCCTTCAGAAAAGCTTAAACCCGTATAGAGAAAACATAGCTAACAATAAAAGGAGGAGGAAAAAAATAAATAAAAGAAGAATAAGAGGAAAGAAAGAGGGGGAAACGAACAGTATTAGAGAAATAAGAGAACGCAAAGAAGAAGGGAGAGATGAGAGTTCAGATAAGAACTAACCTGTGCGATTTCCCACAGCGACTCAGACAACAAACTCTCTCTGTAATTTCTCCCTACATGTCTTCGTAGATGGATGAGACATGTCTCTGAAGGTACAACCGAACATTTGGCCAAACGGCGGAAAGATAATAAGGGGGGTGCCATTATTTTATTTATTATTATTATTATTATTTTTTATGGTGTGTAAACCTTTACACTCTTTGAATTTGTAGCCAGTAAACCTTCGACTACCCACTCTGATTTTATCCTTTGGTAATATTTGAAGTTATGAATAATAAAAGGGATGGGAAAGTTCCAACAGCGAGGGATGCAAGCTAATATCTTACCAACTCATCCAAGTCCAGAAAAAATAAGGGTACATATTTTTTGGCTGGATTTGGCTGATAAAACCATTTTATTTAGACTGTATAGTCGCAACTAACATACCCGAACAATTTTTATGTGGCGCCCGCCATTTTGCTAGCCCCGCCCCATGATAATTTCCTAGCTTAACTGGCATGTTAGGGCTAAATTCATCCCGCTATCTTGTTTTGTATGGTGTTTAGTTGTAATTGTTGGTAATATAGGTAATGTGTTGATGATTAGGTAGTAGCATATGTGATGTTGATAGCTCTATTGCTTTTGAGGTTATGGATGTGGGTGCCATTGCTACTTTTAATGATCTTTGTAACTTATTGTTTTTTGATTCTTTATTTGCTTCCTTCTATAATGGAAGTGGTCATTTTCAATAAAATTTGTCGATGTATGGTGCCAAATCAACTCATTAAAAACAAAAAAGAAAAAAACAAAAGGGTAGCATTTGAGGGTGTTTTTATTTGAAAATATAATAATAAAAAATTATATCTTACTTATGAGGCCAAGAAACTCAATAAATAAAATTACATTAAATGATTAATGAACGCACATTAAATGATTAATGGTTTGCTAAGGTATCGCGTATTCTTTTTATATGGTGAATATATATATATATATATTTTAGCTTGCTCGTAAAAAATGAAGAGTTTTATATGACCTTACCATGTGAGAGAATATGTGTCGTGAATAAATTTTCACGAGATGCTTACCCCTTGTAAAAGTGTTTCTTCTTTGTAGTGATCACTGTCACTTCTTGCACTATTACTGTCATTATTGCCCTCTTCCACTATTACTCCTTGCACCATTGTTACCTTCCATCACCGCCGCCATTGACTTTTGACACCACCCACACCACTGTTGCCTTCCTCCACCACAACCACTGCCTCTATCTTCCATGACCAACGAAAATAAATTTTGCATTGGATTAGATTTATGGTCACGCCTTTACTTCATGGCCCCTGTTCTATTTCATGCCCTAGCTAACCGTCACATGCCATAAAAATGCATATCACCAATAAATAATAATAATAATAAAACAAAATTTTTATTGCTGCAGAATAAATAAAAAGTGCTATTTTTATTTTATTTTTAATTTTCATCTTGCCACCACTCATGATTATTGTTAAATAAATAAATAAAATGCCATTCGCAAAATTTTTTTAAAAAATGTTTGAATAGATTAAACATATTATTCGACTTATTCAAACATGTAGATTTCGATTGCCACAAAAATTTTCATCCTAAAAATAAGAAGTTGTTAGCACTGATACTTTAATATATCGAATGAAAAAACCATGCAACCTTGTATGATATCCACCGGACCGCATTTGGATACCAACTGGTTTTCTGCTAAAATGTATGCACTTCACCTAACATTATCCTTCCATTCTCTCTCTATAAAGCATCTCGATTTCTCCTTCTCTTTCCCATCTCCAACTCAATACACCATTCAAGCCCACTCCTCCATTCAATTAGTTAATCTCTACATATCTATTTATTATAAGCAATCCTTCAAGGCCACACCGACAACCAAGAAAATGATGAACCCAATTCTCTTCTTTCTCTCACTTACACTACTATTCCACTCCCATTTCAGCACAACCCAAGCTCAGTCCCCCGCAGCATCCCCGACAGTGCTCCCAGTGCCGACTCCAGCATCCCCAGTAGTAGCAACGCCTCCAGCGTCTCCGGTGGTAGCAGCGCCTCCAGCATCCCCGGTGGTAGCAGCAACCCCAGTACCGAGTGCTGCTCCCCTCACGCCAGGGCCCCCCGTACCTGCTGGCCGCCCCAACATCATGAAAATCCTCGAAAAGGATGGCCGCTTTACGCTGTTTCTCCGGCTTCTGAAAAGTACCAGTGTGGGTTCCCAGATCAATGCCCAGCTCAAAGACTCAAACAATGGCCTAACTGTATTTGCACCCACCGATGCTGCGTTTTCGAGCCTAAAACAGGGCACTCTCAACTCTCTCACTGATGAACAGCAGATCCAGCTATTGCAGTTTCATATATTGCCTACCTTTATCACCCCAGCACAGTTTCAAACTGCCACCAACCCATTGCGGACACAAGCTGGAGGCAGCGATCCCGGTGAGTTCCCGCTTAACGTGACGAGCTCCGGTAACATAGTGAAAGTGTCCACCGGCGTTATGAACACTCCAATATCTGGCTCAATCTATACGGCCAACCGTCTTGCTGTGTATCAGGTGGATAGTGTGCTTCTTCCTTGGAGCATTTTTGGTACTCCGGTACCAAAAGCGGCACCGGCACCAGCAAAAGCTAAAGCACCGGCACTGGCACTGGCACCACTGATGCCTGCAGAGAAGAAGACACCCCCCGCGAAAAGCACTCCAAGCTCCACTGTTAATACCTCTGGTACAGTTAGTCTCACCATGCATGGAATGGTGGCGACGGTAGGAATTGCTATTGTTGCATCATTTCTTTTACAACAATAGATGGTGATCGATGAATGTGCCAGCTGGACAGTCATACTGGGAGTGGGTTCTGAGTCCATTTGATTGTGCCTCCGAATAATACGCCCAAGTCTAAAGATTGAACTATGATGATGCTTAATTATTATTATTTTAATTTCCTTTTGATCTGTATTTCTGTTGTTCCTTTCAAACTCTCACTGACTCTGCTGTTATGCCATTGACTTGAGCAACTTCATTGTTGGTTGCTGAGTTTTTCTTTTGCTTAAAATTTATAAATCCTCTTTTTTCTTTCCCTTTCCGTTATTAGCATACTGAAATTGAGACTGTAGGTTGTGATGCAACTATTTGCTTGGATTTTGTAGTGTTTAATCCATGTTTATCATGAACAATAATGGGTTTTGTAGTGTTTAATGTTTATCATGAACAATGAGGGGTAGAAAGTATTTAAAAAATTGAAAGTCAACTTGTGCCCAAAAATGAACCGTGTGAAGATGGACTCGTATTGGAGTGAGTAGGAATGCTAGGTTTTCAAAATTGAATAGTAATGAAATGTTTCAGTGTAACCAAAAAAAAAAAAAAAAAATGATAGAGTTGTTCAATAGGAGTACTAGGAAAAACTTGATAGTGTTTTGACAAATGGATTTTTTTGGGCACACTGAACATTTATGAATTGTGAAGATGTCTTTAGTTTTTGATATTTTCAAGGGTTTATTTTAGTTTATACTTTTTGTTATTGGCACATTGAACATTTATGAAAATGTGAGATTTGTTAACAATATTGTAGATGTTTAGTTGCAATTGTTGGCAATGCCGGTCATTGATTAGGTAGCATGTGTGTTTTTTTTTTCTTAGTTAAATGATAAGCTTGTTTATAAGGATGAAACATTGTACATTGTGTCCCAAATAGGGAAGAAAGAAAACAAGAAGCAGTAGACCTCTAAAACCAACATTACAACTCCAACTACATCAAAACTTCAACCATTTCTACGCATCAACAGTTATATCCATCAGCCTTAGCAGCACTTGAGAGCTACTCCAGTAACTGCATCCTTCAGCAATATATAATAAGATTATCATCCCCTCCATTGGTTTAGAATAATAGCCAGGATTGTCCACAAGCTGTGGAACAACCCTGCTAGAAGAGAAGTTGCAGCTGCGCGAGAGAGGTGATCTACTTCAATTCTGAACTACTTTTAAGCCTGATTGTTGCAAGTCTGACTGTAACATAGCTTTTGACTTGAGCTATAATGCTGTGAGAAAGGTTGATTGATTCTTGAAAGCTCTTGCATTCTTTTCCATCCAAATTATGAACACTACTGCAACCCATAATAGTTTGTGGACTAAAAATTCTGATGAACTCTAATGTGATGAGCACCACTGAAGCAACTCTGACCACCAGCTCGGCATAATGTAAAACCCAGCCACTTCTTGGATAAACCTTCATATGTGTGAAGTGTACTCACATTTGAAGAAGAGATGGTCAATGGATTCCCAATCTGTATTACAAAGATAATAGTTGTTTGTATAGTGTTTGTGGAGAATTGGTTTGGCATCCAGAGTGTATAATCTACCCCTCACAACTAGCCGTAAGATAAGACTATGCTTAGGTATATGATGTTTGAACCACACTACTTTGTGCCAAAGAAAAATTGGGAGGGAGGGTTGAAGTAGCTTAGGGTGTGTGCCATTGTGAACACTTTGGTAGGGCTAGGCAACCATTCAATACAATCTGGATCAGATGATAGTTGGGGCAGCTCTTGGATTTGTGAAATGAAACTTCTTGATTGAAAGAACTGGTGCAGTTATATTGAGTTTGGCTGTACCCATTAGTTATTGGAAATTAGGCTATCAACTAAGATGTTATATAGTTGAAGAATTTCCATACTAGTGAGTCCCAACTATTGTACAATTGGACCATTAGGCAGTAAGTAATCCAACCGCAGACTAGTATCTTTCCTTGCCCCCACCCTATGTCTTAAGAGCCCTCTTGCCGTTGACCTCAACCCAATCAATTTTCTCCAAAACCCAGAGTTCAGTTCAGAGGGTTTTACTGTCCAAAAGCTCTTTGACTTTATGAGATAGTTAAGGGACCAAGCCACCCAAAGACTATCATTCTTCAAGCAAATTTTCTAAATGTGTTTCAAATTAGCAATCCTGTTAGCCAACTCCAAATCAGGAAAACTAAGTCCTCCATTGGCTCTTGGTCTGCAGATAGCTTGCCAAGCAACCTTAGCTCCTTTGTTCTTTAAGTCCACCCCAGTCCAGAAAAAACATCTTAGTATCCGATTAATATGCTCAATAACCTTCTTTGGGAGCACAAATGCTTGTGACCAATATGCTTGAATGGAACAAAGGACAAATTTAACAAGAACATCTCTTCTAGCATAAGATAGGAATCTTGATGTCTAACATCCCACTCTGGCAGTAATCATTTCCACAAGGGTTTGACAGTCCTTTGCCT